TCGGCGTGAAAATGGGCGCAAGATATCGGCCAATAAAACCGTTTTAAGGCTCGGTATGAAAGAAGTACACGATAAGCAGGCCCGGATTACCCAATAGGCACAGTAGGCACTGTGTAAAGCTTTCAATGGATGATATTTTTTAAACCAAAAAAAAATCGACGTGAAAATGAGCCCAAGATATCGGCTAATAAAACCAGTTTTTTTTCGTAGGCCCTAGGCACAGTAGGCACTGCGCCTAATGCCTACGAAAAAATCGGGGTCCCTACGAAAATACCGCAGTGTGCCATAAAACACACACATTATTTTGCCTGCAATCGGGAACCCCCTGTCCCTCTTTTGTTTTTACTTTTTAGGAAAACCTCCGTTATGCTTTGTACACGATCGCCAAATGTTTGTCCCCGAGTAGCCTACATTTGATACTGTAGCTCCAAATATCAGATTCAATGACCTTAATCTCAAAAATGATGATTAAATAATGATGGAACAAATTTGGTTAAAAGTGGTCAGAAATTGCCTCAGATCAAACCACAGAGCGTCTAGAATCCGATTTTTTCGGGGCCCTTAAGCGGGTCCCGAACCACACGCAGTTTAGGCTTCGCACTCGGGGAGTTTTGATCCAGATACACTAAGTCATGTATGTACCATCCCCCACTTTTGAGAACCGATTGACGCCCTTGGTGCCAACAGGCTTTTAGAGCTAGGACATATACTGGTTGGCTTGATTTGTACTGTGCTGTCAAGATGAAGCGGAAACAAACATCATTTAGAGCAAGGGTTTCGCCCAGTCGTTGTTGATAAGCCCTAGAGGAAGACTCAAGATGCACAATTTCAATGGCTCGACAGTCTTCTCGACTGACGACTTGAGGGGCTACAGAACTCAAAAGTCTCGTAAACATTCAGTTTCTAAGAAACTCTAATCAACTAATCAAGAACTTTGGATATAGATTTCCAATTTTTTGCCTCAACAAATCATTGGAATTAAGATCGTCTTATGCTGCAGAGTTTGTGTAATGAATAAACTCCATGATCCTGCACTAACTCATGCTGTGTTTTTTTTTCTCATCGAATCAAACAAAAAACGTTACCGATTAAGAAAAAAGATAGCAACGGTGTTTTGATAAAAAGGTTTTTTTTTCAGGGAGACGGGGGTCGTGGAAAAGATGTCATACTTACTACAACCTGACTCTCTGCAGTTCAAAGATTTTGTTCTTCCAACAGTGATTCCAGAACTCAATGACGCTCCAGCAATTTCAACTCTGAGGTCCTTCCAATTTCTTTAACTTGATCAAAATCGCTCACCAAAAACTCCACCAGAGGTTTCCTTTCGCTAAAAAAAATTAATTCCGCATGTTCAACTCACAAATCAGTTTTATTGATCCAGATGAATTGTCAGAAGGAAACGGCAACAGCGCATTTCGGGTATATGAAAAGCAGTAGATCGACCACGATTCTGAAGTTTATTTCTGTCAGATTGAACAGGCTAGAAAGCGTGTTGCGTTTTTTATGGCATTTCCTTGACGACAGTTCCTATGGACGCAAACCGCGTCAAGCAAGAACTAGAAGAAGTGCACGTATACATTATTGGAGAGCTTAAGTCGCCAAATCGTTGTATAGGACAAAGACAATCGGCTCCGCCCACTGTGATATCGTTGACAACTATTGACCAATCAGGTGCGCCCATGAATATCATGTCCAGTAAGCGCTGTTTTCACTGCTGGGCTATGCATATTCATAACAAAATACGCGCGCCACTGTGCCAAATTCGATGTCAACTCCAGCGAGTTATTTTCACAAAGCGCTATGTCACAATAATTGCTGGTCAGTGGGTTTGTTCAATATCACATTGCATGGCGGTAGCTGCGAACAACACAACGACAATACGAGTGAGTTATTGACTACGAACACCAAACATTCAGTACAAACGCCTTTTCATGTATTCGGGTGCAGTGGCACCTATATTTGTTTGTGTGGTTTTTTTATGAGGGGGGGGGGGAGAGAAAGTTTAAAGTTAACAGTTAATCCAGGGCCCCCAGGAAGAACAGTTCATTGACACCTGATGGGGCTAACCTTGTAAAATAACACGAACTAAAAAATGAATAAATAGATAGATAAATCAGCCGTAAAAATGTATGATGGCCCTGAAGGGACATAACCAGTCCTGACATTTTTCGCGACGTCGTAAAATTGTTCGCGACGTCGTGACTATTTTTCAGGACTAGTCGTAATTGTTTTGCTATCATGTACTTTGATCTACCAACAGAGGGCTCTTTTTGTTGCTTTTATCCCTCAAATTTCAGACTTTCAAACCGAATGCCTTCTTTACAGCGACCAAAGTATTTTTTGAAGCATTGACGACTACATGAAACACGCTGTTCGAAGGAAGATGTAAGCCTACAGATGACCCTTCCCCCCCCCCCCCTCCTAACAACTGTTCCTGGGTTGACTTAAATCTTAGCACACTGTTACCGATAGTGTGCATGATCGCCCGATTTGAAAAGCGCCCCCACTGGAAAATGTTACAAGGCACCATCCCCCCACCCACCACTATTTGATTTTACGGAGGCCAAATGTCCGGGGGAAAAAAGAACCTGTCTCCGACTGTCGACTTGGTCCTGCTGCAGAGACGCGCAATGCAGTAAATAATACGACGAATACAAGCTTGCTAATCGTCAGTTACTTCTATAAACGAAGAACAGCTGATAAAATGGAATCCATCATTTTGAAACAGCAGGTATCAATCTTAAAATACACACACGTTTTTAATTATAGTCATTGAAAATTGTTGCATTAAAAAGAACATATTTAGGTAATGCAAAAATAAATTCGTGAGCTCACGCACATTCGTTATTGAATTTAAACTAAACTCTTATGCTATCTTCTGCGCTGTAAAAAAAGGTTGGGTAAAACACTGCTTTGGCAATGTTATTTGCCTTACATTGGTGTGAAGTTACCTCATTGTGGGTTGATTCGGGTAATAATTCGTCACCGACACCACGAAGTAACACTCTACCATGTTAAACCATATTTTTTTCGATTTTCAGTTTTTTGGATTTTTAAATATTATTCATCAAGGCCTACCATTGCACGAAGTTTCAAAGCTTCAAGAGCTTTACTTTAATAATTACGCTAAGTATCCATGGAAATTTTTGCGCAAAGGTGACAATTTTCGTTTTTAAGAAGTAACACTCAAGTTCCATTTACCATGGCGCACACTCTGCTCATATTTGAGCAAAAACGTTTTCACGAAGTAACACTCTTCTTGTAATAAGTTGTATGAGCGCGCGCGCGCTGACCTGAAGTTGCACTTTCCTCGTGCTGTATACATTAGAAGGTGTTACTTCGTGAAAACGAACATTTACAGTTTCGCAGCTTTTTCGGTTTCACGAACTAACACTCATCTTTTTCCTCTTATTTCTTGTTTATTTAATACACAAACGGGTGAAAACAGCAGATTTAATAAATTCAATTCATCAAGTGTCCACAACGAGAAACCCAACTGAAAATACTCTGTTGGCGTTTTGACGCAAAGTGTTGTTTTAGAAGATGTTCAACTTTAGATGCCGTTTTCTCCGATTGCTAGTTTTTACCGGTATGTACATGAGTGTTACTTCGTGGTGTCGGTGACGAATTATTGACCAACTTTTGGCAAGAATTTGCCCAAGAGTGTCGGCAGTTTGTAAGTTGACCAACATTGGGCAAAATACTAAACCATTTGCCCAACTTATTATACCGTGAATTCTATACACACCTTCCTGTGTGAGTTTTAACTCTGGTCCTCATTTATATCATATTATCCTCACTACCATCAAAAACAAAACGCATTCGCTATATACATCAATGTATAAAAACATGTCTTTTGTACAAATCACAATCTACAGTAAATGCAAGTTACAAAGGTAGAGAATAAAAGATTAATAAAATGAATTATCATAATTGTATACACCCAACTCGATATCATTCACTGAAGAGACGGACGGAGTTATGCTATACACTGACCAGACATCAATGTAGATGTAAAAAAAAAGAATTTTAAATACTATATATCCCAAACAGGTTCAAAAGTTATCTTTTATTATAAAATAGACTCTATATCAAGCTGCCGACATTGCCCGCCTAATACTGCAAAGACATAAATTTGAGTTCGACCGACTGATTTCCTACATGTACGGGTCAGTGCATTGACAGTTTCAGGATACCAGACGATGAATACGCATTGCAACCCCGTCTCCCAGAGTATGACCCCACGAATCTGTGCTTATTTCCCTTGGCAGAAAAACAACAACATCGGCAATCTTACTTAACGACCAGATAATACCCATTTGCATATAAACATAACACAGCAAAACCTTTAAACGCAGGAAATTAAATAAAAACTCTAATATTTAAAGTTCGTATGCACCGTGTTTTGGTGTTGTTCACACAGTAACGATGCATTACTAATCATCGGCGTGGCACAAAATGAAAGCAGCAATTTTGAATGACAATTGACAGAGTTGAGGGCTAATTATCACCTCTTTTTTAGTTAAAACTGGACGGTTGTTTTTCGGTAAGCAATTAGGCAAAACGATCCAAACAATGATGCTTTGGTCAAACCAAAATTAAAAAACCGGGAAAACCAGGACTTTCTACCTGCAAAGTTTTCTTTATAAAATTAAATTACCCCCTCCCCCCCCCCCAAAAAAAAACAAACAACACAACACACAATAATGTCTAATCTTTATAAGATGGAATTTAGCGTCGGGGTGATATAAATTAAATTAGGTTTTGCCCTTCGGTGAGGGCGTAAGACATCTGCACTAGAAAGCAGGAGGTCGTGGGTTCGAGTCCCACCCGAGTGATTTTTTCCAACTTTCACTCGGGAGGTAACACACTGAGTATACAGTGTTTAAACGTCGGTGAAGGGCAAAACCTAATTTGATTTGATGTCTACTCATGCTTCAATATCACGAAGAAACAAAGAAGTGCCCTCATTGTGAGCTCAGATGCAAGGGGTATATTACAGTTTTCCTCCTCCCCCACCACCACCACCACCCCCATCCCCTCGTGCAAATACCCAAACTTGTACGTCTCGCTTAGCTTTTCCTCCATGCTTAGATCTCATCAAGATTACTTGTCTGATGCGTTGGAGACCCGGTCAGGCGGTAGGCTCTTGCCGCGAGACGATGGCCGAGTCAGCTCCTGTTCCTCCACGTCCTGGACCTTGGAAGATCGTTCCTTGTTCTTCACGACAAGGCAGACGATGAGCACGACGATAATGGCGACAGCGGCGACACAACCGACGACAATGCCGGCGATGGCCCCGGGGGACAGACCGCCCGGCCCTTCCGTGGGTGTAACTGATGAATCAAAAGAGACATGTATGGAAAAGTCAATTGAAGAATAAAGAATACCTCATGTCTTCTATCTATCTTTTAACCTACAGTCTAAAATAACTAACTCACAGCCCGTTGAATACAGATCTGGGGCCAATTTCATGGAGCTGCTGAGCACAAAAATTTGCTTAGCACCAAAAAAGTCTAGCTTATAAAAGCAGGTTACCAGCCAAAACTTTATGTGATTTTCATGGTAAGCAAACAGCTGAATACTAATCACAAGCAATATACATCACATGAAAATTTGGTTGGTAACCTGCTTTTATAAGCCAGACATTTTTGTGCTAAGCAATTTCTTGCGCTAAGCAGTTCCATGAAATTGGCCCCTGGATATAACAAACGTGTCTGTGTCAACTCAGACTATACAATGTTGACAAATGTTACATGTTCATAACATGGGGAATATGCAGCAAGTATTATCGGTCGTATTACACGTATGTAGTTTGAACAGAATTATGCAAGTATCGTTTTCAAAGCGAAAAGATGGAAGAAAAGTTTTCTCAACTTACCTGTGCTCGGTATAACTTCTGAAAACAAAACAAAACAAATGAGATAATGTTAACTTAATATTGACGAAACTAATTCAAAATAGTACATGACGCAGCAAAAAGTTCGCCCCTCGTATACGATCCGAGTACAAAATCGTCGTTGAATTTCAAATTTTCTAACTAAAAGCAATGAATATATATAATCAACTCTTTGAATTTTTAATAAGGAATTAGCACTTAATAAAACCTATAATATACTCGGAAATACTCGGGCGCTATCCGATTGTCGACGAAATGAACTCAGCAAATTTCGGGCATTTTCGGAGAAAGGAGGAATTCCTCCCGTTTAAGCCACGTGACGCAAATTGTAATACAATGTACGTATTACCGAAGACTACTTGACCTAAGATTCATCAGGAATAGTCAGAATCTTTTGGTCTGGGAACCAGACTATCGTTTTCAAATCGAAAGATCAAAGACAAGTTTTCTCAACTTACCTGTGGTCGGTATAACTTCTGAAAACAAAACAAAACAAATGAGATAGTGTTAACTTAATGTTGACAAAACTACCATTATAAGTTCTGTCAAAAGTAGGTCAAGAAAAACTTGAACCGGGCGCTTTGCAGAATATTATCGTTGTTGTGTTTTAAGAATTAATTTTAGTGATGCGTTTCTGTATTTCCTCGAGTATGTTGAACAGATTTTATACTTTATGGAACTCATCTCATGAAAGGGTACAACGTTCTTCATTAATGCATCTACATAGTGGTTAGGTCACTGCTATTATTATTATTTTATATTCATGTAGACAGCTCAAATCCTATCTTGTAGCAAGGGAGGATGGGGTCGTAGGAAAAAAGGTTTCAGTCTTGCAAGATATGAAAGAATTACAACTGTTACCTTTAACTGAGATTGATGACGTATCAACTGTGAGGAAAGCAATCCTTGGGTCCGTTGAGTTTTCGAAAGCATCCTTCAAGGTCGTTACTAGTTCCTCAGGGGTGACGTTCGTGTCAGCTGGAAATTCCAGGAGAAATGTGGCCACGATGCTTCCACTCCTAAAGCCAGAGACCGAGCAGCCCTCGATACTGCTTCCTAAAGTCGAGTTTTCCAGTGCGGTTGTGACCTAACGGACAGATATAAAGGAGATCAAATTGCGTGATGGTCAAATGAGTAATGTAACATGGACAGCCGTTCCACGGAGATAAGGGCGCTCTTTCTTGTTATAATAATCCAAGGTTCTCCATGGCTCCTGCTTGCACTCCGACTACAACTTATCATTTAGCAGGAGGGGAACGAAAACTTTTTCTACGGAATATTCATAAATGTTGTACTTACTGCATCGCAAACTGCGACGCTCAAATCCTTGTAAGGCTTGGAGTCTGAGTTCTCATATTCGCTGGTGAACTCAACTTCGGTTCCATTAATTTGAGTGATTGGTAGGTCACCCGCGAACTTCTTGACAGCTGAAACAAAAAACGAAACAAGAGGTGATGGATGTATAAAATCCGAGGCAGGTATGATGATAATCTCACAAGAGAAAATAGGCCTACTTTATCAGCTATTTTGTTTCTTGACTTCATCTTTGCCTTTTTGAGAAGTGTTCGTGTATACTCACGTGGTTTTGTTTCCATTCCAGGTGTCTCTGTAGGCGCGTTTGTCCCAGGTGCTTCTGTAGACGCGTTCGTTCCAGGTTTTTCTGTAGGTTCGTCTGTACCAGAATCTGCAGTGCCACCTGCAACTGTACCAGAATCTGTAGCGCCACCTGCAGGTGTGCCAGAATCTGTAGTGCCAACTGCAGGTGTGCCAGAATCTGTAGTGCCACCTGCAGGTGTGCCAGAATCTGTAGCGCCACCTGTAGGTGAACCAGAATCTGTAGTGCCACCTTCAGGTGTATCAGAAGTTGTAGCGCCACCTGAAGGAGAACAAGAATCTGTAGTGCCACCTGTAGGGGCACCAGATTCTGTAGTGCTACCTTCAGGTGTTTCAGAAACTGTAGTGCCACCTGAGGTGGTGTTCTCGGTTGTGGCATTCACACCTGTGGTGACCGAGCTACCATTTGTCCCTAGTGTCGTTGGTTCTGCTGTCGTGCTACCAGAGGTTGTTGCCGTTAAAGTTGTATTGTCTTCCGTTGTGTTCTGTGCAATGATATCTAAACATGATACAAAACTATTTGTCAATGGGGCAGAAAAAAATGTATTTATTAATGTTCTTTGGCATTGGCCATTAGAGTAAAGCGGTTGCCTCCAGGTCTGCAGTAGAACTATACACCGAGGACTCAAACGAATTAATTTACATAACGGTACGTCCTCGGACAAAATGTGCGTCCCCGGTAGTCAACATCTGTCCTCGCTTTGAACTAGTGTGTATATCAACATAGAAAGGTTGGGAAAAAAAGTCACGCACCAACAAGATTACCCAGAGGACTAAACACATCGAAAAATGTCGGGCCTAAAAAATGAGACTACATTCCTACTGTTTGGAATTCTTGGTCAGGGCTGAGCCCCAACTAGTCCACATACCTATACAAAAAATTATTGGCGAGATACTGAAGTTCAAACTAGAGGACTCAAACGAATTAATTTACATAACGGTACGTCCTCGGACATAATGTGCGTCCCCGGTAGTCAACATCTGTCCTCGCTTTGAACTAGTGTGTATATCAACATAGAAAGGTTAAATAAACCACGCATGAACAAGTTTAACGAGAGGAATAAACATACCGAAAAATGTCGGCAAATGAGACCACATTTCTAATGTTTGCAATTTTGGGTAAGGGGTGAGCCCCAACTAGTCGGCATACCTAAAAAAAACCAAAAACAATTATTGGCGAGATACCGAAGTACAGACTAAAATGTCACTCACCCGGTACGAGAAATACCGCAACGAGAATGAAAATGAGGGCGCTCTTCTCCATGGTGAAAATCCGGTCTGGGACGGTGATCGCTCCGATGAAAGACCTGAAGAAATAAACGAAAATTACTTTAAGTTCAATTTGCATGTAAAAGCTGTCAAACAGTTTAAACTTGAAAATAGTATTTAAAGAAATATATAAACTGCAAGGTGTGCGCGGGGGGCGAATATTTTATTTACACAATAGTACAGGGTACCCATTTTTCAGGCGACTTGAATCAAGGTTATAGAATTGTAGATTGGCTCTTTTTTCAACAATTTAAAGTTTTATCTTAGAAACGTTATTTTATAGTCGGATGCCTACATGTACTTGTATAGCAGCAATTTTCTTTTTCTTTTCTGATCCGAAGCTCTGGAGGATTTTTTTTTTAAATGGAAATAAAGTCCGAAATCCGTACCAAGTTGAAAAATAGTAACCTCCAATCAAGCCTGGTTATGTTAACCATGCCCCATAGGAAAGCGCACAAAGTATCCCAGATAGTTGTGGTAAAAAAATATCGCGCGCGGGGCCCGTCTCGTATCGAACCGTATGAGGGCCCTATTACCAAAGCGCATGCACTGGCATATACCCGTGAATAAAAAAGGTTTTATAACAACCGGGGATTCCCAGAATAAAAGGCAACAATATTGGCTTACGTGTACAATGAAAAGACATTATAGGTTGCATGCATCAAGATCATGCGTCCAGAAATTGAGAGAGTGGCAGTCAAAACTATTTCTACTGCTCTTGACTGTGAGAAGGATTTGGCCTATGGACTACAGCAACAGGTGTCCCGAGCACAAAGAAAAGTAATGGCTCTTCGATTCAGGTTTTGCTTCACGAGATTTTTAGTCCTCTGACTTGGGTACTCTTGCTCAATAATAGGTCTAAGTTCTGAATCAGTATGACCCGCTATGGTATACCGAGTTCAAAGTTTCAAGTATATCCATTTGGTCATAGGGCCTAAGGGCTGAAAAAAGGACTCTGAAGTCAAAGATGGAACCTAAACCGTAACGAAGCCGGGGTTTCGAAAAGCCCCTTATTTTCAGTAATGAGCTCTTTTCACGGAAGCGCCATGTCTGAGCGGATCGAGGCTATACTTGAGAAACAAAGACTCCACCATGAAGGTTGCTAAGAGCTATTATGAGAAACCTGCTGGAGTAGTCGCAGCGAGCCGGTTCTGCCTCTCTGTGAAGCCAATCAAGCCAAAGGTGGGGATGTGGTGGTCGAAGTGTTACAATCATTGGCCAGATGAGGAGGATGAGCGCAAGCGTGATTTGTTGACTGGCTGACCGGGCCATTCGGCGACTGATGCATGAAACATCAAAGGCGTGGGCTAGCTCACGCAATTGATATGTCATCAAACAGCCGCCATACCAAAGGAGTGAGCCAGCCCAGCACCCGTATAAGTATACCACGTCTTCTATTTTCCTGGCCGACTTTGTAGTCGATAATTCAACTCCCTGACAGTATGCATGCATTCTGCGAAGTTTCTTATTTTTTTCATATTGAAACTCATATTTTCCAAACTTCCCCCAGCGGAGACCTGTCATAAAATATTCCGTCAAAAGTGGGGCACGTTTTCGCAATTCCTGGGATTTTGCCTGCGTTCGTTGAAGAGTAGACTTGCGAAATTTTTGGGGTTTTCTGTGTAAGAGTGAAGATCCCAAGGAACAGGTGTGGACATTGTTATTGTCATTCTGTTCCCTGTTTGGAAAGGGAGATCGTGCCATCCCAGGGATGGTAAGGCGGTGGTGGTCACCTGAAATCGGCAATTCCCGTATCTAATGTTGGTCAGCCCAAGGTCTGAGACAACAGTCAAGTGTATAACATTCAGGAGATATGATGAGATTTGATGAGATTTGATGAGATTTAGCTGATTGATGTGACTTTACGAGGAAGTTGGCTACTTATTCTTGAAACCAGAGATCTTAATGACAAATGCTCAAGTTATATCCTCGTAACATCACGAGGTCATCATTGTGAAGTATCAGGAAACTTCTTGAGGAAACAATTAGTTACACAAATACAGTTTTACTCATCGAAAACACAGTCCTATAAGCGATAATTAAACAAGGCGTTTTACAAACACTGCATTGGAAGGGAAAAATAGTATTGCGCAAAACTCCCACCAACTTGACTGATTTACAAATTTAAAGATGGGGGATCTAGATTTGTGGGTTGCTTTAAAAACTATTTAAAATGCCTGTCTTTTCTTTAGACGACCAGTATCTCTAAATATGATCACCCTCTTATCAACTGAAATAAGTCCATGAGAAATCGATTGGAAATCAACCCTTCGACAGGTCTTGTTTTCTTTAGTTTGCCAGCAAGCCAAAGAGTTGTTTAGCCCCAGGATGAGACATTTCCGTGGGCAGAGCCACGGTACGAATGTCTGATATATCGTAGCATGTTATGCGACCACGCGCGCCAGCCAATCGGAGTGGTCTTTAGAACTGTGACGTCATTTTGATCAGAAATGTGGACTAAGCTGTGGATTGGCCAATTCGGATGCCATGTTTTTGTAATACAACAACGGGCTACAGGGGACCCCATAGAAGGAGCCCGCTGAATGGTCAGAATCTCGAGTTCAAGACGCAGTCTTGTTTTGCATAATTAATCGAAGACGTAAAATGTATAGACTCTTGCTGTTCAAGATGATATTCAACATACTAGGAGGCTTTATGCATTTTGTAAAACAATTAATGCATGTAAGGTTTTCTTCACAGGCCTTTACAGGCTCATTTGTATTTATCCAATAAGTAACCTATCGAATTACTATTAAAAAGCTTACTTGGATAAAATATCGTACTAGTAATATCAACACCCGTGAAATTATTCCGTCTGGCAATTCGCGACCAGTCATGCCAAATAGTGCGACACATATTCAAGGCCTCACTCAACACAATACACATGGTTCACAACGCTCTTTGATATTCAACTCGTATTACATATCAAACATGAAATCATCGCGAAATGTGTGCATTCAACACAATCCCAATTCCGTCGTTATGTTTGGGGCGCGTTGCTATTACCTTTTCAAAGGTTTACCCACAAAATGAATGAACACGCCCACCTTGTGAAACCCCGGCTCACCCCAGGATTGACAGATGGGCAGGATTGACAGATGCACAATAGAGGTTCCTCGGGCACGAGGTTGAGGGAATAAAAGGCAGGTTAATCGCAACGGATTCAAACATAAATGGTGTTGTTGCCAAAACATTAATCACCAAGGACCGGTTGCCATGATGAACACACAACAGAGCGACAACAAGGAGTAAAACCCACAAACGAGTTCACTATGCGAATCGAGTATTATACAAAAACCCACATTTTTATTGCGTTCGTTCTTCGTGCATGTCTGGAACATGCTTCCTTTATCAGACGAATTTCTGTTTGGAATTTAAGTAAATTAAATTTAGGTAGTTTTTGAATTTTTGGTTTCTGGACTACAGAATACGTAATATGCCTCATGCTCTGCCCTATTTTTTGTTGCCGTGAGCGCTCCTATTCATACAATTTTATGGATTGTTTCTTCCCTGTCTTTGATTTTCGGATACAGAAACAATTTGCAGTCTTTCACTGTGAGGTTAAAAATTACCCATGAGACCAAAACAATTTGAGCATTTTTTTCACACACAAATTACTAAAACCGAAACATTTACAGTTAAAACCAAACACTGATGAAGAAGACAACCCCAGCCAATGCGTCCCTTACTTTAACATCATTTTCTAGGATAAAACTGAGAAATTACAAACCTTTATTTGATTAAACGGAACCACAGAAAGAGTCTCCTAGAACTAAAAGTGAAAAGATGCTATGTTTTCCCAAAACAGGGGGAAAAAACCTTTTTAACATTCTGTTCGCAAAAAGCTCAAATTAAGCAAAATACTAGTCATTATAATTAGTACTTGATCTCTGGTGCGCAAATTAAAAAGACCATTTTGATGCTGCCGAGTAGGCGCTCTCCACTTTCAACCTGTCGGTTGATTAAGAGACACAGGAGAAGAAATGGAAGGGGAAGATAACAAAATAATGTGAGACCGAGAGCGCACGGCTCACTGAGATGAGGCGCATTATAGGCAACCCTGCGCACCCGGTACCACCCGCGGCAGAACTCCCCGTCCATGGTAACGACGACAAACTTTTTATCTGATCGCACAAATTGTAGGATTCTACGGTTGCCTAATAGCTATTATTTTAGAATGATATCGGGGAATTACAAATGCCAATCCCTTTATACAGGTCTCCATAACAAACAACTAACTAACAGTAAATATTACATTGTTGCCGTGGCAACGTTGATTATAAACGGTCGTTATAATTGTTAGGTACTATCAGTGCGACAGTTCCGGATCACTTTTTATACACAAACTGCTGTACACTCGCTCATGTGACATCATTTCATAGAAAAATTCTTCCTCTTCCAGTTAAAACCAAATATTTTCACCCATAATTCAACTTAAAGGGAAATAAATCAAGGCTTTTGTACAGAACTGAACCCGACAGTTGCGGATCACTTTCGATTTATCAAAAATCTGCCAAATTCCTATGAATTACTCGAAATCCACTATAAACACTTAAAATCACATTACATTATAAACAATCTATAGTCATATAAAGGTGTTATGAAATTGCGTAAATTTCAGTCAAAACGACTGGTTGCGTCACGATGAAATCCGATTCTCAGTGAACCTCAGCACATAGACAAGGCAACCTGTCCTATTTTGCAAGCGTTTTGTTTGAAAAGATTTAAGTTTTGTTAAACAAATCTACCTTTTTTCAAATTTCCTATGTTTTATCTTTCAAATAACCATCTTTGCAGAATTCTGCCAGAAATCTGCCAAAAAATCCATTCTGTCAAATTTTTTGTCAAACTCGTTTTTTTTAACAAAAAAATCCGTCAAAGTTAGCCGAAAATCGGCTAAAATGGTCACTATGGCTACATGGTATGTACAAATTCAAATTCACGGCGTGCTCAGCGCGCGCGCGCCGTGTGTAACGCCTTCACATAATAATATAGCTCTATGCGCCTTCATCATCTAGACTGCACACAAAACTGCATCGTTTGCATGGGTGATCCGCAACTGTTCACGCAGGGATACAAATATTTCGGCGAATACGGCAATTCAGTTAATTCAAATACCCAAACCATTATTACTCAGTGATACTTGACATTTGTCCTTACAAGAAACCTAATAGTGCAGAAAAAACGATAAATGTTGACTACGTTTCACAGGAAACCAGAATTGTAACCTTTACGCGATTCCTTTCACAGGCAAGCTACAAAACAAGCGGATATTTCGCCGAACTCGATCGTTGGGAGCCTAATGTTCGAGCGATTTCCCAAATTTCTTTTCCCCGACAACTGCAAAATGATAGTTAAATTGGCGAAAAAAATCTCGAATATTTTTATTTTAATTTTTATCAAGTGATCCAGAACTGTCGATGATCTGGAACTGTCTCACTGACTGTATACATGTATGTGCGCAAGAAAGTTAACATTAAACTAGAATTTATAACGCGAACTCCCAGAAATTAATTATAAATATAGGTTTCAAATTTTCAAACTTTTCCGCACGGGACAGAATAGTCAAATATAGGCGTTATAAACGACTACAGCTGAGTCCATGAAGGTAATTGAAAATGCTGATGACGATAACAAAAACAACGCCAATGATAGTGGTGAAAATGTTGAAGCTTATGAAACATATATTCTAAAAATGGAGACTACCATCCGTTTCAGACTGGTTTCCGGAGTCGCGCGTCGAGCCAAAATAATAGTACTTAGAGCGACTCTTGTCGACATTGTCGACCCAAATAGAATTTAGTTTCAGACAGGCAAAATGTACTTCCATATAGGATAGACTCTTGCAACGATTCCAATAGTCCATCTTTTGAAAACTGGCGCGCGAAGTCACTCCAAAATGTGTTTTTAAAATGACGAACTTATTAAATTCAAATCTTCAGAATGTTGGTTCGGCTGGTCTTCGAAAAACAAGTCCAAAGCTCGTGTAAGGGGAGTCGAGGGGTGAATGTTAAACACCGCTGGTTAGGCCCTAATCATAAAACGCCTTTCGATTTTCGGAATTCGAATTTTGGTCTGTATATTCATCACTTAGATCTCGGCCGTTCAATGGCGGATATTATTGGGCTTCAGAATAAATCCATGGGTGATGCTATTAGACAGAGTCTTCAGAAATGATGGTATTTTTTAATTTTGCATACACGGTCCTTGAATAAAGCCATTTTCATGATGCAAGGCCTTGGTTCAAAGGAGGATATTTTATTAAAAATAGGGGCACGATATAGGCTAATAAAACTGTTTTCAGGCTCGGTTTGCAAGAAATACATGATAAGGATCGGAAAAAAAATAATTTAGAGCAAAGGTTTTGCCCAGTCGTTGTTGATAAGCCCTAGAGGAAGACTCAAGATTCACATTTTCAATGGCACGACAGTCTTCTCGACTGACTACTCGAGTTCGAACACTGCTGACATAAGGGCTACCTACTCAGAACTCAAGGGTCTCGTTAACATTCAGATTCTAAGAAACTCAAATCAACTAATCAATAACTTTTTTTTCCAATTTTCTATTTTAATCAGCAGAATTGAGATCGTCTTTTGCTGACATAAGTTTTATGTGATGAATGAGCTCAGTGATCCTGCACTACGAAAACTGATCAGTCGTTAACTCACGCTGTTGTTGTTGTTTTTTTATTAGACCAAACAAATATTGTCACGGAGTAAAAAAAAAGACATCACAACGGTGTTTTTGATGAACATGGTTTTTTTAGGGAGACGGGGAAAGTGGAATGGATAAATGTCATGTCATACTTACTACAACCTGACTCTCTGCAGTTCAAAGATTTATTTCTTCCAACAGTGATTCCAGAACTCAATGACGCTCCAGCAAGCTCTGAGGTCTTTCAAATGTCTTCAACTTGACCGAAAACGCTCACCAAAAACTCCACCAGAGGTTTCCTTTCGCTACAAATTTGATTCCGCTTGTTCAACTCCCCAAAATCCGTTTTATTGATCCAGATGAATGTGTCAGAACAGCAAATCTCGGGTATATGAAAAGCAGTAGATCGACCACGATTCTGAAGTTTAATTCAGTCAAATTGAACAGGCTAGAAAGCGTGTTGCGTTTTTATGGCATTTCCTTGACGACAGTTCCTATGGACGCAAACCGCGTCAAGCAAGAACTGAAAAAAAATCGGTGTATAGGACAAGGCAATGGACTCCGATCACTGTAACATCGTTGACAACTATTGACCAATCAGGTGCGCCCGTATTATTATCTTGTCCAATAAGCGCTGTTTTCACTGCTGGGCTATGCATATTCATAACAAAATACGCGCGCCACTGTGCCAAATTCGATGTCAACTCCAGCGAGTCATTTTCAAGAAGCGCTAATGTCACAATCATTGCTGGGCAGTGGGTTTGTTCAATATCACATTGCATGGCGGTGGCTGCGAACAATACAACGAAAATACGAGTGATTTATTGACGACGAACACCAAACAATCAGTACAAACGTCTTTTTAATGTATTCGGGTGCAGTGGCGCCTATATTTGTTTAACAGTTAATCCAGGGCCCACTTATTTCGGTTGTGTAAAAATCAGACGGTTGTGTACTATATGAACCTAGCAACCCGTTGTGTAAACTGTTGTTTACACAACTTGTGTAAAATATTACACAACTTGTTCAATTTTTTTTTATACAACTGGTTGCTAGGTTCATATAGTACACAACCGAAATATCAGTGGCACAGGAAAACAGTTCATTGACACCTGATGGGGCTACCCTTGTAAAATAACACGAAATAAATAAATAGATTCATAAACCGTACAAATCTATAATGGCCCTGAAGGGACATAACCAGTCATGACAAAGAAAACTGAGTATTCCACCTACAACACGCCCGAACACGCTCCACTGAAGACGCTGGAGGGTAGAGAACTTGAATGAGGTCCCTGACTTTAAGTACCTTGGCGCATGGATCAACTGACATCAAGGTCAGGAAAGGAAAGGCATGGAGGGCACTGGCTGACATGAAGAAAGTGTGCAGCTCCACCATTAGCCGCAACGTAAACATCTCTTTCTTCTTGGCAACCATCGAGTCAGTGCTACTCTATGGATGCGAAACATGGACTCTAACTCCTACGATGGAGAAGTCATTCAGTGGATGCTACACACGCATGCTCCGAGTGGCGCTCAATGTATCCTGGGAGGACCACGTAACCAATGATGACCTATATGGCGACCTCCCTAGGGTCGGAGACAAAATCGCAGCCCGTCGGATGCAGTTAGCAGGCCACTATTACCGGCACCCGGAGCTGGAGGCACACAAAGTCATTCTCTGGAAACCGACCCGCGGACAGAGGAGGCGAGGAAGATCGAAAATGTCTTACACCGGGGTGTTGCAAAAGGACACGGTGTAGAATCAACAGACGAACTGGCCACTCTCATGCGGGACAGAATTACTTGCAAAAGCCATACTCGAGCCCGCCTGTGGGCGACCGAGTGAGTGAAAAAAACCTGTTTACATTACAACACGGATTTGCGAGTGCCCTTTTCACGAACTTTTTAACCCCCCCCCCCTATGAACTTACCTTGTTATGCTACTGGGACATACACAAATCTGACGGGCCTGAACACCCCCTTGCAAAAATTCCTGGATTCGCCGCTGTCATGTTAAAAGCTTATATGAATGAATATGAAGCAAACAATGGGAAAAGGACCGTGTGTGTTTGCCTCCATCAACGTCACAAAATGTCTCCCAGTGCATGCATGCATGACATCAACAGCGGCGAATCCAAATGACATCATTTTCAGAAACGGCAGTTCAAATACGCAGGACTAGACTCCACTTACTCTAAATAGCGCCCTCATAATGATTGTGTCCATCATAATCTCAAAAATGCTTGTGGCGGTCACTGAAGGTCTTTATTCGCCATGAATAAAACATGATCAGGCCCCTCCCCTTAGATTCTGGATCCACCCACCAGAGTTACTTTCATTTGGGAAACTAAAGGTTATCAATGGCGTGACAAGCTGCAGGCTACCAAATAAATGAATCTGTACTGCTCTTCAAACTTTTCCAAATATTTTAATAAGAAATTCACTTTTCTGTTTAATTCTTTATTTTAAACACGAAAACCGTTAAGCTGGGTTCATACTTCATGCGAATGCACAGCGAATTGGACGTCCTGAAACATTCGCTGCGAAATTCGCCCGAGTTGAAATGGGTAAAGTCCGGTTCATATACTTCACGCGAATGCGAATGCGAAGCGAATTGGACGTCATGAAACATTCGCTGCGAAATTCGCCCGAGTTGAAATATGTTCAACTTTTACGAATTCGCAGCGCGAATACTTGCCATGACGTCACAAATTCACCTTCGCTTTTCGCTTTCGCGCCGAGTATGAAACAGGCCTGTTATACAATAAAACCTGATTTTTTTTTATCAGTTACACTCAACTAGTTACACACAACTATTTACATATGAGTGTATAAAAAGCCCACTCTTTAATTAATCGTACTATTTACATGCATATTGTCATTATTATGAAGAGTACAATTTTAGCCAGATTACAATGCTGAATTCTTAAAGCACACATAAAAAAGTCCACGCTATAGAGTATTCACATTGTTCGTAAGCCTGAAGCACATGGAACATTTCGAAGAATGGGAGGTCTCAAGGCAAAATTGTTATTGTTATCCTCTTGCTCCATAATTAACTCATTTTTGTTTCCGTCGTAATAATTGTCACTACGAACACTTTGAAATCACTCAAGGTAAAACGAATAAATGATTCACATGGAAGTAAACTAAAATGGTACGTCTTAAATATTTTAAGGCAATAATATGATTATCTATTAGGTGCCTTAACAGTGGTCACGTGGTATCCAGGTGCTCCAATGAGCATTTGACCGAAAGCGTGGGTCAACCACTTTCTCAAAGCATAAACTGAAAACATCACTCCATAATGTATATACAAAGACTTTTAAAATTACAGTCGTGTATTTACTGCACAACACATACACTATAGGTAGGTCCGCCATTTTGTTTACTTTATTTCAACCTCGTTTACAATAGGAAAGAAGGGTGAGAAGCTTAGGGCGGCGTATTGATAGACGCCATGGGAACGAGGATACGCACTGAACCCCCCCCCCCCCTAACAAACCCCTAAAATTATTCATGTTTTAAAAACAAATAAAAATAAAATAAGTCTGCTTATATAAATATGTTTTTTTCATCATGTAAATTAAATAATCATTACTTTGAAACAAAAGCTATAAATGTCAATTGCAAAGTTTAGTCTTGGCAGAACGGGGGGGGGGGAGTTCAGTGTGTATATTATATGCGGAGTATATGTAATCTTAAAACAACCAAACGTTTGCCAACAATCCACAAATAATCTAGCTGATCGAGGCCTACTCATATTCTCAAGACACAGAAGTCACAGATGGAGACTTCTCCGGTTTCTTGTCCGAGCTGGGCTGCAGTTCGGCTTCTTCAATGGACGTGACCTTCTGGGACTGCCCATTGACCTTGACGACGGCGAAGATAATGATGGCCACCACGAGGACTAAGGCGACAGCGCCGCCAACGGCGATCCCGGCAATAGCTCCGGCTGAGAGGCCTCCTGGTGCCGCTTCAATGACATAATATAATGAATCACAAACATTAAAACAAAAGAATAAAATCGACAAAATAAACAAAGATGCAAATCGTCTGTGATTCTTTCCCTACTTTTGACGTTTTTCTCGACTGTTTGTGATTTTTTGTCATGACAAATATGTTGGAACATTACCAGAGAGGGCGCGCTATTTGGCTTCTCTTATTCGTTTCAATAACCAACGTCAATTTTTTGTATTGACTTCGGCTGCGTCCAAAGTTGGCGGTGTCCAGAAATAACACATTACCCGATGGAAGCAGCCGAGTCCTGCTCCTATTGATCATATGCATGGTAGCCATTAGTGAGGGGCGTTTTTCTTCAAGATATGTATGGAGTAGACCTTATGTGGATTTATAGAAGAAACCACACCAAATATGGCTTCGAATAGTCCGAAACAACAAAAACAAACCATTTTGAATGTGAACTTACCGGTTGCCTTCGGTGCCTCTGCGGAGAAAAAAAAAGTGAAGAAAAAGACGTTTAGTGCATAATAGCAGCCTCGTTCCCTCAGCAAACACAAACATAAAAAATATTGTTAAATAAGTCAGAAATCGAATCATAATGAAGAGGTAAAACTGTAGACCGCGGTTAGCCAATGCGCGCAAATGCCATCCGAAAAGTTTGCCATTGAAATGCATACACACCATACCGGATGTGATTTCTTTTTCATTGCGGACCATGTGGACACATTTTGAGCGTCAAATGATATGCATTTCGACCCTTCGTGAATTCGAAACGGAGCCTGAGCAACTGACGGGAGTTGAAAATTTACAAAACAGAAGTCTTACAGATTTTTCTACATTATTATGCTTTTCAACCAAAAAAGGGCGCCGCATTTATGAATGGGAATAAAAGAGTGATGAACGACTCAGTCTTAACGGCCGTTTCAAACCTTGCAGGGTCGTAGTCGTGATGACTTGCAGGTCACAGGTCACGCAAAATCTATCCAATCAGAACGTGAATTCGTCAGCCCTTCTCAGCGTCCTGGGGTACGTTTTGGCGGTCATAACCAAGAATTGGTTTGGTGGTTTCTCTTTGGTTAATTGTTTTGGGGATGGGATTTGAGTACTACATGATCATGCTTAATTCTAACCCAATTAAAATTGCCGAAGAAATTCACCGACAAGAAACCACCGAACCAATTCTTGGTTATGACCGGCAAAACGCACCCCTGTTTGCAGGGCGTGGGTAAGAGCGAAGGTCACCCCCAACTGTACTTTCTTTGCCGGTAAGGGGGTACTTGTGAACGAAGTGAATATAGGGCCTAAGCTTCGAGCGACACATGCCATGGATATATTTTAAAAAACACCTAAAAAACTCAGCTTTACCTGATGAATAAAAACTTGGGAAGAATTTCTGACAAAAGTCCAGTGACTTGAAACAGCTCAGGGGCTCAATATGTACCCTTGCCAACGTCTTTCCCCAAGTTCGCTCAAATAAATATTCAACTTCGTTCTCAATGGCAGAGAACGAAAGCAACTGCAGGGTTAGCGTAGTGCGTTGTGCTCAATGGGGACGAGGTTATCCGTGTTTTGATACAGGCGGGGGCCTTCGCTCGTACCCCCCGCCCTGCAAACAGGACGCTCGGATACGCTGATGGATTTACGCTCTGATTGGTTGGATTTTGCGTGACTAGTGACCTGCGCGTCATCAAGGTCATGACTCTGCAAGGTTTGAAACGGCCGTTAAGACTGATTCATCACTCTTTTATTCCAGTTTAGAGATTTTTTTTCTCTTTGAAAAGCGTAATAATGTTGGAAATTCTGTAAAACTTATCTGTGTTGTTAATTTACAATTCCTGTCACTCGCTCAGGCTCCGTTTCGAATCACGAACGGTCGGATTACATTATGCGACGCTCAAAATTTTGTCCACATGTTCCTCAATGACTCAGAAATCACATCCGGTATGGAATGTGCGCAATTCTATGAGAAATTTTCGGATAGCATTTGCGCACATTGTCTAACTGCGGTCTTAACCAGCTGCAGCCAGATGCTTTATACATAGGTCATAGGCCACTTCCTTCACAAGATTCTGTGAAGCTCATCAGAGTATCACAGCGTCTTGTTTGCAGTCCTCCTTGTGCATCGCTGAATGTCTTTTTACCTTTTACTTCAAAAGACGATTCGTCGACGCCCAGGCCCGTATTGGATTCCTGGAAACCTTTGATTATCTGTGCTTTCAGCGTGTCGACCGTAACCTCTGCAGTCCCCGTAAACGACAAGCGACAGTCAGCGATGACGCTGCCTTCCGAGAACGAGTTCACCGCGCATCCTTTGAAGTCATCTTTGAAAGTGGCGTTGTTGAGTGTCGTTTCGAGCTGAACACCAAGAGAGGATGAAGTAAGACGGTGTTTGATCAATACCAAGGAGTAACAACGGTAAGTGTCGATAAACAAGGCTTAACCCTAAAAGGGCGAGGACGGAATCCGCCCCCCCCCCTCAACTTTTTTCAGCAATCCCTTGATTTTTTTTTCGCGACCACAGCTGTCCTGATTTTTTTAGCCTCGAGTCTTGCACATCTTTTGATACCAAAATATAAAATTCAGACCACGGGTTGTCGCGCAGCGAAAAAAAAAATTCCGGCGCTATGCGCCATCAAAACTGAATTTCCCCATATACGTAATGTACGCAAAGCTGAATTACCATTCGTGCATATGAATAATTAATTAGCCATAATTCCAAAACCCTTTGACCTATAGTCATGACATTTCTTGGGTACGTTTATGTTGAGTATATATGCATTTATTAAGTTTCATAATTGTTCGTCACTCGATGGTCGAGATCTATAGGGGGATCCACCCCCGCCCCCGGCTGTGAGATGGTCAAAATAACCCGGCCTTTTTATTTTAAGGTAATAAATGTAATACAATCTAAACAAGGCTAGGGCTTGAATGCAAATAATGCTAACGAGCCTGGCATTCAACATCACTCTTTCTCTCAAGAAAAACCCTGACTTAATCACCCAGACATGGCGTACGTTAGCGCATAATATATCCAGTTCGGACATCTTGACTATAAAAATCAATGGTGAAGATAATCATGATCCTTTTGAAATCTCAATCCACAGGCAATAATTATTTTCACATGAGCGTTTCTTTTCTTTCTTTCCTCCTTTTTTTTTGGGGGGGGGGGCGGGTTGGGGGTTAGGGACAAACAGGCGTACATTCAAGTTCATCGACGTCACTTCAAGTTACATGTTGCGATACTTCAGAAGTATCATTATTACAGACTAAAGACTGAAGTAAAGATACTACATCGGAAAATTCAAGGAAATTCGACAGTTTGATTACCCGAACGGGGTCAACACAGCGCCCTTATTCGTTTAGATTAGTTTTGGCCTAATTCATAGACACACCATATCGGGGATATACTTGATTGACAATCCAGCGGTTTTATGGGGTAAAGGCACAGCCTAGTGATTTGGACCGACATTCCGACAACCTCCCCCTCCCCCCCTCCCCCCCCCACTATCAAGCAGTCAAGTGTATTATAGGCCTACATGTACGTAGTTTCGACTTAAATACATTTCTTTAATGTCTCATAGAAGAAACGCATCAGTCTAGTTTGATGTACAGATAATATTCTTTAATTTGTTACTGTTTGCGGACTGTATGCTTGCAGAGTACTTACCGCACCACAGACGGTGTCTCTCATATTTTTGAATGCACCCGTTTCAGGGTCTGTAAGGGCGTCGGTGAATATGGCGTCCGTCCCGTTGATTTGTGTGATCTTGAATATACTATCAAACTCCTTACGGGCTGGCAATATAAACACACGGTTTTCCTTATAAAGGTCTATCTGAGGAAAGTCAGGAACAGATATGATACCCTAACGGATCCTATTTTCTCTACACTTGGTTTGAAATCCAACTAACCTTACGACGGGTAGCGATTTGGGTCATTTCGACGGGTTTTCAAAATAAACAGCGAATGTGTCCAACCGGCAAGTACTGATCGGGGTATCGCCTAGTTTGGGGCAATCGATGACCAATGAGTCATCCAACAAATCGTCCAAGCTTATAAAAACATATTCCCTGTGCTATTTTCGAGTTTCACCTCGAGTTTCTTTTCATTTGCTATTTTCCTGACTGCTTCACAATAATTGGGCTCTCACAGGGCGGGTTATTTGTGCACATTATGAAAGCCCTTTTTATGGAAATAATGTATAGTTTTATTATTGATTGGGGTATGCATCTGTAAAGCTATTCAAACGATGCCATGTGTATATAACAAGGGGATTATTACTATATCAGTTAGAAGGGTTATCATTAGTAGAATCATTCTATATTCTCAGTATCTCCCAAGGTAAGAGTTTGTCAATGTTCGAGGCAGGGGCTCGGAGGACGAGGTAAACAATTTCTTTGAATTATTCATGTTTTCAAGAAAGAGCTAATGTTCTTACGGGTTGCTTCAGTGGGTTTTTCCGTTGCCTTTGGCTCCGTTACTGCTGGTTCTGTCACCCTTGGGCCCTCCGTCGGCCCTGGGCCCTCCGTCGGCCCTGGGCCCTCCGTCGGCCCTGGGCCCTCCGTCGCCCCTGGGTCCTCCGTCGCCCCTGGGCCCTCGGTCGGCCCTGGGCCCTCCGTCGCCCCTGGGCCCTCGGTCGGCCCTGGGCCCTCCGTCGCCCCTGGGTCCTCCGTCGCTCCTGGGCCCTCCGTCGCTCCTGGGCCCTCTGTCGGCCCTGGGCCCTCCGTCGCCCCTGGGTCCTCCGTCGCCCCTGGGCCCTCCGTCGCTCCTGGGGTATTCGTCTCCCCTGGGCCCTCCGTTGCCCCCGTGGCATCTGTACCCCCTGGTGTACTCGTTGTCCCAGTAGAAGCCGTCGTATCTGTCTGCGCGTTGATGGATGTCCCTGTGTAAAATTTAATAATCATGAAATGAAACAGTAATTCAGCCTGCATGCAATAGTTGATTTGGGCACGACTGCACTAAATTTCATGTGCTTATCTTGTGAAGGACGCACCATAGTTTTGAAAAATAGGAATATATTATTTACGTAATATATTTAATCTAAAGAAGGGTACCCTTCTGAAGTGACATATATCTTTTTTGTGAAGACTGCAGCATTTCTATGAGAGGATACATGTACATTCCTTTTTTTATTTTGTAGTCATTCCGATTTCATTTTTATACTCATTTCTTTCATTCCAGCTACACCTCAAAGAGTAACACTATTGAATCGTTCTACAAATTAAAAGGTTAAAAAAGTCAAGGAAAATACATTTTTCAGGTGGCAATCAGAAGTACTTCCACTGATCACTTGAAATGAAACAATGGTGAGATTAATAACGTAAGTGTTAACTTACCCATCATGCAAAGTGCGATGAAGAAGAAAGAAACAATTATACTTCTTGAGTCCATGATGACGAAGCTAAAATGTTGCCCCTTTTGAACACAAAAACAACAAACATGACAAACATGTAACTTTCATTTTCAAATCAACGCTACATCTAAAAATAAAAAATCCTTAAAGATAATCACAAGGCATGTAGGAGTTTTATTTAATTTAAAGGCATATAGGATCAAGGCTTATCCTAAAAGTGCCATACCCTTTTTACATGTATTATCAAAAAGCTTACTTGGTTTAAAGATCGCAGTGGTACTTATAGGCCCCGTGAAATTAAATAACGAAATGCGATTCATTGCCAACGATAAATTTCTTTCTGCCAGCCATGAACTTGAGGGTTAGAGAAAAATAGGTGGAAGCCGTGATCAGGACTTCAACATTGTCTTACTGTGAAATTTGGATGAAATTACGCCTTATAGTTACTTCAAAATTGCAATGGGCTTTCCGACAACATTTAAGTAAATCGGACTTCTCATGACGGACTCCTCATGACGTTAGTTATTTTTTTATGCAACCACGTATAGTCAATGACATAATGCACTTGCGTCAATTGGTATTGGAATGGTTCTCGGACATAACTTCCGGGTTTTTTTTTAAAGATAATCCACCAGACCCCGGATGATAAGAAAAGACTTACTTTCATTTCTTCATCAGGAGTTGATCAAACACAATTAAAGGGGGGGGGTCACTTTTTGGGGTGAAAATGAAAATGTAACATTCCCTTCAGAAATTGAATCTGGAATTATTCCACCACGCTTACCGTGGTGGAATAATTATAAGCTATAAGAACTAAATTCCGAATCAGGTGACATTATATTTGTTTTACGTGATTTGTTGCACGCATGCGCATTATGTTCATTGACTATAATTGCTTGCAGAAAAAAACTGCCTTCTGTAATGTCATATACCATATTCTGTTTTGCGAATGAGGTTGCTGTTACGTTAGGATACAAAGGGTTGCATCATGAGCAATATTAAGCAACGTTATGCTTCAATCTAATTGATAAAGATTTTTAAAACAAATAAATGTCTTTTTATTTAATAATAGCTACCGGTACATCATAGCATTACATCAATATCCTTAGGTTTCTTATGTGTTTGCACCCCCCAAATGGCGTCTCTATAGCGCCCTCATTCGTTCAAGAATACAGTTAATTAATCCTTCGAGAAATGGCGGCCACAACATGAGGGCGCCATTTGGTTTGCGTGAATGAGCCAAAAATCGTGAAACGGTGCATGCAAGTCAGAGTTCACCCTTAGCGGCATATCCTTCACATCTATCATCAAAATATATTTAAAGAAAAAACAAAAGAAGCTAATTCGAGCATTGTGTACAGAAAGCTGTGTCTGCAAATGGGAACTGTTATTGGTAGATTCCGAAACAAATCTGTATTTTTGTTGGCTAAGATTTGAGGGAGTTTATGCTCAATAACAATACATGTATGAACTGGAGACAAGTGCATTTTGTTCCATAACAAGATCGCGCGATGTTTAACACGATTTTATTTCTACTCGAAGCCTACCAGGCTAATTCTAAGCAACACATTTTTTGAAAGATTTATGAATTATGAAAACAGAAAGGGCGTAACTGTTTTGAAGTCCTGTTCTGCTGATGCAACTCCTTATGGTTTTTAAACTTTCTTAATTAACGAGTCAGTGACGTAGTAAATGGGATTCAGTGTTTCGACATTCCCACGCCCCACCCCTCGTACCCCCTCCCCCAGGGGAACGGGAACAATGAGCACCGCAGCCATTATCTTGTCAAATAATAAGAATGTCGTGTCAAATTTAAACTAGAAACAGTCAGTAGGGGCAATAAAATGTCTATATACACATACACAAATGTGTTCCGTGAAACGACTGCCCGCTGGTATGTCCGGCGGCCCAAATGTAGACCTATTCGATTTTTACTGTTGCCCCATTAAAAATGTCTCGCAAAAATTAACTGGGTGAAAATAGGAGATATGGAACCGATTAAAACCGATATAAATTGTGGATTCTATTAAAGTCAACTAATTACTCCCCCCCCCCCCAACTCCCTAATCATTCAAGATAGTGATGGCGCTTATTGGATATACCTTTTTCCATCATCCATTTATATATTCGCCTTTTTCGGCATAAAAAGGATGAACTTTACAGCCATAAAATTTCCTGTCGTCAAGTAAATATTTGATTACTTGGAAATAACACAAAGCAGCTTCGTGTGCTGTCGACTGGCGGTATCAGCGAGTACATAGCAACATACAAAAATATTTACGTCCTTTATGCATCGTCACTAGGGGCAAGGTGCAAGCGTTATGTGGCCCAATATGTGCCGAATAAAATTAATCACTTCCCATCACGATAAGAGCGCACTCAAAATTATTTATCAAGCTGGTTGCTATGAAAACAGTTACAAACATCAACAGTCGGAACCAGATAAAAGCAGATTTCTTCTTGTTGTTCAATGCACAACGATGTTGGATAAGACATGCGTTTATATAGCATCTTCTTCTCAACCAATATCTATACGTAGGGTGTCGAATTCGTAAATGCCAATTAACAGAGTTAACTGTCAATGACTATCTACTTTCTTTTCAATTCAAAGGCCCCGATTTCTACATGTTAATTCAGTTTACAATGTGTCTGATACGTTGTATCATTAAATCAGTATTTTCACTGCTTGAATGGAAACCCAAGGTTAATCAGTGCATGCCCTAAAGCCCCTGTCACACTTTTGCGTATCCTAATTCCTTATGAGTTCCTTATCAACATTTTTCAATACGCAGCCGTACGTACGCTCAAAACGTCGAATTGTTTTGAATATTACCTTGACTTATGTGCGACGCACATCTAGCATACAAGTAACGAATTCAGCGCATCCATTGCGTATGAGTTGCGTATGAGTTAAGTATGCAGTGCACAACATTATTTTTCGGGCTGCGAATAGGTCAGTATGCAGTGCTCATGCCGAGCGTATTCCGGACGCACCCGACTTATGCCGACCGCATTCCTGACGCACTTCCGACGCAATACGTCGGCATTCGCTATGAGTTCGTTCAGCGTGTGTTGCGTCTGCGCTGCAAGTACGCTATGTATACGTCCAATATAGGCGGCTCATATGCTGACGGGGTGCGTGCCGGAAGGTCGGCGTATTACCGCGTATGAACCGCTAAATCCCCCACGAACACATAGTGTACTCGTACCGCGCACGACCGATGCGGGACCGACGCGCTGCGTATTTATTACTTATGACCTGCGTAACAGCGTACGCAGCGTAGTTTTGTGCATGCCCAAAACTATCCGGCGTACTGGGCCGTATCATGCGTATGCCTGCGTACAGAAAACTTACACAAAACGATAGAGATGCATATGAGGTGCGTATTATGCGTACGACTGCGTATGAAAAAAATGTCAATGCGCAACTCATAAGGAATTAGGATACGCAGAAGTGTGACAGGGCCCTTATTAAAGGACGAAGACAAAATGATTGTGCAGTTTTGTTACTTTCTTTTCTTTTCAAGACGTTTTAAACAACGCGGTGTTTAAATAAGCTCCGGACGGAACATGTTCCTTTATAGCAACCGTACGGGTCCGATGTGTTATCCGCCGGGGGATCTTGGAGTCCTGTCCTTGAGCTGGATGCTTTACAGTAATTAGATTCCTCTGATAAAAGTAACTAGAGGCCCGTGCAATTTAGATGAACTCCTATCAAGAAAAGGCCTTCTTGAAGTACAATTGATATTCCTAGTCAAACAAAGTTCCGTATATCCTGAGGGGTGTGAAATTGCCTACGCCGGCCAAATGAGGATTTGTAAAAAAAAAAAAAAGTAGAAGCCGTGCAGAGCACAGCGAGTTTCATAAACGGCTCTTTTTGCAATGCGGTGTAGGCATCTTTTTTTTTTCATAATGGCGATGGGCTTCAGGAGTACTTTTAGGGGTGGTCATCTTTGGATGGAATTTTCTGCCAAAAGGTCATTGGTTGATCCCAAAAACATGGAACAGAAAATTAAAAATGTTGAAATAAGCTTTACTTTGATGTGTGTCTAAAAAACCTTCGATCGAGCTCTGAGCGTTTTTAATAATTTTGGGAAATGCGCGTAATTATCTCTGTAACCTTAGATACAACGATCCATACGGCTGTTTACTGCATGCTCAGATCCTACTTGCCCATGAGTTCATTTTGCGATTGCTAATTGCATCAACTTCGCTTTTTATTTGCGCTTGAGTTTCAAAACTCTGTTGAGTGCTTCTGCATTCTCCAAGCTTCAGCAAATACCCCCATTCTATAATAAGAGTGTTCCGTGCCCAAACAGTTTAATGAGCATTACTTTCGAAAGATAACTACTTTATTTTCAAAACTTTAGTCTGTTTTTCTTTCGCATCTTTCGCTTGTTGTTTGTATGTCTGTGAACGTAATGGCAAATAGCGTCATCGCTAAGAATCAAAATATCCACACATATTTTGCATCACGTCCTCCGGAAAAGTACTTTCACAGTCCTTTTGTCTTCTTGGCCTGTTAAAATTGATCTTCCCATGAAAATCAAAAAGTCTGTGGGTTTTTTATTTCCTCCTACCAAGTTTTCAATTCGAAAGATTCATTTAAACAAATCCCCTACATTTTCCCAATTTGGGCAGTCATATTAGGTTTCTTCTGAGCCTCTTATGCACAAAAAGATCCCTCTTATGCACAAAAAATCCCTCTTATGCACAAAAAGATGCACCTTAATTATCGTCGGGCCTCCAATAATTGAAAACAAAAGGGTATTCAGTAAATAAACGTGCGCGGATGTTTTTGCGTTCGATGTCTTTAAAATATTTTTAATAATGAATGATTTTGTACTTCCTAGAAAAAAACCACGGCTATCTTAAAATAGACGTTTGAGGTCGAAACCCGCGGACACTGCACTTGACAAGCAACTTTTACCACACCGATGTACTTTTTCATATTATTTGGACCCAAATTTCGCTGTACATGCCTCTCGATCTGTTATTCAACCATGGGCAAGGCACTTAATCACTCGTTGCTTGTCCCCATCCAGGAGTAAATGGGTACCTGTGCGGCAGAGATGGTTATTGTGATTGAATAAGCTTGCTTGCTCCTAACAGGCTGCATCGAGATGTATACTCCCAGGGAGCTGAGATGGTATTTGGAATGCTTAAACGGCCCAATGAGCAGGGGTAATAACGATGTATGTAAAGCGCTTTGATCTTTAGTTAAAGCTATAGTCCATCATTTGCAGCCATCCGAAAAGTAACTGGCGTAATTTTTGATGAAAAACATAGTGGTTGAAAGATAGTAAGGGGACTAAACTCCCTGTGAAATTATTCTTTCTGGGAAGCTGTCATTTTGAAGTAATCAACGAAAGAAGGCCTTTCCAACGGTGCGTCTTAAGATGCACCGTAGGAAAATTTAAATTAGTAGTTCGTGTTGTTATTCGGCGCAGCGCGCGCAAGCATTGGCACGACGCACACGCGCGCGCGGTTGCTATAATTCGTCGGATCAGTGTGCGACATCGCGTATAGCTGCAATTCAAAACAATTCAAAACATGATTCAGCAACTTTTGATTTGAAATTGCGATCCTAGAATGCTGTTTTTCTCGGAATATACAGCTGAAGCTGAGTTGAAACTTCATCAGGTTAGTTGTTCAGTATCTTTTATTAGATTTTGAACACTTTTGTTGCTTCAAACGAACAAAATGAACAAATTACAAATGATGGACTATATCTTTAAAAGTGCTATTAGAACCCGTCATTATTAATATAAACAAGGGAAACTTGACGGTTTACAGCTTTCTCATATCGATTCGGATAAATACTTCATTTCTCTAAACAGAACAAAATGTGGCTTCGAGAAGAACCAGAAGAATTCCTTCGGCATTTAGGTAATTAAGGAAATAAAGTCCGAGCACACTGACCAATATGTTGAGTTTAAAAACTCCGGTTCGTCTGAAAACCATGCTCCTCTCTTAGAGAAATTGCAGTCCCAACGAGTTCCACCCATTTTTGTGCTCTTCATTACATACGAATCGGGTGAGTCAACTGGCTTGACAGCAGAGAAATCGTCAATTAACTGAAGATCATTCAAAGACAAATCTAGACACTACGGTATACTCGTCAAAATAGTTCACAATAGTCTCGAACTGCTTCTCAAACGTCTGAAAAGGGTTCACTCATGGTTTTGAATTTTTCTTTTAAATTTCTTACAATTTTTGTTCCAGAGTTTTGACGAAAGAAAATAAAATTTCTTAAATACTCACTGGAAATCTGCTGTCTTCCGTAAAATCGGTTCTTGTCCTCCCCGTTTGAACGCTGGAAACGCAATGGATTTGTGGTCGGCAGAGTAACGCTGAGACGGCGCCGGTTTTCCGTGTGATCAAAATGTTTTGTCGAATGTACGCCAGTTACCATAGCGAACCATGGCAACCAGACGCTGTAGGGGGCAAAAACAATGCTACCCCCTTGGTACGAAAACTCATTCCGATGAAGTACCTATTGTCTAGTCCTTGGAAATTGAGTTTATTAATGGCTCTGGGACACCCAAAATGAGATGATTGGTCGACAGGTGTACCCCTCCTAGACACGTGACATCAGGCACTGCATCTCACCCGCCGATTACGGCTGGCTTATAATCAGAAACACCAAGTTAAAGCAGCGGTGGCTATCAATGCGATTCTAGTTTAACTCCAGATGGGTAGTGGACAGTCGCAAGAGGTCTGAACAAGCAGTTTAAGCAGTGCTGTTAACAGCCAGAAAGCTTACAGCGTTGCCACACAACATGAATGTCCATGGCAAAGCATTATCTATTTGATACAAATACATCATACTAGACCCTACATTCATGTGAAGGGCCATCCAGTTAATTGAGTGATTCGAAGTTATTTTAGCTCAGAGACTCAATTTTCTGAATCAGTTTCTGCTGCTGTAACATGGTTGCTCGGATTTCAATGACCTCAGACAAACTCGCCATAAGTGCACTTGAGAATTATGACCTGTGCCCCAATTGCTGGAGGGCATTAGTTGGCCGTACGCAAAGCAGACTATTATTCCGGATTCAATAAAGCGATAATCTTATCTTCGTCAATGAAGTTTGACTTGACTACCTAGGAAGTCACTGGGAAGTCCTTCAGGACCAAACATTTTGAGCTGCGTTTCTTGTTGACAGTTTGCACGTCTCCGACTGTCGACTTGATCCTGCAAAAGCGCAGTGTAGAATTAATACAAGGTATTGACAATTACCAATCGCCACTTTACTTCGATAATAAAGAGCAGCTTAAAATGAGCATCCAATGAAACAGCAGTTTTCAATTTCAAAATACAGTTGCGTTTTTAATTATAGTCATCGTTCAACTCTGATGACTTTAGATCAAACAAACGAAAGTTGTTGCATCCAAAAGAACACACTCAGGTCATACCAAAAAAATGATGAACACACATTCGTTAATGAATTTCATGAATTTAAACCAAACTTATGCTATCTTCTCCGCTGTCTCGTTTCTTGTTGATAATAATTTTCACGTCTCCGACTGTCGACTTATTAATGCTGCAAAAGCGCAGTGCAGAATAAATGCAACGTATGCAAAATTACTAATCGTCAGTTACTTCTATAATAAAGGACAGCTTAAAAATAAATGAGCATCCAGCATTTGAAACTGCAGTTATCAACCTCAAAATACACTCGCGTTTTTAATTATAGTCATCGTTCAACTCTGACGACTTTACATCAAACAAACGAAACTTGTTGCATCTAAAAGAACACACTTAGGTCATACCAAAAAAAATGGTGAACACACATTCGTTAATGAATTTAAACCAAACTTTTGCTATCTTCTCCGCTGTAAAAAAAAAAGTTGGGTAAAACACTGCTTTGGCAATGTTATTTGCCTTACATTGGTGTTAGGTTACCTCATTGTGGGTTGATTCGGGTAAACTTGACCAACTTTTGGCTAGACTTTGCCCAAGAGTGTCGGAAGTTTGTTAGTTGACCAACATTGGAAAAATACCAAACCATTTGCCCAATATTTTTTTGGTACAGTGAATTCTAAAGACTCTATTATATCCTTACTACCATCAAAACAAAATGAATTCGCTATATATCAATATATATATAAAACACGTCTTTTGTACAGATTATCATTTTTATTTGTATACCCCCAATTAGATATCATTCACTGGAGAGACGGATGGAGTTGTGTTATACACGGACGGATGTGATACGAAAGATTTATAATCGACACAAAAAGGGTCCAAAGGGTATCTTAGCAATGGACTCGTATCTCGATGTGCACATTGCCCGCCTAATACTGCAATGAACTCGAAACGTTCAACTTGAGATGTTCAAGTTCGACCGCCTGATGATTCCCTACATGAACGGGTCATGTGCATTGGCAGTTTCAGGATACCAGACGATGAATATGCATTACCAATGGCGCACCAAGGATTTTGCTTGGGGGGGACTCACAATTTTTAAAATTTTTTAAAAATTTTTAAAAAGTTAAAATTTTTCCCCCAAAAAATGGCGAAAAAATTGGCAGAAAAAAAATGGTTATTTTATTTTTTGGGGGGTCAAATCGTGGGACTAAAAAGAAAAAAGAAAAATGAAAGAAAAAAAAAAGAGCATGACCCCACAAAACTGTGCTCATTTCACCTGACTGAAAAAAAACCCATCGGCATTCTTACTTTTCGACAAGAAATAACAATGTACATATAAAACATAACTAAGCAAGCAACCTTTACAAGCAGGAAATAAAATAAAGACTTTCCTATTAGTGCGGCTCACAGTGACGATGTATTACTTATCATTGCCGTGATACAGAATAAAAAGAGCATTTTGAAAGACCATTTACATAGCGGAGGGTTTATCATAAATCTTTTTTTTCCCGTTAAAAATGCCGTTTTCTTCCTGTATACAATATTATGCACACATTCAAACAAATAATTCTTTCCTTCAAAAAGCACGGTCATACCAAAATTAAACAGCAACGAGATAACAAAGACTTTCACATAATGCTTTACACCAATACAGACCCCTTGCAGGATGCGCCGTCACTGAGAGCAGTTTCTGTTATTAAAATTCAGTGGAAACGAAAATACAAATGTCTACTCATGCTTATCAAAGAAGGACACATTCGTGCCCTCAATGTGACGTCAGATGCAGGGGTTCTATACAGTTGTCCCCCTCGTGCACGGGCCCAAACGTCTTATACTTAGCTTTCCCCACCCCTGCCAGCTCCTCCGATCCGTAATTCCATCTTATCAAGATGACTTGTCCGACGCGTGGGATACCTGGTCAGGCGGCGGGCTGTCGCCGCGAGGCGGCGGGCTGTCGCCGCGAGGCGGCGGGCTGTTTCCGCGAGACGATGGCCGAGTCAGCTCCTGTTCCTCCACGTCCTCGACCTTGGCTGATCGTCCCGTTTTCTTCACTACAAGGACGATGACCACAACGATGATGGCAGCAGCGGCGACACCACCGACCGCAATGCCGGCGATGGCCCCCGGGGACAGACCCGGGTCTTCCTTGGGTGGATCTGATGAATAAAAAAAATTTAGGGGAAAATCAATTAATAAAAAAACTCAAACATGATTAAAAGTCTTGCCTTCGGAAAAGTACATTGATGAATGTGAAGCAGATACATCGTACGAAGTGACTACCTAGGTATTGTATCTTAAAACCTATACTTTAGTCTATTTGGTTCAAAAACAACAAAGAACAATCCGTTGACTACAGATCTGCTCATAACAAACGTGTTCGAGTCAACTCAGACTACAGTGAGGCCCTTGGAATATGCCGGAAGTACATGAATTTAAAGGGTTTTTTTTCCCAAATATCAAAGGATGGAAGAAAACATTTTCTCAACTTACCTGTGATCGGAAAATTTTCTGAAAACAAAACAAAACAAAACAAATGAGTTAGTTTTAACACAATATTGACGAAATGACCATTTATATACTTTCTGTCCAAAGAAAGTCAAGATAAACTTGAATCGGGTGGTTTGCAGAATTGCTGTGATCTTTTGACATCTTGTTTGGGTCTTCACAATTAGGTTTAGTGATGTATATCTTTTTTTCTGTCAGTTGTACTGATTTATGCTTTATGAAACTCATTCCTCGGAAGGGTACCGCTCTCATTAATTCAACCACATATTGGAAAGGCCACTGCTTGTGTTATAGCCTAGTTATATTCCCGTAAACAGCTAAAAACCGGTCCCGTTTTGTTTTTTTTTGTTGTTTTTTTGGTGGGGGGTCATAGAATACAAAAACACTTTTCAATCTTCCATGATATGCATATGAAATACCGGTACCTTTAACTGTGATTGATGACGGATCAACAGTGAGGGCAGTAATCCTTTCGTCATCTGAGTTGTTGAAAGCGTCCTTTAAGCTCTTCGTTAGTTCCTCAGAGATTACTTTCGTTTCCGGTGGAAATTCCATCAGAAATGTAGCCACAATGCTTCCTTTCCTGAAGCTTGAGACTGAGCAGCGCTCCATATTGCTTCCAGCACCCGAGTTTTCCAGGGCAGCGTCGACCTAACGGAGAGAGATCAACACGATCAAATGTTGTGATGGTAAGATGAGTAATGCATCATTGCCAGCCATTCCACGGAGATGTCGATGAGGATGCTCTTTCTTGTAAATACACGGTTCTCGAGGTTTCCTTGGACTCGGACCATAATTTATATTTTAGCAGGATGGGAAGGAAAATAGATCTAACATGACTTTATCGCTGTCTGTCTATACGGAATATGGATATTACTTACCGCAATGCAAACTTTGTCGCTCAAATTCCTGTAAAGTATTGATTCTGGCTTCTCGTAGTCGGACTCAAACACAGCATCGAGTCCATCTATTTGCAGGATCTTTATGTCACCCTCGAACTTTTTGAGAGCTGAAACAGAAAACGATAAACCGGTGATGAATGTGTGAACGTCTGAAGGAAATCACAGCAGGTGGGAGTAGCTCACAAGAGAGTCATCGCAACGTACTTCATTTTTTTTTGTTTCATGAATACATCTTTGCCTTATTGAGAAAGGTTCATGTATAACACACGTGGTGTTTCAATAGTGGGCTCTGTCTCATTACCAGGTGCTTTCGTAGCCAGTTTTGTAGGCGGTTCTGGTGTCCTAGTTGCTGGTGTAGGTGGGGTTGTCCTAGTCGCTGGTGTAGGTGGGTTTGTCTCATTTGCTGGTGTAGGCGGGGTTGTCCTAGTCGCTGGTGTAGGCGGGGTTGTCTCAGTTGCTGGTGTAGGCGGGGTTATCCTAGACGAAGGTGTAGGTTGTGTTGTCTCCGTTGCTGGTGTAGCCGGGGTTGTCCTAGTCGCTGGTGTAGGCGGGGTTGTTCTAACTGCTGGTGTAGGCGGGGTTGTCTCAGTTGCTGGTGTAGCCGGGGTTGTCCTAGTCGCTGGTGTAGGCGGGGTTGTTCTAACTGCTGGTGTAGGTGGGGTTGTCCCAGTTGCTGGTGTAGGCGGGGTTGTCCCAGTTGCTGATGTAGACGGGGTTGTCCAAGTTGCTGGTGTAGACGGGGTTGTCCCAGTTGCTGATGCAGACGGGGTTGTCCCAGTTGGTGGTGTAGAGGGGGTTGCCCCATCTGCTGTTGTACTCGCATTTGTAGGTGTCCCCGTTGGTCTCGTAGTCGTATTTTGTTCTTCTGTGCCCATCGTTGTTGCTTCAACACTTGCTGTGGAGGTCCATTCAATAGTTATGTTCTCTGCAGTTTCTGGCGTTACGTCTGTTACATTCACTGTAGGCGTTGTAGCTGTTCCGGTCTGCGCATGGGTAGGTATTCCTAATCGAGAATCGGTGTATGAGAAAAACATTATGCCACAGAAACCAAAACTCCTGAAGTCTGTTTCAGTGTTTTTTTTACGGTGAGTGACGCCTTGATTTCATAAACAGCGGTACAGTCGGTGAGTTGACACTTTATTTGAATAAAACTTCTATAAATTATTAGTGTCTCCTTTTCAGTCCCAAAAACCGCTTTGGAAGACCTGAAAATAGTTGGACATTTTCAGCACTTGTTCAAACACTCAGATGCTACCAATCAAAAGCCCATATTCTCAAACGACAGAAGTTTTTGTTCAATTTCTTTTAAACTGTTTTGTTTTGTTTTGTGCTTTCGGATAAGCACATGCCATCCCATAAAACACTGGTGCGCAAATGCCACAGTGGGGCAATGCGACCCCAACAAAATACGCTTAAAACAAAAGTGTAGGATATTAAAATATTAAAACAATAGTCATAAACAATATACTAACTTACCCATAATGCATACTACGATGATGAATAAAAAAACTGAGGACCTGTAGATCTCCATTGCCAGATTCCGTCTAAATCGACCTTTCATGAGAGATAGCTCTAGAAAACGAATTTTAAACAGCATCTTCAGTGGTAAACATGAGTTCATCTCTTAGTCAACCAGAAATGATGGCCTGTTCAAACGATTCGCTTGTTTGAAAATATTCACAATAATATCGACCAATTCATTAATTTTGTCGAATCAAGATTATTCACATGATTCAAGGACATACAAGTCTGAGTAATGGTTTTGATCTTAGTTTCCATTATGTGCTGAAAAAGCGAAATAATTTGTGAATTACATATTTCTAAACGAAACCACAAAATCACGACACCCCCCCCCCCCCCCCCCCCAGTCACAGGTAAATCATCTGTACCTGTAAAATTACTTAATCATTGTACGGTTTCATCAGACAGACAGTTGTCTCTTCGAATATGTGACAGTTGTCTTATCGCAGATTTCTGACGAAAGGCAACAATTTTTATCTACTACATCACTTTTTCACCTCGAAATTTCCAATTATCCGACAAATTGTATGAGAAAAGAAATTCCAGATTTAAATTATGTCTATAACCATTTCAATTCCGAATTAGATGGTCAATTTTTGGTCCTATTACTACAGGATGAAAAATACCTTTAACTGAATGAACTCACTGGACTGATTTCCTTACCATTTCAGAGCAAGCCTATAAATCATTGGCTTTCCTACAAACTCAAACCACACCGGATATTAAGCTGTAGGCTTTCCGGTTTTCTGTTAATTAAAAATGGCTGTGATTAACACTTGATGCTTGGTACAAGCACGTGCAACACTTTTTAAGGTATACATGTATTAACCTATGCACACTTGAATAACTTCGCACTGTCTTTTAGTACAATCGCAGTTCTCCAAGGTGTTTTAAACTATTTGTCCATCTTTGGTTAAAGATTCCGGACTCCCTTGATTCCACAACCTTGAAGGCTTAAAGTTCCGATTTCTCAGGTGTTTGACGCAACTTTGGAGTTGGACTTGAGTTGAATGTGTACGCACTGATACCATAAAACAACTATCAGCCTGCATACAAGCCAACTCGTGTCACAACAAGAAGTAGCCTATATATGCTCAGTTCACTGATCAATTGCCTGTCTGGTTATCATCGTTTAAACATTTCGACCGCGAATGCATATTAGGACTAGTGCTGCATCTCTTTATTTTAGGTACACCACTCGAGAACGGTGCAGAGGTTTATTCGCCCCTGATAGCCACTCCAGTTTGATAAAATCAACATGTTCTTGTCTCTATACATCGGCTGCCGGACAACGAATCAAAACTTGGCACCCAATATTCCATCGATAGCACTTGTCCATCTGCAGTTTCAGAGTCATCGGTGTGGGCGTTCCCCGCTTTCCGTATTTCATCGTCCGTGTTTTTTTTTATAATGCATTATTTCAGTGTGCTTCGTTCGCGGGTTTTTTTTCCAAGGGTTTGAGTCAAAATCTCAGGTTCTTTGGGTTGGATTTAAATGGACTCTTTTCAAACGACTGCAAATTATCATCAAAAGGTGATTCAGGAAACGAACATTGATCACAACGATCGCAACGACTTGATGGTTAGCGGCCATCTTGGCATATTTTTTTGTTTTTTTAATTTCAGTACCAACGAATACACAAAAGGTCTTGAGTGTAAATCCCTGAAAAACAAGGGTATTGCTGTCTAAGATGGCTGCTACGCATATAAGGTCTATAGCGAAAGCAAATCTTCTCAAATAACACCACCTAATATATTCATCAGTAGACATTGAGTGACACAAAAGCATTTTTTTCCAGAGCTGTGAATTTATCAAAATAATGTGTATATCTTTACAAACGAGATGATTTGGTCAGCCGTACGGGATGGTTTTGAAAAACCTGCCCAAAAAATGAAGTTAACAATTTCCCACAAAATGTTGACTTTTGAGCAAAACAAATGGACATCGTAGCCGTTCTGGACTAAGCAGAAATTAATGAATGTAATGCCAAGGTTTGGATCGGATAATCAGTGCAATAGTCATTGAATTGGAAGGAACGGGAGAAAGTTTACTTACAATTTTAACAGATCCGTCCGTCAAAGCTGAAGCAATTTTGTCTTATGCTGCTACCAGTCCTATAGTATATCCAGAACCGATTTCACGATTTACAAGGCGTAAAATGCTGCGCGTCACGAAGGGCCTTTCCTTTTTATGGGGATAACGTTTCTATGTTCCATGTTGCTATTGGCACACAGGTCTCGAAGCAAAATTACACGGTTTTCTAATGGCTATCTGCGTCACAAGTGGGTGATGGCCCCACGTGACTCGCAGTGCGCGCCTTCTATTGGTTGACGCAGACAGAAACCGAGCCGGATTGTTTCAGTTCCGTTTTGTATCACTGAACCTGTATTTTGTTTATCAGGGGAACTTTGTAACACTTGAAAATCCGTTTTTGCGATAAACTTGGCAAATAGTTCCATTTTGTTTTGTTTTATTTATTTCGTCGCAGAGCTGACAAACCGACGAATAAGCGAAAACCTTGTTTGGAGTAATTCGCGTTTGAAGTTGGACACTTCTCCGGGCGCCGTATTTTACCCTTAATGTTTCGATAAAAAAACTATTAGTATATATTCTGAATAAAATATGAAACTAAGTATCCACCATGTCACTTATTTAATCAGAGAAGTTGTACGATATGATTTTATTTGATCGTAAACGCATTCGTCAGTTTGTCAAATTACATTAATCTGCAATATCCGGTTGTTCTTCACACTGTTTGTATGCTATTCGTCAGTTTGTCGGATCGCGCGTGCACGCACGCGCAATCCGATAAACTGACGAATAACATTCGTTGGTACTTGGAACGCACACCTTACATAAGTTGGTTACCAGCGAAATGTTTGTATGCTATTCGTCAGTTTGTCGGATCGCACGTGCACGCACGCGCAATCCGACAAACTGACGAATAACATTCGCTGGTACTTGGAACGCACACCTTACATAAGTTGGTTACCAGCGAAATTTCGTATTCGTCACTATGTCAAATTATGGATTTGTTTTTGTGAGTGATTCGCCACAAGGGGGGCTCTGAATCTCAACATCCAGACAAATATTAAGAATTTTGGCATAAATTCTTGAAAGAGCAACCTTCATAAAGCCTAAAAATAACAAAAAATCGAAATCGCCAAAATGGTCGATTCGCCGGTTTGTCAGCTCTGCGACGATTTATTTGTCACCCTGGAAACACAAATGTCAAAGGACACCTAATTCCCTTGCGCACCGCAACCAAAATTCTAATTTCGGGGGCTAATCATCCTTACTCGCAGCTGAGTAGCATGGCCGGCTACAACGTGGTCTAACCGATGGAATCTATGACCACGGAGCATGCACAGCCCGAGATCGCAAGTGTTTTATTTTTGCAGAAGGAGGAGGGAGCCATGTTTATAATTATAAAACCTGTATTTTATGCATAATATGCCGATTAGCATCGGTCATTATCATATAATGTTTACTTCTATCTATATCTCCGCTGGACCTCGTCCAATTGTATCAATCGAGTTGTCTAAACACATGTTTTATAGGGTCAACGAATTCATTGAAGCCATTTCTACATACAATGATAACGGCCTATATGTGTCTATTATGCATAAACAAATCAAATTGTGTTTTTAGGATAAACCAGAACTAAATCATTGCAACACCAATCTCAATTAAATAGTCACAAACTAATTCTCGAACGCCTGAATAAAAACCCACGTTTTGGTTCTGGACTTTTTTCGTTTAAAGTAAAAGGGTGACGACCAAAATATCAGTTTCTAGATTTTTACGAAAGAAAATATTTCTTTAAAAAACAAATTTCTTAAATATTCAGTACAAATGAATGCTGTCTTCCGTAAAATCGGTTCTCGTCCTCCCCGTTTGAACCGTGGAAACGCAATGAATTCATGGACGGCAGAGTATTGAGCGCCGAACCTTCGGACTAATGACCCTTCGGACTAGAAAACCTTCGGACTATCGAATCTTTGGACAATTAAGCTGTCACCAGCGCATCATAGACCCTAAATATCATTCGTTTTGTACGGGCCATTTAGTTTATTTAGTGATTTGAAGTTTACTCATGTCGAGCTGCACTTCAATTATGACCTGTGCCCCAATGTTGGAGGGCATGTTTTTTTAGTCGCCCGTACGGTACCCAAAGCAGACTATTATTCCGGATTCAATGAAACGATAATCTCATCTACGTCAATCAAGTTGAAATTGACTCCACAATAGGGACGATATGAAAGAGAGGAACTGTAGCCTAGGTTCAAGTTCGAGATTTTTTTTTACTTTAGCTAGAAAATTTATTTCCAGGGAATTACCAAATATTTTGAGACTCGTTTCTTGTTGATAATAGTTTTCACGCTTTCGACTGTCGACTTATTAATGCTGCAAAAGCGCAGTGCAGAATGAATACAACGTATGAAAAATTACTAATCGTCAGTTACTTCTATAGTAAAGGACAGCTTGAAATGAGCATCCATCATTTGAAACAGCAGTTATCAACCTCAAAATACACTCGCGTTTTTAATTATAGTCATCGTTCAAGATTGACGACCTAACATGAAACAGACGAAAATTGTTGCATTAAAAGAACATATTTAGGTCAAGCCAAAAAAAAACATTGGTGAACAAACATTCGTTATTGAATTTAAAGTAAACTTATGCTATCTTCTGCGCTGTAAAAAAAGTTGCGTAAAACACTGCTTTGGCAATGTTATTTGCCTTACATTGGTGTGAAGTTACCTTATTGTGGGTTGATTTTGGGTAACAATTGACCAACTATTGGCAAGACTTTGCCCAAGAGTGTCGTCGGTTTGTTAGTTGACCAACATTGGGCAAAATACTAAACCGTTTGCCCAACATTTTTTTTTGATACAGTGAATTCTAAAGACTCTATTATATCCTCACTACCATCAAAACAACATGCATTCGATTATATAAAAATATATAAAACATGTCTTTTGTACAGATTATCAGTTTGATTTTTATACACCCATTTAGATATCATTCACTGAAGAGACGGATGGAGTTGTGTTATACATGGACGGATGTGATACGAAAGATTTATAATTAACACAAAAAGGGTCCAAAGGGTATCTTTACATTGGACTCGTATCTAGATGTGCACATTGCCCGCCTCAGACAGCAATGAACTCGAAATGTTCAAGTTTGACCTACTGATTTAATACATTTACTGGTCAGTGCATTGACAGTTTCAGGATACCTGACGATGGATATACACTGCAACCCCGTCTCCAAGAGTATGACCCCACAAATCTGTCGTTACTTAATTCCCTTGACTGAAATAAAGCCATCGGCATTCTTACTTTACGTTCAGATATAACCATTTGCATATAAATATATCACAGTAAACCTTTGAATGCAGAAAATTAAATAAATACTAAATTTGTAAAGTTGGTATGCCCGTGTTTTAGTGCGGTTCACAGTAACGGTGTGTTACCTATCATCGCCGTGGCACAGAATGAAAACAACATTTTTGAATGACCATTTACAGGGTTGAGCCCCAACTTTAAGGTTTGGTTTTTGTTAAAAAATGCCGTTTTTTCTGCAAACAATTAGGCAAAACATTCCAACAAATGATTCCTTTGTCAAAAGAGCACGGCCAAACCAAACTAAACAGAAACGAGATAACGAGGACTTTCACATGATGGCTGAATACCAATATAGACCCCTTGCACGGTGCGCTCTCACTGAGGGCAATTTCTGTTACCAAAATGCCGTGAAAACGAAAATACAACTGTCTACTCATATCACAGAGGAACACATTTGTGCCCTCAATGTGACGTCTGATGCAGGGGTTATATACAGTTGTCTCCCCTCGTGCACGGGCCCAAACGTCTTATACTTAGCTTTCCCCACCCCCTGCAAGCTCTTCTGATCCGTTAATCCATCTCATCAAGATGACTTGTCCGAGGCGTTGGATACCTGGTCAGGCGGTGGGCTGTTGCCGCGAGGCGGCGGGCTGTTGCCTCGAGACGACGGCCGAGTCAGCTCCTGTTCCTCCACGTCCTCGACCTTGGCTGATCGTCCCGTTTTTTTCACAACAAGAACGATGACCACAACGATGATGGCAGCAGCGGCGACACCACCGACCGCAATGCCGGCGATGGCCCCCGGGGACAGACCCGGGTCTTCCTTTTGGGGTGGATCTGATAAATAAATAAAAAATGAGATTGGGGGGAAAATCAATTGGCAAAAAAACCCTCAAACATGATTTAAAGTCTTCACTGCAAAAACTATAGTGTTAATTCAACACCATTCGGTATCTATATAAAACAATACCAGTAAAATTTGACACAAGATGGTCCTATATAAATACAAATGGTGTAAATTTAACACTGCAGTTTTTGCAGCGTGCATACGGAAAGTACAACACTGATGAAATTGAAACAGATACATCACACGAAGGGACTACCTAGGTATTGTATCTTAAAACCTATACTTTAGTCTATTTGGTTAAAAAACAACAAAAAACAACCCGTTGACTACTGATCTGGTTAAAACAAACGTGTCCGAGTCAACTCAGACTACAGTGAGGCCCTTGGAATATGCCTGAAGTACATCAACTTCTCGAGTCTTTTTTTTATCCAAATGTCGAAAGATGGGAGGAAACATTTTCTCAACTTACCTGTGTTCGGGAAATATTCTGAAAAAGAAAACAAAACAAAACAAGCGAGATAACATTTACACAATATTGACGAAATGACATTTATATACGTTCTGTCACAAGAATGTCAAGATAAACTTGAAATCGGGTGTGTGCAAATTTGAAATGATCCTTTTGGCATCTTGTTGAGTTTTCAAAATTAAACTTAATGATGCGTATATCTGGGGTTTTTTTCTGTCAGTTGTACTCAGTGGCGGTTCAGGGGGGGGGGCTTTAGCGGAGAAAATAACCAGTCTACATTTCAGCACGTCTCCTTGAAAACAATTCTGGATCCACCCTGCTAGCCCCCTAAAAATATCGGCTCTAGAACCGCGCCTGGTTGTACCGATTTTTATGCTTTATGAAAAATCATCCCCAGAAAGGGTATACACAACGCTCTCATTAATTCATCAAAAATTAACGAAGTTGCTTTTGACCTGTCAACAGCAATATACGTACCACAAAAGAAGTGGACTTTCCACTATATTATAGTGGAAAGTCCATTTATTGTGTTGCACTTATATTCCTGTTTGCAGGTCAAAAGTAACTTCGTAAAAGAAAAAAATGGTGCAGGGGCGGGGGGAGGTGGGTTTTACAGACAAAAAGACAGTTCTCAATCGTCCACGATATGCATAATTACCGGTACCTTTAACTGTGATTGATGACGGATCAACAGTGAGGGCAGTAATCCTTTCGTCATCTGAGTTGTTGAAAGCGTCCTTTAAACTCTTCGTTAGTTCCACAGAGATGTCTTTCGTTTCCGGTGGAAATTTCATCAGAAATGTAGCCACAATGCTTCCTTTCCTGAATTCAGAGACAGAGCAGTCCGCGATACTATTTCCAGCATCTGAGTTTTCCAGGGCAGCGTCGACCTAACGGAGAGAAATCAACACGATCAAATGCTGTGATGGTAAGGTGAGTAATGCATCATGGCCAGCCATTCCACAGAGATTAGGGCGTTCTTTCTTGTTAATCCACGGTTCTCCAGGTTTCCTTGGACTCGGACCAACATTTATTTTTAGCAGGATGTGAAGTAAAATAGATCTAACATGACTTTATCTCTGTCTTACCTACCGCAATGCAAACTTTGCCGCTCAAATTCCTGTAAAGTATTGATTCTGGCTTCTGGTAGTCGGGCTTAAACACAGCTTCGACTCCATCAATTTGCAGGATCTTTATGTCACCCTCGAACGCCTTCAGAGCTGAAACAGAAAACGATCACCCAGTGATGAATGTGAACGTCTCAAGAAAATCATAGCACGTATGAGCATCTTACAAAAAAAAAGTCTTTTCAAAGTACTGAAGGTTTTTGTTTCATGAATACATCATCGCCTTTTTGAGAAAGGACAAGTTCTATATAACTCACGTTGTGTTTCAGTTGTGGGCTCTGTTTCATTACCAGGCGCTTGCGTAGCCAGTTTTGTAGGTGGTTCTGCTGGTGTAGGCGGGATTGTCCTAGTCTCTGGTGTAGGCGCGGTTGTCCTAGTCGCTGGTGTAGGCGGGGTTGTCCTAGACACTGGTGTAGGTTGTGTTGTCTCAGTTGCTGGTGTAGACGGGGTTGTCCCAGTTGCTGGTATAGACGGGGTTGTCCTAGTTGCTAGTGTAGGCGGGGTTGTCCCAGATTCTGGTGTAGACGCAGTTGTCCCAGTTGCTGGTGTAGACGGAGTTGTCTCATCTGCTGCTGTATACGCGATTGTCCCAGTTTCTGGTGTAGATGCGATTGTCCTAGTTGCTGGTGTATACACGATTGTCCCAGTTTCTGGTGTAGACGCGGTTGTCTCATCTGCTGGTGTAGATGCGGTTGTCTCATCTGCTGGTGTAGACGCGGTTGTCTCATCTGCTGGTGTAGATGCGGTTGTCTCATCTGCTGGTGAAGACGCGGTTGTCTTATCTGCTGGTGTAGACGCGGTTGTCTCATCTGCTGGTGTAGATGCGGTTGTCTCATCTGCTGGTGTAGACGCGGTTATCCCAGTTGCTGGTGTAGACGCGGTTGTCTCATCTGCTGGTGTAGATGCGGTTGTCTCATCTGCTGGTGAAGACGCGGTTGTCTCACCTGCTGGTGTAGACGCGGTTGTCTCATCTGCTGGTGTAGACGCGGTTGTCTCATCTGCTGGTGTAGACGCGGTTGTCTCATCTGCTGGTGTAGATGCGGTTGTCTCATCTGCTGGTGTAGACGCGGTTATCCCAGTTGCTGGTATAGGCGATGTTGCCCCATCTGCTATTATAGGCCCATTTGTTGATGCACCTGGTGCGCTTGTTTCCTCGGCAGGACGTGTCCCTTCTATCCCCGTTGATCCCGTAGCCTCCGTCGTTGCTGTCACATCTGTTATATCTGTTACAGTCTGCCCATGGATAGGTATTCCTGAATGTACATGTATCAAGAATAGATATATTAGGGGGTGTGCAATAGAAACCAATGCCCTGAAGAAATGATTACACGCAGCATGTGACGGCTATTTTGCCCAATATGAAATCTGCTTGCTTGTAATCGCCTAAATCTGTGAGTTGGCACACTATCTATAAAAAAATTACCAGGCCTAATACATGGCTCATATAAACTGCCCCTTTTTCAGTCCTAAAGACCGATGGGATAGTCCTGAGAATACTTTGGCATTTTCAGCCATGATTTTTGTCCAAATAGTCAAATGCTATCGAAAGCCCATGTTTTTGTTTAATTTCTTTTAAACCATTTTTGTTTTGTTCAAGAGTCCTTTCTGTACTCTGGATAAGCACTAAACCATAAAACACTGTTGCAAAATGCCACAGTGGGGCAATGCCAATCCAGCAGAAAAAATACGCTTAAAACAAAAATGTGTATATTACAAGCTTTAAAATGGTTATAAACAATATATTAACTTACCCATCATGCATACTACGATGATGAATAAATAAACTGAGGACCTGTAGAACTCCATTGCCAGATTCCGTCTTAATTGACCTTTCATGAGAGATAGCTCTAGAAAACGAATTTTAAACAGCATCTTCAGCGGTAAACATGAGTTCATCTCCAAGTCTACCAGAAATGTTGGTCTGTTCAAATGATTCGCTCGTTCGAAAATATTCACAATAATATCGTCCAATTCATTTGTCGAATGAAGATTATTTTCATGATTCAAGGGCATACAAGTCAGAGTAATGATTTTGATCTTATAAGATCAAAATCATTACTCTGACTTGTATGCCCTTGAATCATGTAAATAATCTTCATTCGACAAATGAATTGGACGATATTATTGTGAATATTTTCGAACGAGCGAATCATTTGAGTGTCATTGTGTTGGAAAAGCTAAATAATTTGTGAATTACATATTTCCATAAAGTCTTCATTGACAATATGTCTGTGTGTGACAAGAAGTCAAATCAGTCTGAAAAGAAGAAAAAATCTATCAAAGCGAAACCAGGAAAACAAGACCCTCCCCAGTCGCAAATAAATCATTGTTACCTGTAAAAGTATTATTGAACGATTTCATAAGACAAACAATTATCTCTTATTATGGGAAGGTTGTCTTCATACATATTTCTGACAAACGGCGAGAGTTTTTGTCGACTCCATCACATTTTCACCTCGAAATTCCTCATTTCTATTCATCCGACAATTGGTCAAGACAAGAAATTCTGGATTTATATGTCTAATCATTTCGGTTTTCTGTTAGTTAAAAATGGTTGTGATTGACACTTGATTCTAAGTACAAGCAGGTGCAATACATGCATTAATTATGCACATAACTGAATAACTTCGTACTATCTTTAAGTACAACCACAATTCTCCGAGGTGTTTTAAACTATTTGTCATTGAAAGCTTAAAGTTGGACTTGAGTTAAATGAGTAGGCAGGTATACCATAAAATTAAGTATCAGTCTGCAAACAAGCCAACTCGTTTCACAACAACACGTAGCCTATCTGTTCAGTTCACTGATCAATTGCCTGTCTGATTACCATCGTTTACACATTTCGACCGCAATGCAAATAGGACTAGTGCCGCATCTCTTCATTTTCCGTACAACACTCGAGAACGGTGCAAAGGTTTATTCGCGAGTAGCCACTCCTGTTTGGTAAAATTAACAGTTTTTGTCTGTATACATCGGCTGCCAGTGTCATATGAAAATTCGACTCCTATGAAAGTCGGACCTCTTTTCCCTGTTATTGGTCAATCCCTCACAACACACGACACAAGTCACTTTCCCATAATGATCCTAAAAATAGCATATTATCGTACTTGCGCAATACTACCATGCGCAATACTACCAATGAGTCCACATTTCATGGAGTCGGATATTCACGCTACACCGGAAAACAGCTAAAAAAAACCTGGCACCTAATATTCCATAGACAACACTTGTCCATCTGCAATTTCAGAGTCATCGGTGTGGGCATTTCCCATCTTCCGTATTTCATCATCCGTGTCTTTTATCATCCATTATTACAGTGTTCTGCGTTCGCGATGCAGTTTTTTTTTTTTTGCAAGGGTTGGAGTCAAAATCTCAGGTTCTTTGGATTGGTTTAAAATGGACTCTTTTCAAACGACTGCAAATCATCATCAAAGGTGAATCAGGAAACGAACATTGATCACAACGATCGGAACAATAGACCTATAGTAGGCAGCGGCCATCTTAGGGCATCTTTTGCTATTTTATTTCAGTACCAATGAATACACAAAAGGTTTAATCTGTTTATCCCTGCAAAACAGGGGCATTGACGTCTAAGATGGCTGCTACGCGTAAGGTCGGTAGCGAAAGCAAATCTTCTCAAGTAACACCACCGTGCTCTGAACTATAGATAGTAGACTTCAATATGTTCATCAGTAGACATTGAGTAACACTAAAACAGTTTTTTTCCAGAGCTGTGAACTTATCGAAATAATGTATACATCTTTACATACGAGATGATTTGGTCAGCCGTACAGGAAGGTTTCGAAAAACCAGCCCCCCCCCCAAAAAAAAAAAAAATGAAGTTAACAATTTCCCACAAAAAGTTGACTTTTGAGCAAAAGAAATTCAAGTTGACATCTTAGTCGTTCTGGACTAACCAGAAATTAATGAATGTAATGCCAAGGTGTGGATCGTGATAATCATTGCAATAGTCATTGAATCGGGAGGAACGGGAGAAAGTGTACTTACAATTTTAAAAGATCCGCCTGTCGTCGAAGCTGAAGCAATTCCGTCCTCTGCTGCTAGCGATAGTATATCCAGAACCGATTTCACGATTTATAAGGTATAAAATGCTGCGCGTTACGAAGTGCCTCTCCTATTCATGAAAATCTTGTTATTTATGAACATCTTGTTATCTTGTTGTTATTTGCACACATGTCTCGAAGCAATATCACAGGGTTTTCTAATGGCTATCTGCGTCACAGGTAGGTGGTGGCCCTGCCATGGGACATGCAGTGGGCGCCTTCTAATGGTTGACGCAGACAAAAACCCAGCTGGATTGCCGTATGTTTCAGTTTGTATCCCTGTATGTATTTTGTTTATCAGGGGACTTTTGTAACACTTGAAAACCCACTTTTGCGATAAACTTGGCAAATAGTTCCATTTTGTTTTGTTTTATTTATTTATTTGTCACCCTGGATACACAAATGTCAAAGGGCACTTAATTCCCTTGCGCACCGCAACCAAAATTCTAATTTGGGGGACTAATCATCCTTACTCGCAGCTGAGTAGCATGGCCGGCTACAACGTGGTCGAACCGATGGAATCTATGACCACGGAGCATGCACAGCCTGAGATCGCAAGTTTTTTTATTTTTGCAGAGGGAGGAAATGTTTTGGGTCAACGAATTTATAAAAGCCATGTTTACAATAATAAAACTTGTATTTTATGCATAATATGCAAATTAGCATCGGCCATTATCATATAATGTTTACTTCTATCTATATCTTCGCTGGACCACGTCCAATTATATCAATCGATGTTTAAGGTTCAACGAATTCATTGAAGCCATTTCTACATACAATGATAACGGCCTATATGTGTCTATTATGCATAAACAAAACAAATTGTGTTTTTTAGGATAAACCAGAACTAAATCATTGCAACACCAATCTCAACCAAATAGTCACAAACTACTTCTCGAACGCCTGAATAAAAACCCACGTTATGGTTCTGGACTTTTTTCGTTTAAAGTAAAAGGGTGACTTGACCAAAATCTTAGTTTCTAGATTTTTACGAAAGAAAATATTTCTTTAAAAAACAAATTTCTTAAATATTCAGTACAAATGGATGCTGTCTTCCGTAAAATCGGTTCTCGTCCTCCCCGTTTGAACGCTGGAAACGCAATGAATTCGTGGACGACAGAGTAACGCTGAGCGCCGGTGCATCGGGGCGGACTATTGAACTTTCGGACTAACGAACCTTCGGACTAATGACCCTTCGGACTTGGAAACCTTCGGACTATCGAAGCTTTGGACAATTAAGCTGTCACCAGCGCATCATAGACCCTAAATATCATTCATTTTGTAAGGGCTATTTAGTTTATTTAGTGATTTGAAGTTTACTCATGTCGAGCTGCACTTCAATTATGACCTGTGCCCCAATGTTGGAGGGCATTTTTTAGTCGCCCGTACACGGTACGCAAAGCAGACTTTTATTCCGGATTCAGTGAAACGATAATCTCATCTACGTCAATCAAGTTGAAATTGACTCCACAATAGGGACGATATGAAAGAAGGGAACTGTTGCCTAGGTTCAATTTCGAGTGTTTTTTTTTACTTTAGCTAGAAAATTTATTTCCCGAGAATTACCAAATACTTTGAGACTCGTTTCTTGTTGATAATAGTTTTCACGTCTTCAACTGTCGACTTATTAATGCTGCAAAAGCGCAGTGCAGAATGAATACAACGTATGAAAAATTACTAATCGTCAGTTACTTGTGCATCCATCATTTGAAACTGCAGTTATCAACCTCAAAATACACTTACGTTTTTAATTATAGTCATCGTTCAAGTCTGACGACTTTACATCAAACAAACGAAAATTGTTGCATTAAAAAGAACATATTTAGGTCAAGCCAAAAAAAACATTGGTGAGCACACATTCGTTATTGAATTTAAACTAAACTTATGCTATCTTCTGCGCTGTAAAAAAATTTTGGCAAGACTTTGCCCAAGAGTGTCGTCGGTTTGTTAGTTGACCAACATTGGGCAAAATACTAAACCGTTTGCCCAACATTTTTTCTGATACAGTGAATTCTAAAGACTCCATTATATACTCACTACCATCAAAACAACATGCATTCGATTATATAAAAATATATAAAACATGTCTTTTGTACAGATTATCAGTTTTATTTGTATACCCCCAATTAGATATCATTCACTGGAGAGACGGATGGAGTTGTGTTATACACGGACGGATGTGATACGAAAGATTTATAATTAACACAAAAAGGGTCCAAAGGGTATCTTTACATTGGACTCGTATCTCGATGTGCACATTGCCCGCCTCAGACAGCAATGAACTCGAAATGTTCAAGTTTGACCTACTGATTAAATACATTTACTGGTCAGTGCATTGACAGTTTCAGGATACCTGACGATGGATACGTATTGCAACCCCGTCTCCAAGAGTATGACCCCACAAATCTGTCTGTGCTTAATTCCCTTGACTGAAATAAAGCCATCGACATTCTTACTTTACGACCAGATATCACCATTTGTATATAAATATAACACAGTAAACCTTTGAATGCAGAAAACTAAATAAATACTATATTTGTAAAGTTGGTATGCCCGTGTTTTAGTGCAGTTCACAGTAACGGTGTGTTACCTATCATCGCCGTGGCACAGAATGAAAACAACATTTTTGAATGACCATTTACAGGGTTGAGCCCCAACTTTAAGGTTTGGGTTTTGTATTTAATGCCGTTTTTTCCTGCAAACAATTAGGCAAAACATTCAAACAAATGATTCTTTTGTCAAAAGAGCACGGCCATACCAAACTAGTCAGAAACGAGATAACGAGGACTTTCACATGATGGCTGAATACCAATATAGACACCTTACACGGTGCGCTCTCACTGAGGACAGTTTCTGCTACCAAAATGCCGTGAAAACGAAAATACAAGTGTCTTCTCATATCACAGAGGAACACATTCGTGCCCTCAATGTGACGTCTGATGCAGGGGTTCTATGCAGTTGTCTCCCCTCGTGCTCGGGCCTAAACGTCTTATACTTAGCTTTCCCCACCCTCTGCCAGCTCCTCCGATGCATCTCATCAAGATGACTTGTCCGACGCGTTGGAAACCTGGTCAGGCGGTGGGCTGTTGCCGCGAGGCGGCGAGCTGTTGCCGCGAGACGACGGCCGAGTCAGCTCCTGTTCCTCCACGTCCTCGACCTTGGCTGATCGTCCCATTTTCTTCACAACAAGGACGATGACCACGACAATGATGACAGCAGCGGCGACACCACCGACCGCAATGCCGGCGATGGCCCCCGCGGACAGACCCGGGTCTTCCTTTTGGGGTGGATCTGATAAATAAATAAAAAATGAGATGGGGGGGGGGGGGAATCAATTGGCAAAAAACCCCTCAAACATGATTTAAAGTCTTCACTGCAAAAACTATAGTGTTAATTCAACACCATTCGGTATCTATATAGAACAATACCAGTAAAATTTGACACAAGATGGTCCTATATAGATACAAATGGTGTAAATTTAACACTGCAGTTTTTGCAGCGTGCATACGGAAAGTACAACACTGATGAAATTGAAACAGATACATCACACGAAGGGACTACCTAGGTATTGTATCTTAGAACCTATACTTTAGTCTATTTGGTTAAAAAAAAAAAAAAAAAAAACCCGTTGACTACTGATCTGGTTAAAACAAACGTGTCCGAGTCAACTCAGACTACAGTGAGGCCCTTGGAATATGCCTGAAGTACATCAACTTCTCGAGTCTTTTTTTTATCCAAATGTCGAAAGATGGGAGGAAACATTTTCTCAACTTACCTGTGTTCGGAAAATATTCTGAAAAGAAAAGAAAACAAAACAAGTGAGATAACATTTACACAATATTGACGAAATGACATTTATTTACGTTCTGTCACAAGAATGTCAAGATAAACTTGAAATCGGGTGTGTGCAAATTTGAAATGATTTTTTTGGCATCTTGTTGAGTTTTCAAAATTAAAGTTAATGATGTGTATATCTGGGGGTTTTTTTCTGTCAGTTGTACTCAGTGGCGGTTCCGGGGGGGGGGGCTTTAGCGGAGAAAAAAACCAGTCTACATTTCAGCACGCCTCCCTGAAAAAAATTGTGGATCCACCCTGCTAGCCCCCCAAAAATATTGGCTCTAGAACCGCGCCTGGTTGTACCGATTTTTATGCTTTATGAAAAATCATCCCCAGAAAGGGTATACACAACGCTCTCATTAATTCACCAAAAATTTACGAAGTTGCTTTTGACCTTTCAACAGGAAATAAGTACAACAAGAGAAATGGACTTTCCACTATAATATATAGTGGAAAGTCCACTTCTCTTGTTGTACTTTCAAAAGTAACTTCGTAAAAAAAAAAGGCGCGGGGGGGGGGGGGTTCACAGAAAAAAAAGACAGTTTTCAATCGTCCACGATATGCATAATTACTGGTACCTTTAACTGTGATGGATGACGGATCAACAGTGAGGGCAGTAAACCGTTCGTCATCTGAGTTGTTGAAAGCCTCCTTTAAGCTCTTCGTTAGTTCCACAGAGATGTCTTTCGTTTCCGGTGGAAATTTCATCAGAAATGTAGCCACAATGCTTCCTTTCCTGAATTCAGAGACAGAGCAGTCCGCGATACTGCTTCCAGCATCCGAGTTTTCCAGGGCAGCGTCGACCTAACGGAGAGAGATCAACACGATCAAATGTTGTGATGGTAAGATGAGTAATGCATCATGGCCAGCCATTCCACGGAGACGAGGATGATCTTTCTTGTTAATCCACGGTTCTCGTGGTTTCCTTGGACTCGGAACAAAATTCATATTTTAGCAGGATGGAAAGGAGATAGATCTAACATGACTTTATCTATGTCTTACTTACCGCGGTGCAAACTTTGTCGCTCAAATTCCTGTAAAGTATTGATTCTGGCTTCTCGTAGTCGGGCTTAAACACAGCTTCGAATCCATCAATTAGCAGGATCTTTATATCACCCTCGAACTCCTTGAGAGCTGAAACAGAAAACGATCACCCGGTGATGAATGTCAACGTCTCAAGGAAATCATAGCAGGCATGAGCATCTTACAAAAGCGTCTTTTCAAAGTACTGAAGATTTCTGTTTCATGAATACATCATTACCTTTTTGAGAAAGGTCAAGTTGTATATAACTCACGTGGTGTTTCAGTTGTGGGCTCTGTTTCATTACCAGGTGCTTGCGTAGCCAGTTTTGTAGGTGGTTCTGGTGTCCTAGTTGCTGGTGAAGGCGGGGTTGTCCTAGTCGCTGGTGTAGATGCGGTTGTCCCAGTTGCTGGTGTAGACGCGGTTGTCTCATCTGCTGGTGTAGACGTGGTTGTCTCATCTGCTGGTGTAGACGCGGTTGTCTCATCTGCTGCTGTAGACGCGGTTGTCCCAGTTGCTGCTGTATATGCGATTGTCCCAGTTGCTGGTGTAGACGCGGTTGTCCCAGTTGCTGCAGTATATGCGATTGTCCCAGTTGCTGGTGTAGACGCAGTTGTCTCATCTGCTGGTGTAGACGTGGTTGTCTCATCTGCTGGTGTAGACGCGGTTGTCTCATCTGCTGCTGTAGACGCGGTTGTCCCATCTGCTGCTGTATACGTGATTGTCCCATTTGCTGGTGTAGATGCTGTTGTCCCATCTGCTGCTGTATACGCGGTTGTCCCAGTTGCTGGTGTAGACGCGGTTGTCTCATCTGCTGGTGTAGATGCGGTTGTCTCATCTGCTGGTGTAGACGCGGTTGTCTCATCTGCTGGTGTAGATGCGGTTGTCTCATCTGCTGGTGAAGACGCGGTTGTCTCATCTGCTGGTGTAGACGCGGTTGTCTCATCTGCTGGTGTAGACGCGGTTATCCCAGTTGCTGGTGTAGACACAGTTGTCTCATCTGCTGGTGTAGATGCGGTTGTCTCATCTGCTGGTGAAGACGCGGTTGTCTCATCTGCTGGTGTAGACGCGGTTGTCTCATCTGCTGGTGTAGACGCGGTTGTCTCATCTGCTGGTGTAGACGCGGTTGTCTCATCTGCTGGTGTAGATGCGGTTGTCTCATCTGCTGGTGTAGATGCGGTTGTCTCATCTGCAGGTGTAGATGCGGTTGTCTCATCTGCTAATGTGGGCGCGGTTATCCCAGTTGCTGGTGTAGACGCGGTTGTCTCATCTGCTGGTGTAGATGCAGTTGTCTCATCTTCTGGTGAAGACGCGGTTGTCTCATCTGCTGGTGTAGACGCGGTTGTCTCATCTGCTGGTGTAGACGCGGTTGTCTCATCTGCTGGTGTAGACGCGGTTGTCTCATCTGCTGGTGTAGATGCCGTTGTCTCATCTGCTGGTGTAGATGCGGTTGTCTCATCTGCTGGTGTAGATGCGGTTGTCTCATCTGCTGGTGAAGACGCGGTTGTCTCATCTGCTGGTGTAGACGCGGTTGTCTCATCTGCTGGTGTAGATGCGGTTGTCTCATCTGCTGGTGAAGACGCGGTTGTCTCATCTGCTGGTGTAGACGCGGTTGTCTCATCTGCTGGTGTAGATGCGGTTGTCTCATCTGCTGGTGTAGACGCGGTCGTCTCATCTGCTGGTGTAGACGCGGTTGTCTCATCTGCTGGTGTAGATGCGGTTGTCTCATCTGCTGGTGAAGACGCGGTTGTCTCATCTGCTGGTGTAGACGCGGTTGTCTCATCTGCTGGTGTAGATGCGGTTGTCTCATCTGCTGGTGTAGACGCGGTTATCCCAGTTGCTGGTGAAGACGCGGTTGTCTCATCTGCTGGTGTAGACGCGGTTGTCTCATCTGCTGGTGTAGATGCGGTTGTCTCATCTGCTGGTGAAGACGCGGTTGTCTCATCTGCTGGTGTAGACGCGGTTGTCTCATCTGCTGGTGTAGATGCGGTTGTCTCATCTGCTGGTGTAGACGCGGTTATCCCAGTTGTTGGTGAAGACGCGGTTGTCTCATCTGCTGGTGTAGACGCGGTTGTCTCATCTGCTGGTGTAGATGCGGTTGTCTCATCTGCTGGTGTAGACGCGGTTATCCCAGTTGCTGGTATAGGCGATGTTGCCCCATCTGCTATTATAGGCCCATTTGTTGATGCACCTGGTGCGCTTGTTTCCTCGGCAGGACGTGTCCCTTCTATCCTCGTTGATCCCGTAGCCTCCGTCGTTGCTGTCACATCTGTTATAACTGTTACAGTCTGCGCATGGATAGGTATTCCTGAATGTACATGTATCAAGAATAGATGTATTAGGGGGGTGTGCAATAGAAACCAATGCCCTGTAGAAATGATTACACGCAGCATGTGACGGCTACTTTGCCCAATATGAAATCTGTTTGCTTGTAATCGCCTAAATCTGTGAGTTGGCACAGTATCTATAAAAAAAAATTACCAGGCCTAATACATGGCTCATATAAACTGCCTCCTTTTCAGTCCCAAAGACCGATGGGATAGTCCTGAGAATACTTTGGCATTTTCAGCCATGATTTTTGTCCAAATAGTCAAATGCTATCGAAAGCCCATGTTCTCAAACGACAGAAGTTTTTGTTTAATTTCTTTTAAACCATTTTTGTTTTGTTCAAGAGCCCTTTCTGTACTCTGTACTGATAAGCACTAAACCATAAAACACTGTTGCAAAATGCCACAGTGGGGCAATGCGAATCCAGCAGAAAAAAAAATATGCTTAAAACAAAAATGTTGTATATTACAAACTTTAAAATGGTTATAAACAATATATTAACTTACCCATCATGCATACTACGATGATTAATAAACAAACTGAGGACCTGTAGATCTCCATTGCCAGATTCCGTCTAAGTTGACCTTTCGTGAGAGATAGCTCTAGAAAACGAATTTTAAACAGCATCTTCAGCGGTAAACATGAGTTCATCTCCAAGTCTACCAGAAATGTTGCTCTGTTCAAATGATTCGCTCGTTCGAAAATATTCACAATAATATCGTCCAATTCATTTGTCGAATGAAGATTATTTACATGATTCAAGGGCATACAAGTCAGAGTAATGATTTGAATCTTAGTGTCATTGTGTTGGAAAAGCTAAATAATTTGTGAATTACATATTTCCATAAAGTCTTCATTGACAATATGTCTGTGTGTGACAAGAAGTCAAATCAGTCTGAAAAGAAGAAAAAATCTATCAAAGCGAAACCAGGAAAACAAGACCCTCCCCAGTCGCAAATAAATCATTGTTACCTGTAAAAGTATTATTGAACGATTTCATAAGACAAACAATTATCTCTTATTATGGGAAGGTTGTCTTCATACATATTTCTGACAAACGGCGAGAGTTTTTGTCGACTCCATCACATTTTCACCTCGAAATTCCTCATTTCTATTCATCCGACAATTGGCCGAGACAAGAAATTCCGGATTTATATGTCTAATCATTTCGGTTTTCTGTTAGTTAAAAATGGTTGTGATTGACACTTGATTCTAAGTACAAGCAGGTGCAATACATGCATTAATTATGCACATAACTGAATAACTTTGTACTATCTTTAAGTACAACCACAATTCTCCGAGGTGTTTTAAACTATTTGCCCATGTAAAGATTCCGGAGTCGTGCGATTTTACAACCTTGAAGGCTTAAAGTTCCGATTTCCCGGTGTTTGACGCAATTTTGTTGGAGTTGGACTTGAGTTAAATGAGTAGGCAGGTATACCATAAAATTAAGTATCAGTCTGCAAACAAGCCAACTCGTTTCACAACAACACGTAGCCTATATCTGTTCAGTTCACTGATCAATTGCCTGTCTGATTACCATCGTTTACACATTTCGACCGCAATGCAAATAGGACTAGTGCCGCATCTCCTTATTTTCCGTACACCACTCGAGAACGGTGCAAAGGTTTATTCCTCAGTAGCCAATCCTGTTTGATAACATTAACATTTTCTTGTCTGTATACATCGGCTGCCAGTGTCATATGAAAATTCGGCTACTATGGAAGTCAGACACCTTTTCCCTGTTATTGGGCAATCCCTCTCACGACACAGGCAATTGTGTACATATAATTGTACTTACGCATGCGCAATACTACCAATGAGTCCACATTTCATGGAGTCAGATATTCACACTACACCGGAAAACAACTCCAAAAAACCTGGCACCTAATATTCCACAGACAACACTTGTCCATCTGCAATTTTAGAGTCATCGGTGTGGGCGTTTCACATCTTCCGTATTTCATCGTCCGTGTCTTTTTATCATCCATTATATTACAGTGTTCTGCGTTCGCGATGCACGTATTTTTTTGCAAGGGTTGGAGTCAAAATATCAGGTTCTTTGGGTTGGATGAAAATGGACTCTTTTCAAAAGACTGTAAATCATCATCAAAAGGTGAATCAGGAAACGAACATTGATCACAACGATCGCAACAATAGACCTAGTAGGCAGCGGCCATATTAGGGCATCATTTGTTATTTTATTTCAGTACCAATGATTACACAAAAGGTTCAATCTGTATATCCCTGCAAAACAGGGGCATTGTCGTCTGAGATGGCTGCTACCGATGAAGTCTGTAGCGAAAACAATCTCAAATAACAGCACCGTGCTCTGAACTATACATAGTAGACTTCAATATGTTCATCAGTAGACATTGAGAAACATAAAACCATTTTTCCACAGCTGTGAATTCATCAAAATAATGTGTACACATCTTTACATACGAGATGATTCGGTCAGCCGTACAGGATGGTTTTTAAAAACCTGCCCAAAAACTGAAGTTAACAATTTCCAGCAAAATGTTGACTTTTGAGCAAAAGAAATTGACATCCTAGTCGTTCTGGACTAACCAGAAATGAATGAATGTAATGCCAAGGCTTGGATCGTGATAATCATTGCAATATTAATTGAATTGGGAGGAACGGGAGAAAGTGTACTTACAATTTTAAAAGATCCGTCTGTCGTCGAAGCTGAAGCAATTCCGTCCTCTGCTGCTAGCGATAGTACATCCAGAACCGATTTCACGATTTATAAGGCATAAAATGCTGCGCGTCACGAAGTGGCTCTCCTACTTATGAAGATCTTCATGTTGCTATTTGCACATAGTCTCGAAGCAATTTCACAAGGTTTTTTAATGGCTATCTTCGTCACAAGTGGGTGGTGGCCCTGCCCACGTGACTCGCAGTGCGCGCCTCCTATTGGATGACGCAGGCAAAAACACAGCCAGATTGCCGTATGTTTCAGTTTGTATCACTGTACCTGTATTTTGTTTATCAGGGGACTTTTGTAACACTTGAAAACCCGGTTTTTTGCAATAACCTCGGCAAATACTTCCAATTTGCTTGGTTTTATGTATTTATTTGTTACCTTAACGATGATAAAATCCGCCATAATCTTTACATGACGTCGTACAATTGTATCAATCAAGGTTTCTAAACCCAAGGTTTTAGGTTTTCAACGAATTCATTGAAGCCTTTTCTACACTGATAAAGTCCTATGTGTCTATATGTATAAACAAAACAAACCAAAGAAGAACCAAAAGAAAGTACCGTATCTTTCCAATACCAATCTACACACTATCTTCGTCAAAATTTTCAAATAATCACAGACTACCTCTCAAACGCATGAAAAGGGTTTACTAAAAAAAAAGAAACCGTTATGGTTTTGAACTTTTATCGTTAACCAAAATCTTAGTTTTTCCAGATTTTTACGAAAGGAAATATTTCTTAAACAAAAAAGAATTCTTAAATATTGTGTAGAAATGGACATCTGCTGTCTTCCGTAAACTTAGTTCTCGCCCTCCCCGTTTGAACACTTGAAACGCAGTGGATTTGCTGAGTAACGCTGAGTGCCGGCGCATCGGGGCGTACTATTGAACCCTCGGACTAACGAACCTTCGGACTAATGACCCTTCGGACTAGTAAACCTTCGGACAATCGAGCTGTCACCAGCGCATCATATGCATCATAGACCCTAGAATTTAAGAGCATTCATTATAAGGGCCATCCAGTTTATTGAGTGGTTCGAAGTTTACTCATGTTGAGCTGCACTTCAAAAATAATATGGCATATGCCCCATTTTGTTGAAGGGCCTTTTTTTTTTAGTCGCCCGTTTGCAAACCGGACTATTATTCCGGATTCAATCAAACGATAATCTTATCTACGTCAATCAATTTGGACTTGAATACACAATATGGACGATATGAAAGAGAGGAACTTTGACTAGGTTCTAGTTTGAGGTTTTTTTTTACTTTAGGTAGACAATTTTATTCAGTGCAGGACCAAATATTTTGAGACGCGTTTCTTGTTTATTACAGTTTTCACGTCTCCGGCTGTCGACTTGATCCCGCAGAGGCGCAGTGCAGAGTTACTTCTATAAACGAAGAACAGCTTATAAAATGGAATCCATCATTTGAAACAGCAGTTATCAATCTCAAAAACACTCCCATTTTAATTATAGTCATCGTTCAAGTCTGACGACTTTACATCAAACAAACGAAAATTGTTGCATTAAAAAGAACATATTTATGTCATGCAAAAAACATTGGTGAGCACACACTCGCTATTGAATTTAAACTAAACTTATGCTATTCTCTGGGCTGTAAAAAAAAGGTTGGTAAAACACTGTTTTGGCAATGTTACTTGCCTTACATTGGTGTGAAGTTACCTCATTGTGGGTTGATTTGGGTAACAATTATTGAACAACTTTTGGCACGAATTTGTCCAAAGAGTGCAGTTTGTAAGTTGACCAACATGCCTTATGCACTAGTTGGCCATTTTGTCAAGTTCCCTGAATGTATTTCATTAATTGTAACCTGTTGAATGGGATGGCGCCAGACTATTTATGCGGGCAGAATGCAGCCTTATTTTAATGTTAGTTATTTTAACTCTGGCTTTAAACATTAGGAAATGTTTAATTACACATTTTAAATTACTCATTGAAGCAGACTGGAAGTAATAAGTAATTAACTTGCTTTCATTTCTCTTCGCAAGATCCAACGATTAAGATTTTACCTCACTTTCAATTCAATATGGCTGACTCATGCAAAAGGCCCATTGGGCAAAATAACTACATCGTTTTCCCAACTATTTTTTACACAGTAAATGTTATTTTTCCACTGTTAGTTTCCACTGGTCCTCGTTTCTATTATATTATCCTCACTACCATCAAAAACAAAACGCATTCGCTATATATTTATCAAAATATATAAAAACATGTCCTTTGTACAAATCACAATCTACAGTTAATGTAATTTACAAAGATAGAGAATAAAAGATTCATAAAAATGAATCATCATATTTGAAACACCCAATCTGATCATTTACTGAAGAGACAGTTGGAGTTATGCTATACCCTGACCATACAGCAATGTAGATGTGATACAAAAGAATAAATTTTAAAATACTATTCATCCGAAACAGGTTCAAAGGATATCTTTTATTATAAAATAGAATCTATATCAAGCTGCCGACATTGCCCGCCTAATACTGCAAAGAGATAGAAATGTTAAATTTTAGTTAGACCGACTGATTTCCTACATGTACGGGTCAGTGCACTGACAGTTTCAGGATACCAGACGATGAATATGTATTGCAACCCCGTCTCCCAAGGTTTGACCCCATAAAACTGTGCTAATTTTCCTTGACTGAAAAAAAGCCATCGGCATTACTTTACGACATATAACCATCTGCATATAAAACATAACCCAGCAGACATTTAAAAGCAGGAAATTAAATACAAACTTTATCTTTTAAAGTTTTTGTATGCCAATGTTTTTTGGTGCACGTGGTTCACACTAACGATGTATTACTTGTCAACGCCGTGGCACAAAATGAAAACAGCATTTTGAATGACCATCTTAATACAGAGTTGAGGGCTAATCATAAGTTCTTTTTTTTCGTTAAAAATGCCACTATCTTCCTGTTAGTAATTAGACAAAACGATTCAAGTGATTTGTTTGTCAAATACCAAAATTAAAGAAACGACTTTCCCCTTGCACACGTTTTTTCTCCTGACGACGGGCAAAGCATACTGTTCGAAACGTTAAGTCCATCCGGTTCTTTTCAGAACCACACGTACTCAGAAAAGAGATTTATTCACATGGTGCTACCGCAAACTTATCTTGTCTTTGCACAGTTTTTCTTATCATAAAATAGCAATAAACAAACACACACACGTATGCTCACCGCGGAGAAAAAAGTCCTCATTGTGAGCTCAGATGCAAGTAGTCTACAAAGTTTTCCTTCCCCCCACTCCCCCACTCCCCACCCCCATCCCACTCCCACCACACCCCCACCCCACCCCCTCGTGCAAATTCCCAAACTTGTACGTCATACTCATAACTGTGGCTCGTACTTAGGTCTAATCAAGATGACTTGTCCGATGCGTTGGAGACCCGGTCAGGCGGCGGGCTCTTGCCTCGAGACGACGGCCGAGTCAGCTCCTGTTCCTCCACGTCCTGGACCTTGGCTGATCCCTTGTTCTTCATGACAAGGACGACGATAATCACAACGATGATGGCGACAGCGGCGACACTACCGACCACAATGCCGGCGATGGCCCCGGGGGACAGACCCGGCTCTGGTGGAACTGAGGAATGAAAAAAAGAAAATTAAACAAAAAACTCTTCTATCTGAAAGCCTACAGTCTGAGAACAGCAAATTCACAACTGGTTAAATACAGATTTGGCTTAAGCAAACGTGTCCGAGTCAATTCAAACTACAGTACAGTGAGCACTTGGAACATGCAGGCAGTATTACCGGTCGTATTATACGCATTTTAGTTTCAACAGAATTATCCAAGTATCGTTTTCAAATCGAAAGATGGAAGAAAATGTTTCTCAACTTACGTGTGCTCGGTATGACTTCTGAAAACAAAACAAAACAAATGAGAAAATGTTAACTTAATGTTGACGAAACTACCATTATAAATTCTGTCAAAAGTAAGTGAAGATAAACTTGAACCGGGCGCTTTGCAGTATATAATCGTTGGTGTGTGTTAAGAATTAGTGATGCATATCTGTTTTTCTGTCGGTTGAACACATTTGATACTTTATAAAACTCATCTCATGAAAGGGTACAACGCTCTCATTAATTCATCCACACAGTGGATATAGGTCACTGCTTGTGTTATAGTTATATTCATGTGGACAGCTCAAAACCCATTTTGTAACAACGGAGGGGTGGGGTCGTAGAAAAAAAAAACAAGTTTTCACTCTTTCAAGATATGAAAAATTACAACTGTTACCTTTAACTGAGATTGATGACGTATCAACTGTGAGGAAGGCAATCCTTGGGTCCGTTGAGTTTTTGAAAGCATCCTTTAAGGTCGTTGTTACTTCCTCAGGGGTGACTTTCGTGTCAGCTGGAAATTCCAGGAGAAATGTGGCCACGATGCTTCCACTCCTAAAGCCAGAGACCGAGCAGCCCTCGATACTACTTCCTGCTGTCGAGTTTTCCATGGCAGCTGTGACCTATAGCAGACATAAAACACAATCAATGTAACGGGGGCCAATCATTCCACGGAGATGAGGCTGCTCTTTCTTGTTTAATAATTCAAGGCTACTACAGTAATCATTTAGCAGGAGGGTAACGATGTTTTTCTATGGAATATAAAAATATGGATATTGTACTTACTGCAGTGCAAACTTGGACGCTCAAATCCTTGTAGGGCTTGGAGTCTGGTTTCTCATAGTCGCCGCCAAATACAGCGTCGGTGCCGTCAATTTGCGTGATCGGTAGGTCACCCGCAAACTCCTTGCCAGCTGAAACAGAAAACGACAAAAATAGGCAATGAATGTCAACAACCTCTGTATGAAAATCGAAGCAGGTATGAAGAACATCTCAAGGGAGAAAGAACTTCAGTGATTTTGTTTCTTGACTACATCTTTGCCTTTTGTTGAGAAGTGTTCGTGTATACTCACGTGGCTTTGTTCCAGGTTTCTCTGTGGGTGCCTTTGTTCCAGGTTTCTCTGTGGGTACCTTTGTCCCAGGTTTTTCTGTTGGTTCGCCTGTGCCAGATTTGTCTGTTGGTTCTCCTGTGCCAGATTTTTCTGTTGGTTCGCCTGTGCCAGATTTTTCTGTTGGTTCGCCTGTGCCAGATTTTTCTGTTGGTTCGCCTGTGCCAGATTTTTCTGTTGGTTCGCCTGTGCCAGATTTTTCTGTTGGTTCGCCTGTGCCAGATTTTTCTGTTGGTTCGCCTGTGCCAGATTTTTCTGTTGGTTCGCCTGTGCCAGATTTTTCTGTTGGTTCGCCTGTGCCAGATTTTTCTGTTGGTTCGCCTGTGCCAGATTTTTCTGTTGGTTCGCCTGTGCCAGATTTTTCTGTTGGTACGCTTGTCCCAGGTTTTTCTGTAGGTCCGTCTGTCCCAGATTTTTCTGTAGATGCGTCCATTCCAGGTGTTTCTGTAGGTGCGTCTGTCCCAGTTGTTGCAGGCGCACTCGTCACAGCTACTGTTGTTGAACTTGCAGTCCCTGTCTCCATGGTAGGTGTCCCCGTTGGTCCCACAGTCATTACTTCTGTGGTTATCGTTGTATCGCTTGTAACACCTGCTAAGGTGCTCACTCCAGTGTATTCTGTCGTTTCCGTTGCAGCTGTTCCGGTCTGCGCATTGGTAGGTATTCCTGATCAAAAATGAAAAAAAAAACATTATGCCACAGAAACCAAAACGATCCTGAAGAAGTGACTATACACTGCACTGCACGTGACAGCTACTTTGGCCAATATGAAGTCTGCTTGAGGTTTTCGCCACGAGTGACGCCCAGTTTTCATAGTCAGCGGTACAGTCTTTTGGTTGACACAGTATTCATTGAATAAAACTTAGTATTATTGTCTCCTTTTCAATCCCGACGACCACTTGGATACCTATAACCAAAACCATGTTTTCAAACGACAGATTTTGTTTTTTAATTTAAAGATGTAAACAATAACTAACTTACCCATCATGCATACTACGATGATGAATAAACACACTGAGGACCTGTAGAACTCCATTGTCAGATTCCGTCTAAGTTGACCTTTCGTGACAGATAGCTCTAGAAAACGAATTTTAAACAGCAACTTCAGTGGTTAACATGAGTTCGTCTCTATGTTGGCCTGTTCAAATGATTCCCACGTTCAAAATATTCACAATAATATCGTCTAATTCATTCGTAAAATCAGGACTATTTACATGATTCAAGGACATATTAGTCTGAGTAACGGTTTTGATCTCTTGTTTATTATTATCATCAGGTGTGACACTTTTAAGGTACATGTATTAATTATGCACACCTGAATAACTTCGCTCCATCTTTGAGTTCAATTACAATTTTCGAAGGTGTTTTAAAACTATTTGTCCATCTTTGGTTCAAGGGACGATACAACATTTGAAAACATACAAAAAGCACGATATGATACAACTATCACAAAATACCTTACTGGATGATAGGGGATGCCAATCTAAAGCATCCTGTAAAATCGTGGCTCCTGGTGTGTTGACATTTTCAAGAAAAATCATATTTTTCCAATGCTGGTCGGCAATTTTTTTTTCAAGAATGCTCCTAATTTTTCATATTTAGTTATTCTGCATTTTCTTTGCAATTGATTAAACACCTGTGAACGGGATGATCGTACAATTCCCCTAAGTCTATGAATTGTTCCATTTTATCTCAAGTGGGGTCGGGGCACCAGACAACAAAAACATAATTGGTTTTCTTGGCTTTTCCAGCATCTACAAGCCCAAAACGTGAAACAAGTCAGTTTAACAATATTTGCTCAAACAATACAAATCCTTCAAATCCATTTATTTCTGAAAATTGCAGCAAAAGCCAATGTTGTACATTCCCTTTGAAGATTCCGGACACGTGAAGGCTTAAATTTGCAAATTCTCAGGTGTTCTTCTCAGCCATGGAGTTGGACTTGAGTTTACATGTGGACCCGATAAGCGCAGCGGTAAACTATCAGTCTGCGTATACAAGTCAATTCGTGTCACAACAACACGTATGTATCTGAAGAACCGTTCAGTTTAACCGATCGATTGCCCGTCTGATTATCATCGTTTACACATTTCAACCAACAATGCATATTTGGACAAGTACTGTATCTCTTTCTTTCCGGACAACGCTCGAGAACGAAGCAAAGGTTTGTTTAACACTGGCAGCCACTCCTGTTAAATAAATCAACCTTTTCTTGTCGCTATACATCGGTTGCCAGACAACAATTCAACACCTGGCACCTATTATTCCATTGATAACACTCGTACATCAAAACTCGTTTATCTGAAATTTCAGTCATCGATCTTGGCGTCTCCCGCCTTAACGAAGTGGTGCAAAAAGAAGGATAGGCACACCCACGTTTGACAGTAACCAAGTTTCACGTACTTTTTAAGCATGTTAATTTAATGGTATTAAAATATTGATCTTTAAACATAAGTGACGAAAAGTGATTGCGAATGCATATTTTGCCTCTGAGATAAGTAGTTTTAAAAAGTTCATGTGCCAAATCTGTTTGTCCACGGACGGCTTTGTTCCATCCGCTTGACTGAGCTCCGGAGCTTGATTTGCAGAAAAAATAACACTACACTAGACTTACACGTTGAAAACAGTGATTTTGGTGATTTTAATTCAAATTAGCATAACAACACTATGCTTGTGGGTTTTTTTAAGATTTGTTCACCGCGTATGGTTGAAGAGCTATACTTCACTACATTATAAAAAAAGGTTAAAATAAGTTGAGTAAGTTTAGGTTAAAATTCCTGTCAAAAGTGGGTTTCCTTTTTTTTCCCACCACCCTGTATTTCATCTTTCGTATTTTTTTATCATCCATAATTACAGTGTTCTGCGTTCGCGATGCATGTGTTTTTGTCATATCTAGAGTTTGAGTAAAATTCTCAGGTCATTTGAGTTTTATGAAAACGGATTTTTTTTCAAAAGCGTGTAAATCATGTACAGAAGGTGTTTCAGAAAACGAACAAAACGAAACAATGCCGAAAGTAATACTTCTCAAATGATGCCATTTTGATTCGAATTGATTAGGCCTACGTTCAGTTTACTCTTTAACGGGCATTGAGTAACACAAGGGTACTTGTATTAAAAGCAGTAAAAGTATCGAATAATCGATAAATGATGTGTACATTGCCTATTATACAAGCTGATTTGCGTCAGCCGTACATAAATTGTTTTAAAAACCCACCGTTTGAATTTTGAGCAAAAGGGGGAACCCTAGACGTTCAGGACTAGTCAAAATTGAATCCATGTAATGCCAAGGTGTGGATGAGATAATCATTATAAAAGTCACTGAATTGGAAGGAATGGGTGAAAGTTAACTTACATTTTTAACAGATCCGTCCGTCGACGCTAAAACAATTCCGTCCTATGCTGCTACCAGTCCAAAGATATATCCAGAACCGATTTCACGATTTACAAGGTGTGAAATGCTGCGCGTCACGAAGGGCCTTTCCTTTTTATGGGAATAACGTTTTTATTTTCCATGTTGCTATAGCAAATTTACACGGTTTGCCAAGAATCCTATTGGCTATCTGCGTCACCAGTGGGTGATAGCTCTGCCCACGTGACCCGGATGCGCGCACTCCATTGGATGACGCAGACAACACAGCCTGATTACCGAATGCTTTAGGGCTGTTTTGGATCACTGCACCTATATTTGTTTTATCAGAGGAAATAGTTCCACTTTAGATACACGTATTTCTTTCTCATACCTTCTCTTATTTATCCATTTGTTTAATCTATTTATCTGTTACCCTGGATACAAAAATGTCAATTGTCACTTTCTTCCCCTTTGCACCCCTACCTCTAGTAGTGCCACAGGTTTTCAATTTTCACCGTTTTTCAAAGTAAGAACCCGAATACCCGTGATTGGATTGTGAGCAGAGTGTCAAGTTAAACAAAGAAAAATCCCACACATATATTGTACACGTATGAAGCCCGGGAAGGGACTGGGTAGAATTTTTTTTTTTGGAGTTTGCTAATTCGTTCGCACGAATTACTAATTCGTGCGAACGAAATACTAATTCGTTCCCTCGAATTACTCATTCGTGCGAACGAATTAGCAAACTCCAAAAAAAAAATTCCACCCTGTCCCTTCCCGGGCTTCATATAAACGTTATAAACAATTGTGTAAAAAAAAATTTAAATGTTAAGTTCGATGCCAGCTTTGTTTTTGGAATAGAAGCCACTGTTGCCAAGCCACGATGAAATATGCACTTGCGGGGGGGGGGGATGCGCAACTCCCCCGTTCAGTCGATGACTATTTTTAGATACTACTAAAGTGGTGCCAACAATAATACCAGGAACGGTAAATGTATTTCTCACGTTGCTTTAGAATGCACGATAAAGTATTGTTAGGTCCTGCAGGTATCGAAACGCTATGCCTTCTAACCATGCAATATGATGAAGAAAATAGTCCATCGCAAGTCGTATCAAGAGTAAAAGTCACACGTAACAGGGGGCAGCAATGAAAAGGAATGAATTCACATAACGTCTCAACGTCACATAACGTTGCATTTGTCTCAACCTCGTTCCCATGTGTCGAGCAGTACGCTCCCAACACTACCTGCTCTCTCACACTGGTATTGGATCATCTGCATGTTCAAAAATCTTAAACATTGTATGCAAATTAGGAGTCTGATACCTCTCTGTGCTTAAACAAGCGTCCTTTTTTTTCCTTTTTTTCTTTTATTGCGGTGTAAGGGGTAATAATAGAATCAATTTGAGATTCGAGATCCGAAACCACGTTAAAATGTTACAATCTTATCCACCCAGTATGAAGTATGTTATTATATTTTAACATAAGTAAAATGCAAAATGCAGGATTACACGATATAAGTTCGTTACTTGCCATTGCTGTATCGAATCAGGGTACAAGAAAAACGTTTCCTTCCCAGGGGTTACTATTGGAACGAACTTGAAAGCTGGAGTCCGGTATCTGTTTTTTTGGATTTGGATAACTGCATGTCACAGACATCCATACATCTAAATCATGTCGTGGATTTTAACATGTTAAAAAGTGGATGCAAAAAAGGAGTTTGGAAATGTGTGTATAATAAACTCTAAACACTGTTTTTGCGGTGCACCTATGTTTTGGGTTTTTTATCAGGGGGAACTTTGTAACACTTCAAAACCCGTTTTGCGATAGCCTTGCCAAAACAGCGTCATTTTAGTTCCACAATCTATCTTTCTCTTATTGTTTTCCCCATCTTATGTTTCTGTTTTGTTTTGTCTATTTATTTGTTACCCAAGATACACACAATGTCAAAGGACACTTACTCTCCCTCGTGCAGCCTATCCTCTAGTCATGTCACAGCTTTTCAGATTTTACCGTCTTTCAAAGCAAGAATCCAAATTTTAAGTCGAGTGTCAAAGTTAACAACAAAATTATACTTTTTTTCTATGACGAAACCTTTTGTCTGTGCGAATCAGGCTTCCTGTCATAGTAGGAATTTTCACAGCGACTGGCAACGGTACGCAGCTCCCGCAAATTTGAAACGGTTTCGTAAAATCCATTTATAAAAATGAGAACACTTTCAGAATCATCTTTCAAAAAGTGTGTCTCGGATTATTTTGTCATGCCCCTGCCCCGTCAAAAACCAATATAGTCCTGCATCTACGTTGTTCTAAAATAACCGGCACGTGGCGATGAAACGTCGACTAGTTTCGAAAAACAAATCCCTGTTTTAAAAAAAGGAAATATTACTGCAAAGCTCCACATGCATACGAGGTGAAAAATCATTCCCATAGAACATTTTATACCTAAAAACCGCTGTGAATAAAACAGCAAACGAGCGTAAATCGAGGGGAAAATCTTGCGGGCACACGTACCGTGGAGCCGTCATGGTTTGACAATCAAATTCTCATTTTTGGGAATGACACAATATTGTAAAAAAGTCGGACTGGTGGATCGGCAAAAAATATGGACAATTTGAATGGAAAAGGACAGTACTTACAAAATGTTTGGGGGATGTTAAATACCCCCCCCCCTCCCCCCGCTGGCTACGCCTATGGATTTGCAATCGAATTTAACTCTGAATACGAAAGGGTGTGCCAGTTAACTTATAGTTATTTCATTCTCTTTTTTCTGGTAAAAAAAACATCGTGGGTTCATGAGAAGAGCGGATGCACTGTAGCAGATGCCGGGATATGACGCCAGATAGCACAGTCGTAGGACACAACAATAACCACAGAATGATAATTCAGGGAAACCCAGTTAAAAAAAAACCTATTCAACTGCCTATAGGCAGAACTCCAACCAAATGTATTCATCACGAGGGTTGATTTTCATTCTGCATGCCTCAATCACAATTGTTGGGAGGATTTGTGTTTCATTCTTTCATTCTTGTCTGACATGATGACATATATGTCACACTGCACTTAATAACCGGACCTAGGCGACAACGTACATCAAGACATGCCCAACATTAACAACCAACACAATCTGGTCAACCTATACTCTATTTTATTGCCAAACCTTTCACCTAAGCGATTATTCAACATCAATCAAATCGAAAAATCAACTTTGACAATGAAAAAGAGAGATCCTGAAAGACATTGGCATTTTCGATTGTTCCCCCCCCCCTTTTTTTTTTTTAATTATCAAGGCTGGTTATAGTAACATCAAAATTCGAGTAAAACAGGTTTACAGACTAATTAGGCGACCGCCATTTTTAAAATTAACCTCTTTCCCATTCGTTTGACCCCAACGCGCTACTCGGTAGGGGAAGAGACGCATGCATTCAAAGAGACTGGTACCCAAAATAACGCGTCGTTAAACGAGCCTTTGTGAAAGGGGCACCCCGTTTATTCCTTATCTTTTACGTTGGATTTTCACTACGATTTTGTCCTAAAAAAACACTTTCGCCGGGTTAATTTTTCTTCCACCGTCCCGATTCGGAATAAGAAAAATACACGAATCGTATACAAACAAGAAATGAAGGGGAGGAGATGGTGTAGGGTCAAACTTTTTTAAAGCAATTTTTGCGTTCTGGATCCCGGACTATGGATATACTCGTGGTTGCTCGGTGGTTGTGGGTTGTTGTCCTGACTTGCGACCTTGGCGTCGTTTCCTTTCATCTTCATGACGACAAAGACAATGATGACCATTACGATGAGTACGAGCAGGACCGCGCCGACCACGATACCAGCTATAGCTCCCGGGGAGAGACCCACTGGCACCGGCTGACCGTCTGTGGAGACACGCCAAAAATGATAACCAGAGTGAGAGACCAAAAACCAAATAATTGAAAAACTACCCGCTTCCTTGATTGAGCAGAAATATACAAATCTCGATGGGTCCCGTTGGAATCGAAACACTATACCATGCAATATAATAGAATAAAATGTCTAGTCCATCATAAGTCATATCACAAGTTAAGGTCACATGTGACAGCGGAGCAGCAACGACAAAGAAATATATTTGTTACATATAGTATGTGGCTTGTTTTGAGACTGAATGACTTGTGATTAACTTGTGATTGACCTGTGATTGACTTGTGATTAGCTTGTGATTGACTTGTGATTAACTTGTAATTGACTTGTGATTAACTTGTGATTAGCATCTGATTGACTTATGATTGACTTGTGATTAGCATCTGATTGACTTATGATTGACTTGTGATTGACTTGTAATGACCTGGCTATAACTGCTATTCATTTCGATTGTAAAATTTTTGATTTTTGATCTGTCAGGGCCAGTCATTCCCCGAAAGAATGACATTCTCTGTTTCTCCTCGACTTGAATCTCGTCGCCAGGGCGTCGAAGCAGCACAAACAACACAAAGCTCCCTCGTTGGTTGCTTGTATAGGCCTACTCTAAATCGCGTTTTCAAAAGAACGGTTTTCTTAAACATGGTGGATTAACAAAATAGTATTTTACAACAAACTGAAACTACCTGTTGGTGTTACTGTTGTCAAATCTGGTGCTTGGGTAAGTGGTAGAATTTCTGTAAATGGGGAAGAAACGTACAATGATGCTCCGTTAAACATGAACGACTAAACATCTAAAATTCACTCAGTGCAGTACTTGTCCATGAAGGCAATGAAGATTAAAACAAGCCTTTATCCTCAGCTGAACTCTTCACTACTTCATTATCTTTCGTTATTCCCTTTAGGAACCGAATTTTGGTTTTAACAAGTCAAAGCTGATTTCAAGAGTTTCGCGAACGTCGCGCGCAGACCACACCAAAAAAAATGTTCAAAAGGAACAAAAAACTATTCCTCTGGGTTTGCCATAATATATCCCGCATTGATCACTTCCAAACGAAGCTGCACAGGGAGCGTGTTTTGTCCGGAAGGCCTGAATAAACCTGAAAATTTAGACTTCAGGAAACAATACACAGGCAACAGTGTAAGCACCGGAGAGCAACCAATAAAAAGCATGCAGCCCAACTTCGGAACCTTGCCAGGCCCGCTTTTGTAGCCCCTTTCCCCCTGCAAAACAAAGACCCCTGGGCGTCGTTACTGTCGTTGCTAACCTATTACATTAAAACCCATTGAGGTAGCGGAGGCTGGCCTGTGCAGCCCACTTTCAATCCAACGGTGACTTACCCTCGGCAGTTATCGACGAGGTGTCGACACCTAATTGCGTGATGAGTGGATTAGTTGAGCTTGTGAATGCTACGACCATATGTTCCACCAGCTGATCCGCTGTCAGTGTGGTCTCCGCTGGGAATACCACCCGGTAAATTGCTATCACACTGCCGCTACTGAACTCCGTCACTTCGCAGTCTTCTGGGGTCGGTAGTGAAGAAGATTCGTTTGCTACAGCTGTGACCTGGTGGAAGGAATGATTGCAAAACTGAATCAGAATCGGAATCTTCAGCCGTAAAAGGCAAAATGGGTTCAGAAAACTCACAATAAGAACTGAATGGTCTTACTCAGTTACACTCGAATTTGATCGACTTCGGCACAATAAAATGTGTTGGGTTCTCAGATAGGATTTTAAAAGTGCGGCTATGCATGCTTCCCATCTGTCTTTCGGGTCAATTTGGACTGGTAACTCACCGCTGCACACACTTTCTCGCTTAAGTCCTTAAAGGCGTCTGAAGATGTATTTGTCAAATCATCTGTGAAATTGGCTGGTAGACTGTCAATGTCAGTTATCCGCATGTTACCTTCGAACATCTTAGGAGCTGCAAAACAACATGTTCAAAACAGAATTAAGCATTAAGAATGGTTTTTGGGAAAAGTTTGTTGTCTTGAAAGAAATAGATTGCCAGCTGAAACAGACAACGACAAAAATATGCAATGAACGTCAATCTCTGTATGAAAATCGAAGCAGGTATGATGAGCATCTCACAAGAGAAAGAACTTCAGTAATTTTGTTTCTTGACTACATCTTTGTCTTTTTGAGAAGTGTTCGTGTATACTCACGTGGCTTTGTCCCAGGTTTCTCTGTGGGTTCGCCTGTCCCAGGTTTTTCTATTGGTTCGCCTGTCCCAGGTTTTTCTGTTGGTTCGCCTGTCCCAGGTTTTTCTGTAGGTTCGTCTGGTCTAGGTTTTTCCGTCGTTGCGTCTGTTCCCGGATCTTTTGGAGATGCGTCCGTTCCAGGTGTTTCTGTAGGTGCGTCTGTCCCAGTTGTTGCAGGCGCACTTGTCACAGCTACTGTTGTTGATGCACTTGCAGTCCCTGTTGCCTCGCCAGGTGCTTTCTCCGAGGTAGTTGTCCCTGGTGTCCCCGTTGGTCCCGCACAAGGGCGGATCCAGGGGGGGGCCAAAGGGGGCCATGGCCCCCCCCCAAAACGAAACCAATTTTTTTTTTTTTTAATTTGACATCGCAATAAAGGCAGGCAATGAGTACACCACCATCTTTTCCTCAAAAAAATTGGTTAAAGTGGTCAGAAATTGCCTCAGATCGCACCACAGAGCATCTAGAATCCAAAAAATTTTCGGGGCCCTCACGGGCCCCGAACCCCACGCCGTAATTTTTTATACCCACTTTTTTGGGGGGGACCAAAATTTTTTTTTTGGCCCCCCCAAAATTGTGTTCTGGATCCGCCCTTGGTCCCGCAGTTGTTACTTCTGTGGTCATCGAAGCATCGCTAGTAACACCTGCTAAGGTGCTCCCTCCAGTGTTTTCTGTCCCTGCAGGTGTTGTGTCGCCAGGTGCTGTCTCCGTGGTAGGTGTCCCTGGTGTCCCCGTTGGTCCCGCAGTCGTTACTCCTGTGGTCATCGTTGCATCGCTAGTAACACCTGCTAAGGTGCTCCCTCCAGTGTTTTCTGTCCCTGCAGGTGTTGTTTCCGTTGCGAGAGTTGTTGTCGTTGTAGCTGTTCCGGTCTGCGCATGGGTAGGTATTCCTGATCAAAATTTAGTGTATGAGAACAACATTATGCGACAGAAACCAACATGATCCTGATGAAGAGACTATACACTGCATGTGACTGCTACTTTGGCCAATATGAAGTCTGCTTGAAGGTTTTTCGCCACGAGTGACGCCCAGTTTTCATAGTCAGCGGTACAGTCTTTGGGTTGACACAGTATTCATTGGGTAAAACTTAGTATTATTGTCTCCTAAGGCCGATTTGATACCCATAATTCAAAGCCCATGTGCTCAATAACACATCTTTTTTCAATTTCTTTTAAACAATGTTTTAGGTTTTGTTTTGTTCTAAAGCTCTTTCTGCATCGGATATATATGAGCACTAAACCACAACACTGTTGCACAAATGCCACAGTGGGGCAATGGGACTCCAGCAAAAAAAAAATACGCTGAAAACAAATATGTAGGATATTAAAAGGTATCAACAATATAATAACTTACCCATCATGCATACTACGATGATAAATAAACAAGCTGAGTACCTGTAGATTTCCATTGCCAGATTCCGTCTAAGTTTACCTTTCGTGAGAGATAGCTCTAGAAAACGAATTTTAAACAGCAACTTCAGTGGTAAATATGAGTTCATCTATTATGTTGGCCTGTTCAAATGATTCCCTCGTTCAAAATATTCACAATAATATCGTCTAATTCATTCTTCAACTCAGGATTATTTACATGATTCAAGGACATATGAGTCTGAGTAACGGTTTTGATCTGTTGTTTATTATTATCATCAGGTGCGACACTTTTAAGGTACATGTATTAATTATGCACACCTGAATAACTTCGCACTATCTGTTAGTACTGAAGCGGTACGCCATTAAGGAGGTCCGCTCAAACTTTAGATTTAAGGACGCCAAGAACAACCCAAGACAAACAAACAAAATCAAACCACTAGGAGGAGTCAAATTATGTTTGGTCTCATGATCTTGTTACCGAGTACTTTTTTACAAAATCAATTACAGTAGTTCTGGATCTGAATCTCAATCTAACTCACAAAACAAGTGTTACAAAAATCATATAACTTAGATTAAACTTCCAGCTTTATAAATTGTAATAACGTTGCCAATGATAAATTAAAATCACAAAGTTTGTATTTCTAAAGTTGCCCCGGTTCCTAAGATTCCCAGGTTCCTAATATTCTTGGTTCTAATATTTTAATCAAGTTCCCCGAACGCCTGGCCAGTGTACGGCTGTGTATTGAACTAGGCCTCCCAATTGCACCTGACATGAAATACTCGTATTGCATTAAATCAACATGTGACTTACACGATGAACACGGGTGATTAAAACTTTGAGATTACGAAGACTAATTCGCCCAAAAATCACTCCTTTCGTCGACATGAAATAAACTAACACCTAGCCCAGAGAACTTGCATTGTGACATTAATAGATTGTAAAGAAAATACAAATTCCGCTCATTTGAAACTAAAATGTTGGTTTTCAAGCACAAATCTATGCACACGATACTCACACTTTGGTGTGCAGGCAGAAAAGGGCAGATATTCGCTGCACTGAGTGCGCGTTTGTATACATTTTTCTGGGCTGTATGCCAATTGTACGGTGCCTCGTAAAAGACGTCTCACTACAGTACAATCACAGTTTTCCAAGGTGTTTTAAAACTATTTGTCCATCTTTGGTTCAAGGGAAGATACAACATTTACAAACAATAAAAAAAAAAAAACGATATGATCCAATTATCACGAAATACCTTACTGGATTGTTAGGGAATGACAGTCTAAAGCATCCTGTAAAATTGTGGCTCCTGCATGGTGTGCTGACATTTTCAAGAAAAATTGTATTTTTGCAACGCTGGTCGGCCGACCAGCGTTGGAGAAAACTGGCTATTCTCAAAAACTACTTCATGTTTCTTATATTTTAGTTATTTCACATTTTCTTTGCAATCGATTTGACACCTGTGAACGGCTACAAGCCAGCTAAATTGATACTCTGATCTTACAATTCCCTAAAGTCTATAAATTGTTCCATTTCATCTTAAGTGAGGTCAGGGAACCAGACAACAAGAACATACTTGGTTTTCTTGCTATTCCAGCATCTACAAGCCCAACACGAGAAACAAGCCAGTTTAATAATTTGCAAAAACATACCAATCCTCCAAATCCATTTATTTCTGAAAATTGCAGCAAAAGCCAATGTTGTACATTCCCTTTAAAGATTCCGGACTCGTGTGATTCCACAACCTTCAAAAGCTTAAATTTCCGATTGTTCAGGTGTTCGACTCAGCCTTGGAGTTGGACTGGAGTTACATGTAGACGCAGTAAGCGCAGCGGTAAACTATCAGTCTGCGTATACAAGTCAATCCGTGTCACAACAACACGTATTTATCCGAAGAACCGTTCAGTTTAACCGATCGATTGCCCGTCTGATTATCATCGTTTACACATTTCAACCAACAATGCATATTTGGACAAGTGCTGGATCTCTTTCTTTCCGGACAACACTCGAGAACGATGCAAAGATTTGTTTAACCCTGATAACCGCTCCTATTTAATAAATCAACCTTTTCTTGTCGCTATGCATCGGTTGCCAGACAACAATTCAAAACCTGGCACCTATTATTCTATTGACAACACTCGTCCATCTGAAATTTTGTCTTCGATCTTGACCATTTTGATCTGAATCAATTAGGCCTAGGCTACGTCCTAGTTTACTCTTCAACGGATATTGGGTAACACAGGGGCACTTGTATTAAAAGCAGTAAATGTATCGAATAAATCGAAATGATGTATGTTCGTTGCCTATACTTACGAGCTGATTTGGGTCAGCCGTAGATAAATTCTTTTAAAAACCTACAGAAAATTGAAGTTAAAAATGCCCCACAAAAGTTTGAATTTTGAGCCCTAGACGTTCAGGATTAGTCAAAATTGAATCAATGTAATGCCAAGGTGTAGATGAGATAATCATTGTAAAAGTCACTGAATTGGAAGGAATGGTAGAAAGTTAACTTACAATTTTAACAGATCCGTCCGTCAAAGCTGAAGCAAGTTTGTCTTATGCTGCTACCAGTCCTATAGTATATCCAGAACCGATTTCACGATTTACAAGGTGTGAAATGCTGCGCGTCACGAAGGGCCTTTCCTTTTGATGGGGATAACGTTTCTATGTTCCATGTTGGTATTTACACGGATCTCGAAGTAATAATTAACACGGTTTGTCAAGAATCCTATTGGCTATCTGCGTCACCAGTGGGTGATAGCTCTCTGATTTGGCTGGGGGCTCACACTTTTTTATTTTGTTTTTCAAATTTTTCATAATTTTATTTTTTTGTCAAAAAAAATTTGCCCAAAATGTTTGGGCGCAAAAAAAACATGTTTTTTTTATTTTCACGTTGGTCGCGCCACTTACACTCCTATTATAGTACTCGAAAAAGGCCACATACATATCACCAAGGTCAAATCATAGGACCAAAAAATAACCTCTTGGGGACTGTAGGCAGCCCCCCTCCCCCCACGAGCGCACCCCCCCCCCCCCCCCCCCCCGGGTGCGCCATTCAGGCAGGAATCTGACACAGTAAATTAAAAAAGCGGTTCAAATCCTGAGTAGAAAATTCAACCAAGTCTCAATCCCAACTTTCCCGCCCCGGAATAATGCCACGAGAAAACTGAACTTAGTTGTAAGCATCCGTAGTGGCCGATGGCACACAAAAGGCCACGATTTTTTTTTCTAAGGGTACTTGTTCAGAAAAAGGGCACTTGTTAGCAAAAGTAGGGCAATTTGTATATGAAGGGGGGGAAGCGCTGGTGAAAAAAAGAGCATTTGAATGGAAAAGGACAGTATTTACATAATATTTGGAGTGGTTGCTAAATACCCCCCCCCCCCTGCTGGCTACGCCTATGGATTTGCAATCGAACGTAACTCTGAATACCAAAGGGTGTGCTAGTTAACTTATATTTAAGTCATTTTTCTGGTAATAAACATCGTCGGTTCATGAGAAGCGCGGATGCACCGCACCAGATGTCGGAATAATGACACCAGATTAATGTTTTAGTTGTGAGACACAACAATAATTCAACTGCCTGGGCAGAACTCAAACCAAATTCATCACGAGGGTTGATTTTCATTCTGCATGCCTCAATCACAACTTTGGGGGGGGGGTTGTGTTTCATTCTTTCATTCTTGTCGACATTATGACAGTTACGTCACACTGCACTTAACCGGACCTCGGCGACAACGTACATCAAGACATGCCCAACATTAACAACCAAAACAATCTGGTCAACCTATACTCTTTTTTATTACCAAACCTTTCACCTATTAAAGCGATTATTCAACATCAATCAAATCGAAAAATCAACTGTGACAATGAAAAAGAGAGATCTTGAAAGACATTGGCATTTTCGATTGTTCCCCCCCCCCTTTTTTTAATTATCAAGGCTGGTTATAGTAACATCAAAATTCGAGTAACACAGGTTTACAGACTAATTAGGCGACCGCCATTTTCTGAGTCGCGCTCAGGTATTATGCACCATTGATCCCGTTGGCACAGCGACCAATAAGATTAGGGACCTACCAAAATGCGCGCGCATCTTGTCTTTAATACGCGCGCCTTGTCTTTAATACAAGAACACGTGCAGCATGCGCATGTGCGTGCGTGCACGACGTACGGCAGTAACGCCTTCTAGTAACGGTTTTCTATAGAAAGCTGCATAAACAAACGAAATTCTGCGTATACAGAAAAAATAGACAAGCTGCCATCACCAGAAATACAAATCTATACTCCTTCTAAAAATGTATTTCTAAATATCATATTCCATATCAAATATACTTTAACGTAGATGCAAATCTACACGATATATAAATACAATACTATCCATAAAGTAGTTTGGGCTTATATACAAATCAAAGTAATTTCCAATCAAAGTATACGATTATGTACATTCCATATATTAAGTACATTTCTGTTAATTTACATCATTAATAAATATACTATGTTTCGAAATATTGAATTAATATCATACAATGACACTGTTTAGCTGATGTGCTTTGTGTACACTTGGAACAACTACCAACGATTCGTGCAACAGCGTGATTTAACACAAAAAAAATAATGATTTATTGAGCTATGAGTTGAGCTTCTTTGAGTGAAAAGAATCGCCAGAAAGTGAACTTTGTCCACGGAATGGACCGATCCAGTAAGCACCGCCCCATGGTGTTCTGACCAATCACAGCCGTGATTTATGTCCGACGTGTGTGCACTTAAGTCCGACATGCGTGCACGCGCGTATGATGCGCGCGGCAGGAAAATGCAGCGTGGCATTGGAGAGGAGCACGTGTTAATTTGCCAACGTGCGCACTGGGCGGAGCTTACTGGATTGGTCCATTGCGAAGGGTATAACGTTTGAAAATTATATTGAAACATTTCAGGTCATCTACTGGGTTAACAGAATACGTTCAGTAGCCTCTTATTTCTAAAATTGGTTATTCAAAAATATAAAGGCCTACAATTTTTGTAAAAAAAAAAAAAAAAAATCATTTTGGCCAACAATGATGTATTTCCCTATAATGCGGGTAAAATACCACACCAAGCAACAGCGATATCAATCCTGTTAAAAATTCCGACGTCATTTCTTTTACAAACCACGCCCACTTGAGCAAGGGTCAATTTCGGAACATAATACGCAGCACAGACGGGAAAACACTTAGGGCAAAAACAAAGAGTTGTATACGGCACAGGGTAATTGCAAAGTAACTCATTAACCTTGGGGACTGAATGTAGAGCCATTATGCGCACTAATTATCTAATTAGTTCCTAATTAACCAGAGTCCAATGTCAAGGTGCTGGTAAGCGCATGATTTCACACAGAGCCTTCCGTCTATTTCACGGAGACCATAAGCATAAGCACAGCAAAAAGCACACTAACCTTAGAGGAAAAAATGTGCTTAACTTAGTGAGGTAACAATAGAAATCTCGATTCATGCGTGACCGTTAGCACTTCAAAGCTATGAATTGAGCTCTTATGCTAAGCATAATTGTTTTGTATAGTAAGCACACTTTTTCTGCCAACTGTTAAGCAGCGCAAGTGGCCGCAAGTGGATTGTCTACGTATGCGATGGATGTGCCGTTCGTGACAAAATAATTCAGTCCTCGTTAATATTGTCACAAAAAGTACACTCTCTTGCAAGATTCTTTTCACTCACATTAGCTCATAACATTTCTAAAATCTTGTGGGTTTTTCTAATTTGTATACAGTTTTATACATTGAGTTTATTTTTCTTTTTTTAGATCTGAAATTTCACTATATAGTTTTAGTTTTAGATGGTGTACTCAACTGAACGCTTCAAGCCACTTGCTTCCGATAAGTTATGTTTCGCACTAATATTTTACAAAATGATTCAACCTCAAAAACAGCCATATTACTGTAACTATATTCATAAAAACTGAAGCACAGCTATAATGTACAAAAACAATTAAATATTTGTTATTCTTTTTTTAATGATTTATATTAAAGAAAAGGCACTATAATTTTGATGGGCATTAAAGGTAATATACACCACCAGCCCCAAAAAAATGTATTTTTGTCGATTCAAGGTACAACAATAAATAAATCGGAAAGCCGGTTATTAAACCAATCTGTCGGGATTTCATCTCAGTAGATTTACTTTTTGAGAAACCTGTGAAAACGCATCTTCATTTTTCTTGACGCGAAGCAAATGTTTCCGTCGACAGCGCATTTCCTCTTTTCTCGAAAGTGACGGCACACCACGATATAACAGGATTTACGATCCAGTTTTGTTTACATACAATCAGGCAGGATATTTCTTTGCTTAACACTTTCATTTTTTTAATGTTTTAATAAATGGCGTCAATTATCTTTAAACAGGTCCCAAATTGGCTTGACGAGAATGGGAAAATACCTTTGAAACAGCGCGCGTTCCTTCACATACGCGCAAGGCATGATGGGAACCAACATGGCGCAGCAGGATCGTACCCATGGAAACGAGGTTGGGTTTAACTTGCGTAGTCAGGCTTCGTGCATTGCTTCTGACGTTTGACAATTTGTGAGGAAATTTCTCTTTGCACCGCTGCTCTCAAATGATCGGTCGTGGTCATGATGATTCATACCCAAGTTGGAACATACCTTGATTGAAAAACTCTACCTTGCCCTACAACCCTATTGCTCTATCATTATTACTTCCATCTAAAGTGGTTAAAAAACACCCAGACATATCAGCAACTGTATTCGACTAAACCGGCTGCGCAGTCACATTTATCAATTTGTGTCACTTACACCAGTCTATTTTTCATGCTTAGAGCCTTTGATGTCCAAGATCATGCAGGTTCCAAACTTCGGATGTCGATAATTTGTGTACAAATTGCACAAACCAATCAGAGAACACGTTACAAATATGGAACCGCCCATAATTACCTTAATTGGAGAGGGTATTTTGATCCACCAATCACAGTTGGATTATTGGGCGGGTCATGAATGAGCAACAAGGGGTACCCTACTCATATACTATTTCGCATTTGTGAACCACGATCACCACTGGTCACGCCATACAACTAGTATGTGCATGTGCATCATTTATTGGATAAAGTTTTTATTCAAAGGATTTTCATGAATAATTATTCCGTATATCTGTAATCAATTTTATGGCATTCCGACACTAAAACCGCATCGGAAGATCATCAATTAATCGGGTCAGGTGCATCAAAAATTAAGATTTTATTAAGATGTTATTTTCACGAGGAAAAGTATGAGAAACCACAAGGCACACCGGTGTCTGATATGGTTGGCTACTCGTGGTTGCTTGGTGGTTGTGGGTTGTTGTCCTGACTTGCGACCTTGGCGCCGTTTCCTTTCATCTTCATGACGACAAAGACAATGATGACCATTACGATGAGTACGAGTAGGACCGCGCCGACCACGATACCAGCTATAGCTCCCGGGGAGAGACCCACTGGCACCGGCTGACCGTCTGTGGAGACACGCCAAAAATGATAGCCAAAGTGAGAGACCAAAAATCAAATAACTGAAAACTACCTGCTTCCTTTATGGAGCAGAAATATACAAATCTCGATGGGTCCTGTTGGTATCGAAACACTATATCATGCATATAAAATGTCTAGTCCATCACAAGTTAAGGTCACAAGTAACAGGGGAGCAGCAATGACAAAGAAATATACTTGTTACATAATAGTGTGTGGCTTGTTTTGAGACTGAAAGACTTGTGATGGATTTGTGATGGACTTGTGATTGTCCTGCGATTGTCTTGTGACTGACTTGTGATTAACATGTGATTGACATGTGATTGACTTGCGATTGACTTGCGATTGACTTGTGATTGACTTGTGTTTGACTTGTGATTGTACTTGCGATTGACTTATGATTGACTTGTGATTGACTTGCGATTGACTTTGATTTACTTGTGATTTACTTGTGATAGCTTCTGATGGCTTCTGATGGACTTGTGACTTACTTGTGATGCACTGGGTATAACTATCAATTTCGATTGCAAAATTTTGATCGTAAAAAATTGCATTGTATATTGTACTACACTCTTCCATTTTTTTTATCAATCTATCTGTCAGGGCCAATTATTGACATTCTATATCTCCTCCATTTAAACCTCATCGCCAGGTCTTCGAAGCAGCACAAACAACGGCTCCCTCACTGGTTGCTTGTTCTCTAAATCACTTTTTCCAAAGAACAGTTTTCTGAAACCTGGTGGATTAACAAAATAGTACATATATTACAACAAACCTACCTGTTGGTATTACTGTTGTCAAATCTGGTGCTTGAGTGGGTGGTAGAATTTCTGTAAATGGGGAAGAAATGTAATGATGCTCCGTTAAACTTGAACGACTAAACATCTAAAATTCACTCAGCGTGGTACTTGCCCAAGCAATGCAGATTAAAACAAACATTTATCCTCAGCCGAACTCTTCACTTCTTCATTATCTTTCGTTATTTCCTTTATGAAACGAATGTTGGTGTTGAAAAGTTCAAGTTGATATCAAGAGTTTCGCGAACGTCGCGAGCAGACCACACTAAAAAAACTGATCCAGAGAGAAAAAATACTGTTCCTCTGGTTTTGCCGTATTATATCCCGTATTGATCACTTCCAAACGAAGCTGCATAGAGAGCGTGTTTTGTCCGAAGGCCTGAAGAAACCTTACGATCTGGACTTTAGGAAACAATACACAGGCAACAGTGTAAGCAGTGGAGAGCACCCATTAAAAGGCATGCAGCCCAACTTCGGAGCCTTGCCGGCCAGGCCCTCTATGTAGCCCCTTTCCCCCTGCAAAACAAAGACCTCTGGGCGTCGTTACTGTCGTTGCTAACCTATTACATAAAAGCCATAGAGGTAGCGGAGACTGGCCTGTGTAGCCCACTTTCAATCCAACGGTGACTTACCCTCGAAAGTAAACGACGAGGTGTCGACACCTAATTGGGCGATGAGTGGATTAGTTGAGTTTGCGAATGCTGTGACCATATGTTCCACCAGCTGATCCGCTGTCAGTGTAGTCTCCGCTGGGAATACCACCCGGTAAGTTGCTATCACACTGCCGCTCCTGAACTCCGTCACTTCGCAGTCATCTGCGGTCGGTAGTTTAGAAGATTCGTTTGCTACAGCTGTGACCTAGTGGAAGGAATGAAAGACTGAGTCAGAATCGGAATCTTCAGCCTTAAAAGGCAAAATGGGTTCAAAAACTCACCATAAGAACCGAATGGTCTAATACTCAGTCACCCTCGAATTTGATCGACTTCGGCACAGTAAGATGTGTTGGGGTTCCCAGATAGGATTTTAAAAGTACGGCTATTATGCATGCTTCTCATCTGTCTTTCGGGTCAATATGGACTGGTAACTCACCGCTGCACACACTTTCTCGCTTAACTCCTTGAAGGCGTCTGACGATTTATTTGTCAACTCGTCTGTGAAATTGGCTGGTAGACTGTCAATGTCAGTTATCCGCATGTTACCTTCGAACGTCTTAGGAGCTGCAAAACAACATGTTCAGAAACAGAATTTAGCATTAAGAATGTTTTGGGGAAAAGTTTGTTGTCTTGAAAGATGATGATTTTGTAAAATGATTTATATCTTTGCGCTTGATTGGGAAACCAAATCTTTTGTTTTCACTCTGCATGTTTATAGCTGTTGACGTTAGGATATTATGTTGCACGTTAAATACGTCGTCTTGGGGCGGGACACGAGCATTATTCATGCAGTCCTAAAAGCGCTTTATAAACATGAACATCACAAAAACTTTTAATCAATACATTTCACTATATACAAGAACAGGATGCTTGTACTTAAGTTGTCTGACAAATCCATTTCGAAAAGATGCTCAAATTCAAAACAATGTAAGCTAACATACGCGGAGCAGCAGTTGTGGTCTGTGATGCCGTTGTGCCCCCAGCTGTTGAAGCAAGTGCTGCTGCTGTAGTTGCATCACCACCTGCTGCTGCTGTAGTTCCATCACCACCTGCTGCTAATGTGGTTGCATCACCACCTGCTTCTGCTGTAGTTCCATCACCACCTGCTGCTACTGTGGTTGCATCACCACCTGCTGCTGCTGTAGTCCCATCATCACCTGCTGCTGCTGTAGTTGCATCACCACCTGCTGCTGCTGTAGTCTCATCACCACCGGCTGCTACTGTGGTTGCATCACCACCTGCTGCTGCTGTAGTCCCATCATTACCTGCTGCTGCTGTAGTTGCATCATCACCTGCTGCTGCTGTGGTTGCATCACCACCTGCTGCTGCTGCTGTAGTTGCATCACCACCTGCTGCTGCTGTAGTTGCATCACCACCTGCTGTTGCTGTAGTTGCATCACCACCTGTTGTTGCTGTAGTTGCACTATCAGATGTTATCACAGCTGCTGCTGTGGTTGCATCACCACCTGCTGTTGCTGCAGTTGCATAACCACTTGTTGCTATTGAAGTTGTACCGCCATCCGCTGTTGTTGCTGCAGGTGCACTATCAGATGTTATCGCTGTGGTGGTGGGGCCACTTGCAGGTGTTGTAGTTGGTCCACCATCACCTGCTGCTGCTGTAGTTGCATCATCACCTGCTGCTGCTGTGGTTGCATCACCACCTGCCGCTGCTGTAGTTGCATCACCAACTGCAGCTGCTGTAGTTGCATCACCACCTACTGTTGCTGTAGTTGCACTATCAGATGTTATCACAGCTGCTGCTGTGGTTGCATCACCACCTGCTGTTGCTGCAGTTGCATAACCACTTGTTGCTATTGAAGTTGTACCGCCACCCGCTGTTGTTGCTGCAGGTGCACTATCAGATGTTATCGCTGTGGTGGTGGGGCCACTTGCAGGTGTTGTAGTTGGTCCACCATCTGCTGTTGTTGCTGTAGTTGCATCACTAGACGTTATCACTGTTGTGGCGTCACCTACTGTTGTTGCAGCTGTAGTTGTATTAGCTTCTGCTGTAGTAGCATAATCTACCGCTAATGTAGCATCAACACCCGGTGTAGTCGTAGTGGTCTGTGCTCCTGGCGAAACAAAAAGACCAAAACAGAGAACAATCACAGAGTGTGGAATTCCTCATGGACTGAAACCTCCTCCCGTTGGCCGCTGGCCCTTTGCTTATATCCGGGTCGTTAGTAAAAACGTCATACACGCGCGCACCACTGATTACTAGCGCCCATTGGATGAACACTAAAGTTATGTTAGCTTCCGGTTCCAATGGTTCCAATGCAACCTCGTCCTCAGGGTGTTGAGCATCACGCGCCCACCACTACCTGCTCTCTCACCCTGGTATTGGATCATTTGCATGTGCAAGATTTTTGAACACGTCCGCTCATAAGTCCGACGCCTCATAGGTCCGACTCCTCAGAAGTCCGACAAAATGGCATCCCCCAACCAAATAAATGCCCATAAATCCGACGCCTCGTACTCTTCGTTTTTCCGACGTCGGACTTATGAGGCGTCAGACTTATGAAGCGTCGGACCTATGAGGCGGAATAAATAAATAGTATGCCTCATAAGTCCGGCGCCTCATAGGTTCGAAATTTCAGACTTATGAGGCGTCGGACCTATATGAGGCTTCGGACTATTACGGCCCCAATTTCCAGTATCATGTCTTGTATAATTAAACGAACAAAGTGTTAACTTACCAGTGAGACATGCTAGTACAAGTATGATGAAAACACAAAGCAGTGTTTTTGTACCCATGGCGAAAATATGCTCCCTTCAAAATCGTAATCTGGGAGAGGAAAGACATAAACAAGTTTACAAAATTGTAAGAAAACTCAAAAGGATGTTTGACATGCCTCCCATAAATTTCTTGCCAAAAAAATATATTTTCTGTCTTTATTTCGTCATTCACTAGTGCATAGTTTTTTTCACAAAACCCAAGCTCCTACACTAACGAAAAGGGAAACGGCATCCTCTGTTAATAAAAATATTAATTATTAAATATACTGTTAACAACAATGACTTTTTAATCTCTGTTGGGGGAGGGGGGGTTCACCGATGCTCCAATCGTGAATTAATCCTGTCATTGGCATCAATGACCGCGAAATGGTCCTTTCATTGGCACACTGCCAAGTGCCATTATCGGCAGGTGAGACTGAGTCCCGGATGTTACCATGGCGACGTTCTTTTATTTACCAATTCCCGCATCAGCGGCCGGCTATGCATCCTTGACAAACCGACGGGGCTTTATTAATGGATGGCGTGTTTTATAGAGTGCCCCGTACAATTCACGCCAAAGAGCCAACTCTGTGGCCATTGTGATGATTGATAACAGGTGATACTGGCTAGGAAGAAAACGAATTAGCTTCCTTGTAGAACAATAGAGACACCTGTAACGATCGATGGTCGTTTAGGATGACATCAAAGGATATACCTGGAAAGCAATCATCTTGACCTTAAAGATAAAAGTTAATGGATAAAACATAATACACAAAGTATCGATTGTAATAGTGGCTAAATTAAAACCGTATCGACCATATGCCCCATTGCACCTGAGTTAAATTATCCGAAGACAATATCCGTCATTGTGTTTTGTCCAAGACGGTTTCCACCTGTACCTAAATTTACACGTCGAGGGCGTTTTCCACTAAAAATGCAGAGATGCCGAATATATTCTTTCCAACTATAGTGTCTCGAGGCCTTGGGTTAGATGTAATTCTGCCGTTTCGTTAATACCTTCCAAAATTCTGCCGTTTCGTTAATACTTTCCAAAAATAACGTATAAATGTTGCATAGATAAGCCATCAGCCTGGGGGTTTGGTCAGTATCAAATCAGGGCATAAATGATTATAGTGTGCGTGCGCAAGGTATACCGCCCCTAGAGTGGTAACAAGCATTTTGATGGACATTTTGAAAAAAAAGGTGATTACACCCAAAAAGCTGCCACCGCTGCAATGCTGTCACACATTTTCCAATTCTGGAGGTGTGTGCCTTGCCAAAAATCGCTATGACGATTATTCCCCTCATCTGATACCAGTGGCCTAAATTTTGGACCGAGGATGATGGCCTAAGAAGGAGTTTCTGAATGTTTTCTTACATTGTATTATCAACACATTATATCGGGGTTTTTTTAAGCCTCTTAGTTAGACTCCTCGAGAAGTTCTGAAGAGGGTAACCACCAAGTACCAAGTAGTAGCAAGCTGATTAAAGAATGGGTACAATGCAAATGTTTTTCGTAAAAGCCTGCTTTAGTAGGGAACTCATAGCCATTTCCAAAAAAACTGTATTCCTGCATTGACATGATATCATTATTAAGTGACGGGTCCAGTCGGGGAGGGGACGGAGTGGGTGGGCGGCCCCAGCACTACCCAACCACCACACCGACTTTACTCTTAATCTAGTTGGACATTGTTTGCAAGTATGCTGTTTATTCCATTGCAGCGTTGCCAAATTAACTTCTGGAGGTTATCCCCTCCACACGGGAGCCTCCCGATGTTCCCCAGTCCCTATGTCCCCAGTGCCTATGCTCCCCAGTATTCCCTCTAGGGTAAGGGTTAGGGTTAGGGTCAGGGTTAATTTTAGGGTAGGGTTACTGGATATATGAATGGGGTCACTGTGAGGAACATATAGGGACTGGGAAGCATTAATTTACATCAGAGTGAAAAGGCCCATGACAACCCCTCCCCACACCTCTCCCCACCCCCACCCCGCAAAAATTCAATTCCAAACGGGGCCAGCCTGTAGTCTTTTTGTACCTTTCGGACTGACTGTCTGACTGACTCCCCGACTGAGGGTCACCTGTGACTTAGCCTGGTTGTTGGCTTGTGAATAAAACCGGGCAGTGCTAACGTATAGGACTATCCTACCATGAGCAGATTCAGCCCATTGATAACACCAGTTGCATGAAATACTCCCAATGAATACCATTCTGAATCAGCTGAATTTTTAAAATGGTGTCCTCTGGATGGGACCAGCTAAACTAGGCTTGATTTTTTTTTGTCTTGTAAGATATTTTAAAACGTGCGCCAATTATAGATTTGCGAATTTATTAAGAGTTCATACAACCGAATCCACAGCGATAATATTGTTCCGTCTAAACAAGTGTTCAACAGCCCAAGCTTTACCTAGCAACGTACACAATGAGCACAAATAGTTTGCACTTGATGGCCAGTATCTAAAATAACCTTCGTCATAATGGTTGGATCTGCAAACAGACCTCTATCTTTGGAACTTGACCTTTATGCAATATTAAATGCCGAGGGAGTGTATTCGTGTAAAATTGATAAGGCAATCCGTCTGCATTGCGCACAGGGTTTGAATAGTCGTGGTTGTGATACTACATTATATTATTTTCTCACAAAGCAGCTACTGTATATGAGTCTAAGGTATTCGATCTCGTTTTATCACCGAGATACCAACAATTTCGGCTTTGGCGTGCCAACGTGCCTATAGTGCCTTGTATATGCCTACAGTCTGCAAAATTCTAATGTGGCTGGTAAGTGACACACAGGGTGTCCAAGAAGAAGAAAGGTGTGCAAGCAGATATCCGTAAATATCTATTTAAAAAAATACCTAACATCCGTATTCTATCTTGATGGAGCATGTTAATTATACTCTTTTGTATATTCAGTAAAAATGCCATGGAGATCTATTCTTGCAAACCAAAAATCTAACAGATTATAAAAGGCTCTGGGGTTTTTCCCCATTCCAACCATTCCAATGGGATGGAATTGACACAGTTAACTTAATTTACATCAGATTGAAAAGGCCCGTGACAATCTGATGCACTGCACTAACTGTGTAAATCCCATTGGATTGGGTGAAAAACCCATAGCCTTTTACAATCGGTTAGACTCTGGTTTGCATGAACGGATTTCCATGGCATTTTCACTGATTAAGAGTATTCCATGTTGAGTGGTTACCATGTTTAATAGTGGACGCCTACTTCTACAGAGGATGTCGGAGAAGTCTTCTAACATAAGTACGTTTTAAAAATATATATCATTTGGTGGGAATTTTCGATCTGCCCTCATGTGGGCTCGGAAAACTAACAAAGGTACAAAATTAACGCGATTATTTTTTCCTGTGGTATATATGCGATTACTATGTCTATGAAGTCAGGCAGCTCATCCAAGAAGTCATATTTCGACTCAAATAAAATAAAAGCTCGCAGGAAAACGGCAGAAGAGCATTGAAGCCGAACTGCCTGTGTTGCTTTGATGGGAGCTAAAAAAAAAGTCCGCTGTCAAAGTGCCGTAGCATTGATAGCCTCGACGTGGATGCTTGATAGAAATTCGTCTATTTAAAACCGTTTTTCGATCCACCAGCTTCGATTTTCCGTTCCGGACTTTGAAACGTTGCCCTGGAAACAGGCAAACAACATGATGACACAAATGTGCTTCCCATCCGAAGTCCAGACGTGCAAGTGATACTGGTACTACGGTACTTCATGGCGCATTGATATTAGCATTTTGCTATAGTTACCAAGCTACGGCCTGATACTATCAGCGGGTAACAAGTGGTGACGTCGGCGCTTGGAGACGTGTCGTGTATTAAAGTAATATTGACGTTAAGCTAAGTTTGTCGACCCTGTTTTTGCTGGGTCTGTTGCTAATAACGTGGCCCACCGTTCTGAAGACGTCAAGGACTTTTAATAATTAACTATGAACTAAAATCAATCATGTTGTATTACATCATTTTTTATTATTATTATTTTTTCATAGTTTAATAAAGAGATTCAGTGCGATATATTGAACTGAAATATGTACCACAACTGGTAGTATTTCGTATTTTTTTCACAGCAAGTTATATCTTTTCCTATATAGCAGGACATCGTTCAAACGCTCTGTTCGCTGTCAGTTAATGTCACGATAAGTAAAAAGTATTTACTTTTCCCGGACAAATTAAGGTATTGACTATGGATTAGTTCTTTTCTACGATTTTTTCCCCGATTCAAATATGTGAAAGTCTTCCTTAATGTGCGACAAATTGTTGCAACGCCTCATATTTAGAGGTTCAGAAATACCAGGCATGAGAATGAATGTTAATGAAAAATAAACAGGAAACTTGTACAAATACAGGAAAACACGTTAAATTAGGCCCCTCAAAAACCTAAAACAGGCTCAAAGTACATAAAAAATGCGGAAATCTGGGCAAACAAACAAACAGCAATTCATTTTAAACAAGAACATTTTAAAGAAAGAAACGGAATCTGAACATATGCAAATCAGACTTCCTGAAAATCGGACTCCTTTTCCTTTGTATCTAAATTACCTCCTATAATTATCTTCAATTAGGCATGCGCAATACTACAAATGAATTTGTATTTCGTAGAAACCTCACTTCACGCCACACTGGTCCGTGCTTACAGCGGACTCGAATTCGACGTCACTATACGAAAAACTCGCAGCGAAATTCGCTTGTTTTATGCAAAGTTAATTCGGGTGCTTTATTTTCGTTAAAACCGACTTCAGGTAGAATATCAAAATCGTGTCATCGGTGGGCATATTTGTTTTTTTTAAACGAAACCAAAGAGTTCAAGATTGACACAGCAGTACAGTTCGAAGGAACAAATACAGCCACGGTGAACCAACAATGAGAGCCGAGATTGACACTGATACAACAGAAGAAAGAAGAGCCGCGCACGTGTTATAGGACAGAGTAATAAGGTCGGTTCATTATACACATGCAGTTAAAACGAAAGCGATACTGATTTCTTTGACGTCACAACATAAACGTTCCATAGTGAACCGTGGAGTAACTATGGACCCCCGCCCCTCCCGCTCTGTGACCGCGCTTATACAGCGGCGGCATCTTCCAAAATGGCAGGCGGTCTTCAAAACCGGCCATATGATTATGCAAACTACGCAGGGCGCATTGTAAGGGTTTCGGGGCTTGGTTTTCATATTCCTCACTCATATCAGAACTCTCTATACCATTTTGGAAAATGGTTACTGAAAACAAAAATTGGGCAAGTTTTGTTTTCATCTCGAGGGGGTACATTAATGCTAGAGGATGCACATCTATGTCCGCAAGAAGTGACCCCTGACCCCCCTCCCCCCGGTTCCACCACCCCCCTGCGCTTATAATTTCGAGAAGGCAAACCAAAAAAATGACTTTAAAGTAAATATACAATATTAGCTTTTGCTGTAATTTTCAGAAATATATGGATTTGTGGGGTTGTATTATTATAGCAAATATTGTTACACTGCCTTGTTATTGTTTGAAGTTTTGTGTTCGTAAATGCTGGAAAAACCAAGAAAAAAATTCATTTTCTTGTAGTCTGGTTCCCTGACCCACTTAAGATAAAACGGAGCAATTTATAGATGTCAGGGAATTGTAAGGTCAGGGAACCAGTCCAGACTTGTACCCGCTCACCAGATGTGTAATCGATTGTAAACAAAATGCGAACTGGTAAACTGATGGGGGCTGGTCGACCAGCGTTGGAAACAGATACAAAAACACCACTTTTGTTGAAAAATATCAGGACACTAGGTGCCATGATTTTACAGGAGGATTTAGACTGTAAGTCACTAACAGTCCAGTAAGGTATTTCGTGATAATTTGGTTGTTTTGTTTTGTTTTATGTTTGCAAAAAGTATATTCCCTTTAACCAAACCCATTTTGTGCCCCCTCTCCGATGACGTCTGTCCCCTTCAAAATGGGACCTCATTTTATACGCTACTAAGACTATTCTATGGGCTATGTTAGCAGAAAATCGAGTAGGCCTGATTACCAGTTCCTTATATAAGATTTGGACGCTGGGGCCAATCGTTAAGCAAATTTCTAAGCAAAAACAGGGCCCAATTTCATTGGTCTGCTTTAATACGTGTTGGTCAACAAATCTCCGCTTACTGCAGTAGAAAATTCCGTGCTTACTCTTAGCATTTTTCAAGGGTTTAAGCGTGGATTTTAGATTATGCGCATGCGTACATCATGCCTGTACCCCAAATATTCTGTGTTTACAGGGTTAGCCAAATGTTTTATGTGCTGACGCTGTTAGCACAGAATGGTGATCGTAAGCCTTTTTTGGGGAGGGGTAATAAAGCCATAAAATTGGGCCCAGTTTTCCACGAACTGACATACGTTATGTATTGCCGGTGATTGGTTGCAAATGAAGAAACTAAGAAATACTTTCAGCTTAACTGCTGTACGAAAATTGGGCCCAGCAACCGCACGATGACATAATGAAAGATATTATATATCACGTGAAAGAACAGACGCTGAATACCAACGAGGTCGTAATACAATACACCGCAGACCAAATTTAATCCTATGCAGTATTCGGCGACAGCGGTCTCATTATTATAAAAAAAAAAAAAAAGAGGTTTCCATTTCATGCGATAGATATTAACATTTCTAAAAGCTTTAGGCCCTAAAATAATCATGCAATGAAATAGCACGAGGATGGCTGATACTGCGTATTGTAAATAGCACAGTAGCCCTATAATGCGTCACGTCATGATTCGACAAAATGGTTTTCTTAAAGGTACAGTTCATCATTTGTAATTTCTGCATTTTGTTCTTTTGAAGCAACAAACGTGCTCAAAATCAACGCCTCGTTGGAAAGGCATTTTTTTTCGTTGATTTCTTCAAAATGACAGCTTGCCGGAAAGAATTATGTCACAGGGACTTTAGTCCCCTCACTATCTTTCAACCAAGTATGTTTTTCAACACTAATTACATCAGTTACTTTTTGGATAGCTGCAAATGATGGACTGTATCTTTAAATATAAATCTGCTAAAAGAGCATGCAAATGCATCTTCCAGGAAGTCACTGCATACTCCATTAAAGTGCCGGAACTGCAACATCCGCCTTGTTCCCTGATAAATAGCGTCTCGTGGATATAAAATGTGTTGCGTGTCAATGAAAGATGTTGAGTTGGTGTGTATTTTATTATAATTGTTGAATCTTTATTCAAAGAACAGGGACAATTTTTATTTATTTACTTGAAATATGAAATTATCAGCAAAGTAGATACTGAAACATTATTTCCGAGTTGTCTGGCTATAAAAACAAACACAATGATGCTACACTCATCATTGTTTCTGTCTCCTTCATGATAGACAAAGAATATCACTAATGTTGAATGTGTGGCATTGCGGAGGACAAACATGGAGTTTGTTTAGTCTGTGCAGAGCCTTGCATGTTAATAAACCGAAAAATCCAGTCGAATACAAATTGACAGAAATATCTCCCGCTTAAAAAAAAATCGATTTCGTCCATATCTGGTGAAAACAGATGTAGGCTTAGCACGTGGAATAAGCTTAATGATCAATACATATTAGAGGTAAATCAGGATTCTCTCCTCTTCACTGATAATAATCTTACAGGTTTGTTGTTTGAAATGATCGATTTGGTGTGGGAATCGACCGCGTGAAAATTCATCCCGTCAAGGTATTGATTTTTGTTACAATTTTTTTGGTATGAAAACACATTATCTCTCTTCAGTGATTTATCTTTAACGACGAATACACGATCACGCGCGGGAGAGATGCACAATTGTTATTGTAATGAGTAAAAGAGAAAATTTACGCTCATTATTTGCACAAGGTTGAGAAGCGATTTAGTGTGTCATGATAAAACTACGTTTCGAAGGACTTCCAATTAAACAGCAAAACTTCCTCCTGACGATTGCAAGCCACCTGAACCAAGAATAATGCTAAATAAATTATGATGTCAGTTCGGATGAAAAAACAAACAAAATGGCCGTTTGTACGCAGGGAGAAGGTTCATCTGACGTGCACGTAACGGATGTTATTTAAATTGCCTCAATTTAATCAGAGGCCTGTACACCAGGCACAGCAGACATAATATGTCATTGTTGACACGGGTGAAATAGAATAACAATCTTACACCATAATATTAGTAAAAGAACAACCCAAGGTGAAAATATGTTTATATATTTCCATGTTCAGTTGTGAAACATAATGTGACATTTTAATCCATAACTGCACATGCACAAGAAGGGTTCATTAGAGAGAAGTTAAACCTTCTCCTAGAATCAAAATATCGGTTTTATTTTCATAAGATGACTGCATGCGCCAAACCTGCAGGCTCTGTTGATCATTATTGGCATTTACAAAAAAAACACGAGGACCTTCGTGTCTCATTCGCGGCGAGGATTGAAAAAAAGGGAAGGGTCCAAAATGCCCTGCAATATTGCTTAGCAATGAAAGCCTCGGCCTGACATTTAATGTGAAATTTGTCCGCACCACATGATATCGACGCTGACTGTCTAGCAATCAATGTATGTATCACCGTGCATAATGCAAAGATTTGATATAATGTAGGGCGCGCGGTCGGAGGCAGTTGAAAACGGAAACACAAGAACTCTATGTGAGAGTGGAGCTCCTTACGGGCAACCGACTATGCACGCATCGTATATAGAACAAACCGTTGTTGAAGAGGCGTGAAATGAAGGCTTGAAGTCCACAAGCTGATAGGCAGGTAGACAGGCCGATAACGAAATCTACCTTGATTGCTGGCAATTAAAACACTGTCTTGTTACTTGGAGAAATTGGAGATATATTTAAGTACCTAGTTTTAATACCTTGAACATATTTTATGGAATTTGTGCTATAGAAATGAATAAATTATTCATTCTTCTTATTATTATTATTCCTAGCAAGCTACTTTTACTAATATGATTTCCAAAATGTCCGACATCTCTTTGGGACGAAAACATATCTGAAACTGACACCATGATTTGTAGTATTCCAGATCAAATATCGCCAACACATAATGTGCCAATTTCAGACATTTTGTACAAACAACTCATGTTCATATAAAGTGTGTTTATTCTCCAAAGGCACCCAATCATAGACTGGCCGTTTGTGACAATTGTCAGAGGTATATAAGTATTTTGCTGATCGTATGCGGACTGTGTTGATAATACTTGTGTTGTTCCCGAATAACTAATTATACAGTTGAACAGCAAGTGGATTGTAATTGTTTAGAGTGGACACAGGATAGGCCTACTACACTGGAGGATCCGGCCTTGTATCGCCATGCACGCAGGGGTAAATATAAACGAGAAAAATGGAGGGCATACGAAAACAATGAACATCTAAAACAGACAAAAACACCAACATATGGTCTAAGATGGTTACTTACCCAGGCCTCCAATGCAGTCTCCTTAAGTAAATATTAACGTCTCCTCGTGTTGTTATAATCCAGTAAAATGGCAATTGAGAAAGATGTCCGTCTGTGTTCGACCGCTCTCTCCCGGAGAGTGTGGATGAGGCGAGGGTTGCAATGAAAATGATCAGGTATCCCACGCACGCTGCGGTTCTCAACTCGGACGATTGACCAGTAATTTCAGCATCCTCCCCAGTCCCTACGTGTTTTTTCTCTTTTATTTGAATAATCGATCGACTTACGCCAATCGCGACGGGGAAATCTGCGTTGCCAGGACATGTGACTTATATACAACCAATAATTATCATAAAACCGATTTTCTTTCCCTGCGCAGGTGGTATCGTGCCGTACACTATTTTGTATCAAAATGGTGATAGAAATTCTTCCCGTGCTTTGCAACATTTTCGATTTTTTTGCTTCATCTCGCGAATGTTCAATTTGTATGTTTTATCCTTTTCTATTTTTGGACGTGTTCAACCCTCTAAAAAGGGTTGTTTTCGCACCCAATACATACAAAAAAAGACTCGCCTGAATTACACGTCGGGTCGCAAAGAATTCGACATTTATTAATTGTTATATTTGCCTGTCTCAATGTGAGTTAGTTCCTTTGTTTGATGACTCAAAAGTGAATAACTTTGAAATAATAAGATGCCAAGACAATTGGCGATTTAAAAACAAAATCTATTTTTCGGGTCAAAAGTCGGAAAATATCACATGTGGTGGAGAGCAACTTCTAAAAAACTGGGCAGCCAAATTCATGCAGTGGTGAAAAATGAATACCCTGTTTGAAACTGTTGTTTCATTCTGAGAAGGTAAGTATAGATTTGGCCGGAACTTCAAAAACCGGAACTGGAATTTGCAAACATATTTAAGCAATGGCATTGCAACCAACGCAACAGATAAGAACTGATACCATTGTTTCATTAAAGGCCAAGGAACTTTTCCTCTAAGCAAAAGCAATATCACTTGAACAAAAAAAAATGGCTATTTCTGAATTATTTCTATCGAAAAATGTTCCATTCATGCACCATACTTGTGCTTAACTGGAAAAGGTTAATTGCATAATGTCTGAGGCGTGGCTCTGGCTTCTTTCCCTAAGGGGTTTTGCATTGGGAATACATTGTAGTCATTACTGGCTGTCAATTTGAGGTTTGACAATACTTTGGGCATCACTTAGCGTATAATTGAGCCCAAAGAATCTAGCAATTTCGAATTTCTATTTCTTTACCGCGTTGTTGGTCAATTAACGGCAGCTTCATGCATTTGTTACGAACACGGGCTCGCCTAGTATAAAACTGGACAATTTGTTTGATCATTACAATGACCATTTTGAGAGAGACGCCTTTCCGAGTCTAACGATATCTATATCCATTCCAGTTGGCCTTTGTCGTTGCCATGTTTGTCACCATCCCCAAGCTGTCATCTGCAAACACTAATTGTAAATTTGGCTTTACTAAGTTTCCTTGTCTCTATACCATTTCCAATGAAATCCCATCACCATTATGACATATCTTAATGTTATGTATTATATTCCACCTGTGCGTCACTAACCTCGTTTTTTTATCTCAATGTATCATACTAGTGTGATCTTGTTATCCTTTCCGACTGAGGACTCTTACTTGGGACAGGGGTTGAGGACCTCAGCCAAGTCCTTGAGAAGTTTTCGTGTACAATCTTTATGGGACATGTTGAGAAAAAGTACAAACAATAGGAACAAAAGAAGGGAACAATGGGGGTCCTCATAAGTAAGTATAGGATAACTCGACTCAGTGTGTGTGCTTTTGTTTATGGTGTAAATCGAGGACCCACACGTGCAACATCATCGGTGAATTGAGGACAGGAACCAAATCGAGGACGACCTAGATTAGAAAACATGTACGAAACCAATAAGAGCTGTTGCAAAAAAAGTTAGAATATAAACAAAGGAAAAGGGAAGAGGAACAATTATAAAATCCTCGATTTACACCATAAACAAATGTGATTGTGTGTGTGTGTTGTCTTTTTTCCCATTATTATTTTAAGCATCGTATTTTCATTTGTATTTTCCTGGTTTTGACCACTGTATTGCTATTTCGCATGGACATTTTCTGAAGTAAAAATAAGAAGATGAGAGGTGACGATGGTCAGATTTGTCAGGGCAGAATAAGATTGCTGATTTGTGCTCATCCATGCAGTATTCCTCTTCGGTTTTTGTCCGGTGGGGAAAATGTAACGAGACGCGCAGAATTCGTAGACCAGTTCCGGTCAATGGACCAAACAGGCTGTCAATAGGAACGTGCGGACCTCCTTCGAGCCAACATCTATGGCTTTGATTTTGTCCTCGTGTGCCGACACATCACATACTTTCTGTTGTATATTGTTTTTTTAATATAACACTTTGTATACTTGTGGAATGTGGCGGGTGCGATGAATGTATTCGGCGCTATGTGAGTGAGTCATTTCCAATCACATTTCACAACATCCGTGAAATGGCCTGAATGATTAAGGAGATGTCAGGCAGTTATTAATGCATTGGCAATTTATCGTTTTTAGTTTCCAGGCAGAAAATTACCAACCAAATATCACTACTTGAAAGTTCAACAGTCAAGATAGGCTACTTGAAGTAGAGGAGCACCATTATACTGGTCCCCTTGGGCTAGCCTAGTGCTCTCTTTGTATACTGACTGACTGACTGACTGGCTGACCCCCCCCCCCCCCGACTCCCCGACTTACTCCCCGACTCCCTCCCCCCCCCCCCGACTCCCCGTTGTGACTGACTGACTCCCCCTTGTGACTGGTTCAAGAACGCACAAAACTGGGAGTCGTTTCACGCACTCTGGTCTACACAATCGGACCAGATTTAGCCTATTCTTTGGCGTTGTGGGGTGATCCTATACAAGAGCGCTGCCCGGCTTACAAGTAAAAGTCAGTCAGTCGGTCAGTCAGTCAGTGAGATGGTACAAAGAGAACAGGAGACTGGCCCTCTGGGATTAGCAAAAAAGCATTGCAGCTGTTGTTGGCTGTACTAACAAAATAATGACCGAAAGAAGGGACGAGTCAATCGCTATGGTCAGCAGTCCTAATCTTCCGAGACGCACGTGTTATTGTAAGCCACAACCAAGTAATTGGGACAAGGCCTTTACGATTAGGATTATCTCAGTACAAACAGGTGTTGCATCACCGATCAATGTCATATATTTCAGAGCAAGGAATGATTACCCGATTCGTTGCAATAAACCCCCAGCCTTGACATTGACAGAGCGGACCAATGTAAACATCTCACTGTGAGACACTGTTGCTATTTGTATGATCCGATGCAAATATCGTGCTCAAATAGATCTGAGCGGGGTTGTTAAGCGTCCGTTGCTAACATGTTTGTGTTGGCATGGGCATAAATACGCACTGGACATCACTATGGACACCGTTTCCATGTCGCAAGAGATGAATGTCCAACGGACGGAGGCCGTTCCACTAGTGTGAAGAGTAATCAAAACTTATCAAAAAAGACTGATATAAAGGCCTGCATTGTATTATCATCGTGTCAAAAATAGATGAAGTGTTTGCGGTTACCCCGAGAGATGAATATGGGTTAAACGCTTCCGAATGCCTCAAATAACTTCAAAAGAGATGTATGTTGCAATACTACCGGAAACTGCCATTATCTATCATGCTGACTATCCTTCAAATCCAATGCCGACTTGCTATAGAGTGATTCTTCAAGCCAATCCAAATCGCCATGCAGTAAAAAAAAAATGAAAGGGAGACAGAAGACTTTACAAATATTAAATAATTTTCTATTTCAGACAGCGGGAAGTTTACTTCGCGATTTCCCTATCACACATGCCAACAGCGCCCACTCAAATTTTATTCATTTTCTTATTTCGAAGTGCGTCTACCAGTGATTTCTTGAGCAATTTAAACTAAATGTAGAACGAAATTCATCAATATTCTTAAAAAGAAATGAACTCAACACAAAGGCTAACGACTGCCAAACAGTATGAAAAATAGAGGAACTTTGTTAAATTTCCTTCTGTAGTGTTATGGTCTTTATAAACGAATGAACAAAAGGAAGATTTTAGAAGTTTGGTTTGGAAATCCAGTCACTGAATTGTGATAAAGCTGTCTAATCAAGACATTAACTTACGGCCCAATTTCATAGAGCTGCTTAAGCAGAAAATTTGCTTAAGCACGAAAAAACATTGCTTAGTAAAATTAGGTTACCGGCCAAAACTCCATGTGATGTACATTGCTTGTGACTGGTATTTAGCTGTTGTTTACTTAGCATAACAATCGCATGGAGTTTTGGCCGGTAACCTGATTTATTAAGCAAGACGTTTTTGTGCTTAAGCAAATTTTGTGCTTAAGCAGCTCTATGAAATTGGCCACACACGAATTTCAAATTCACTCTAAAAACTGTTTAGCAATTAAACACAATTTTGCTATCACTTTGTAAACATGCTTAGAAGCTAAACATTATGTGTTCAATTCCTAAACATCAATGGTCAATTGCTAAACACTATCCGTCCTCACTCTAAACATGTTTATTATGTAAACATGTTTACAAACAGGTAGCAAGAAAGTGTTAGGATAAGTGTTTAATTGCTAAACACAGTTTTTGCAGTGTTAGCGTTGAAACCGAGGCTCTCAGTGCTAAGCCATTGTATATGAATGGCGGACCTTTTTATTTTAATCCTCTCAACAAGAGACAGCACTGATGCCCTCGGTTTGAGTGACAATGTAAAATTCGTCTGTAGGGCTACACAAAATTAATAAACGATCATAAGCCTATCAAGTTCTGTTACCATGGAGCTTTATTAGATGGTGGATACTACAAAACAGTTCTGTGGCAGTTTATACTAAGGCTCCGATCGAACAAACTATTTCAAGCATCTCAAGTCATGGAAACTGGTATTTGTTTTGTAGATAAAAATGAATTCAAGTTTTGGCGAAATATCAGAAGCCATTGTTGGTCCTCGCAACACAACTTGGCAACCTTATCAGCCAGTTGTATGACGTCACTGACGCGGGCTCAACCAGTCAAAATGTCAATAACGGCAAATGTCGCGAAACTCAATCTTATCACGGAGAGTCCAATTTGGTAACGGAAATTGTTTGGTCTGATGATGAGTCGGGTAAACATGACCCGCTATTCAGCCGGTTGTCAGGCTAGACGATTATCGCATTGTAGAGAAT